ATGGGTGCATTAAAGTCTACAGGGATTAAACACTGACCACTTTGTAACCAAGTGTTGAAACCATCTAGCCAAACCTCGTTTACCTCACAGCCTGAACTACGGTAAAACAAACTACTCGACAGACCTTGTCCTTTACATTTTAAGTGGCAACTTACTAATTCACACGTTCCAATCTCATGGGATATGTTGTCAATAACGATAAATGGGATATTAATTCAGATGAATAAAGCTATTTCTCTTACTTTACGCATCTGGATTGTGTCGGTTATTAGTGATGTGAAGCCTTCAAGATCAAGTTGTCCACTGCTAAGCAAGCTTCGGGTATTCGTGTAACAGATCCAAAGGCCATTTAAAAGGCTTCGTGCTGCATCCAAATTGGTTACGTCATGATTCCCTATCGAAGCCTCATCACCTGAAAATTTACAACTCTATGGTTCTTTTCGCCAGTATCTAGCCCACATTTTAGTTCTTTTTATACGATCCGCGGACGGCAAGTCTTTACGGACAAAACTATCTGACCACTTTAGTTCGTGTCCACTCTGTGGTATTAGTTCCCTTTCGTTGAGAGATTTAAATACTAATTTTACCAGCCTGGTTTGGTGCTTAATCAAGTTCATTTGACTGCCTAGACTGTAAATCTTCAGCAAGGTGACACCATAGATATTCTGGTCTAATAGTTGTTTTATCAACTCGATGTCATGCTGGAAACGGGTTTTAGGTTCTATGCTTTCACCCTCCTTGACTCTTTGAAAGATAACTGGCCGGTCACTACGATCAGTCTTAGACTTCACAGCTACATTCTCGAAGACTGACCTTTCTTTAGTAACATCATGTCGTTTCTTAGCCTTGCAGAATTATGGTCTACTATGATATTAGTACTGCTCTAATAATAGACCTAATCCTAAATTTGTAGATTTGTCATGATATAACTGCCTAATCTATAAGATCTTACGTGGAAGTCACACCATCGACTACACCAACTCACTGTATCGTATCAATTACCAATACATGATGTAGAACAAGGTTAGGCTAGAGAAAAAACAATATATTTAATATGAATAGAAGATATAAGGTAACATTCAGCAGAGACCACGCCTGCATGGCCGAGCCATGCCACTCGATCAACTTCAGTCCATTCAATTCATTGTTCGCGCCTTCTCCATTGTTAGGTATTTCTCCGCGTTAAATATTGAATATCTATTTTCTGAGTAGTCTCGTGTTCACAGCTTTGTAGATTGTGTGACTATTGTCCAATGCCACTACAGCCTCAATCTGTAAGCATTCATCAACTTCCGTAGGAGTATCAGTCATGATTGCGTCACAAACCACGAGATCCTGGATGACTGAGGATGACTCGGGGAGGGGGTCCTACTAGAAACAGACCTAGCCTTGTGATTAGATTTTCCTGCTGGCTACTAGTCAGAAGACAGAGATCAGAAGAAAATGTTTTTCTTGAGCTTTTGTTTCTGATGAATCACTTTGAAGTCAGCCCTTTCTCTTTCGGCTCATGTAAGTTGATCAAGTTCGAGATTATTTGAGGTAAATTTATAACAGCTTAGGTTGGTTGGTTAAGAGTTCACCTCAAACAACTAAGCATATGTCAAAACAGTGTAGTTCAAGTATTCACTCACTTCCTTATTTTGCATAAGCGTTATATTTCCTGTTATCTTATATTGAATGTTGAGAGGCTTTGTTTTTCTGAATGAATATTCTCACACTCCACTGTGGCTGCGCGAAGATTTAAATAAAGACCTATTCACTGCTTGTCTGGTTTCTTTTATCAATAGCACGATGGTTACCTAGAGGGACGAAAACATCGAATCAATTTGCGTGTCGACTTAGGGAACGATGTGCCTCAATTACGCTTGCTAGTATTCCATTCAGCAGCATTCATCGTTGCGACGGCTTCGGAAAGCTGTTTGCGTCCGAGCAGCACATCTGACACAACCACACGCAAATAATTTTGCTAAGCCGTTTAAAAGCCTCAGGAGTTAGGTTCGTTCAAATTTCATGATACCATCCCTTGAACTCATCGCACTACATGCCACTTTCCGCTGCATGAGCGTTGAAGATTGCTTGTTTTGCACCGTCCTGTCGTTAACCTGGGGTTTTGAAAAGGAACTAGATACAAAAAATACCCAGTGTAACGGTAAGAGAACAATGAAAATCCTTCCGCAGCCTTTTTGTTGGACAGTGCTGTCATTTGTTCGATTTTTCTCCCTGTCGTGTATCTTAATCTTTGTTCAGATCTCATTTAACCGCACCTTTAGTTCTTCAGTTTTCCTCGTCTGAGCCATTATTACGTGGCTTTGACTAAAGAATTATCTTTTGTTATCTGATTTTCTATTGCATGTTGCCGGACTATTGACAGTAAAGTCGTGTTTGACTAAGCTCAAAGTCACGGCGTGATTCAGTGTGTGAATGTTAACCTTTTGAGTGTTTGCTTGGGAGGATTGCTGGAATCCCTGCAGATAGATATTTGATCCCATCTTGTTGGGAATATTTTTGTTGATTCTTAGGTATCGAACTCTTTGGTATCAACCGTTTCTTTTATTGTTTAGCGCGCTACTTCTGACTGTATAGCACAGGCTGAACCGTTTGAGGTATTTTGTATTTCTGATCTAATTTGTTCTATTTCCTAAATTAGAACCGTTTAAATTATTCACGAAGTTTGTGTTTTGATATAAAATAATACGAGTGTCTCAAAAACGCTTCGTAAGCTATACAGAAGAACGTAGTCTGGCCTATTCAAATACATTTCGGTTCATCAGTCCTGCGTTCAAACCGAGTACTGGCAGTTCGGTCGTTACACCTAGAGTGAAGAGAAAGTGATGGCCAGAAAAAGGGGAGAACTTTAAATTGACGGAACTCATAATGTATACAAATACAGAAGAACTGGTGTACTTGAAAGTAAAGATGATAAATTACCTTCGAAAATACCGATGCTCTTGGCGAATGCTTGAACTTAAATAAATTCGATTAAAGTGGAAATAATAGTTGTGATGCAGAATTTACAAACAAAACAATAAGATTCACTCAGCGACGAAAATATCACTGTTCTCTTAAATAACTCGCATAAACATAAATGAGGTTGTCTGTGTTGATATAACTGTTTTGCTAGTTAAGACTGATACATTTTGGGAAAAAGTCTGATTTTACCTGTCTGTCGAATCGTTGACTCACAACTCCTCGCGATTCACATCGTGAAGTGCAATATTGGGTTTTGGGCAGGATATTCTGGCTGGGGTGGCCAGGAGTGCTTAGTATGTTTTATACATCCATCAGGTGATATCTAATTCTCCTCTAACCTAACGAGCTTAAAATTGGTAGGCAATGTCAGGCTTCATGGGGTTCACCGTCATATCCTATATCTCACATTGAAGTTAACATTTGAACACACTTATACAAATTAACGTCCCTTTCGTTGAGAGGTTAGACATCAAAAATTGATGTTTATTAATGTTAGAGGGTATAAGACTTGAAATGTCTCGGAAAAAACTGTGTAGTCAGTATTGCTACTCACCTCTGGACAAAATGAAGACTTAGGCTGCATCTCTATAGTAATTGTCATTCGACTCAGGCTTTCTGCTAGCAAAAGATTGGGCTCGCGTTTCATTTAAGTTATGAAAAGAGAGTGACTGCGAGAGAAGTGCTTGGGCTCAAAATATAACCATTTGGTATACTCGGCGACTGAATATCAAGCTCTTATTGTATATCCATTCTCCCAGTAATGGTTGTATGAATTAACCTCGAACCTCATTGCTCTCCACAGCTCAATATCGTTTGCATAAATATTATCTGGGAACGGAGGATGAATGGATGATCACTAATGAATGTTAGGAACAGAGTAGGGTTCAGTATAAAATTTAAGTGTTGGAAAATCGGACACATCAAGTTAGTGTGTAGAACTACTTTTAACTTCACTACTACTGAAACTAGACCCTGTTATTCACTTCCTAGTAAGAGTGATGTTTCCATTAACCACATATTACATGTATCTATGATTTATAAAATTACTGTCTAGAGTCAGAGGCGACAATATATAACTGAATCTGTTCAATTTTCTGTGAGATAAGTCTATAATATCATCTGTAAAGACTGATAATTAACGTCAATATCCTCGATCAACCATGTCTGAAGTGTGGAGCATTTGGTTTGTTTACAGGTGCCTACTGTATTGTGAGATGCTATGCCAATGGTACTAACGTCAATTTCCTATATGAACTACCTGTTTGATTCACGCTTGTAAACTTGAATTAGTCTCACTTCCGACACACAATTGCGCTAGAAAAATAGGAATGAAAAGTCAATTTATGACTTCATGAAAAGAATAATAATAATCAAAAGCGTTTGTTATTAATTATGATAAAAAACCAAGTGCCATTGGTAGTATCGGAACTATGTTTCTCCGACACCATAATTCGCCAATCTGCATAATCATAAATGTATCAGTCCTTCTGAATCTCCTCAGTTCATACAGTTTTTAATCCACTCATTACCAATCGTCACTCAGTCTGAAAGTGAAAGCGAGACCACGGCCGCATGATCCAGTCCATGGCGTACGATTAACTGATGAGCGTTGGTTGTCCTTGACCTTGACGAGTATCGATGATATGTTCGATAATCGATGACCCAACTGCAGGATGATTTGGCTAGGGCTCGGCGGAATTTCACTGGCCCAAAAGACTCGAGCGCGAAAAACCAGTTGTTATTAACTAGCTTGTCACGAAGGTAATATGTTACATCTCGAACTATATATCTCGCAACTTAACCTTTAAATAACATGGATAGTAGTCCCTTTGGCTTGTGTAAACCCTCTTCGTAAGTTGCTAACATGAACGAAAGAAACAGGAATATCACTAAAGTGACAAAACTTCAGTGGGGATGATGCAAAAGACAGACGAATTCTGTTTGTTATTACTATAAATTAAGGCTTATATGTAGCATTGCTATTGAGTACCACGCATCTTTTGCGCTTTTTCAAGTAATACGCTACGCCGATGATGACTAATGCTTTTTCGAGCCTATTACCTAAGAAACAAATTAATTCCGATGTTTTTCTAAACGAACATGCTGAATGTGATGGTTGCGTTACTAGAATTGCAGTGTGGGACACGGGTATTGACCCGACAGCTGCAGGCTTACAAGTTAGTTAATTTTACTAGATAAGTATGTATTTTTTTTAAACAACATAGTCAACTATCGACTCGAGAAAAAATTAACTATTTATGCAAGGTAGCAGGAGCTTAAAATTCCCAGTATTATTTCTATCACTGATGTACTCCAATCACATTCCTATTGTATTCAACAAGAAAATACTCCTTTTAGAATTATTAATAAAAAACTGCATTCATGTCTTATGTTATTTTACCCTTTTCTGTCGAATTCTCTCTTGAAGTATTTTCGGTGGAAGTATGAAGCTTCACACATAACGTGAGGGATGGGAGGTTGTGTGGTTGGAAAATGCCCAGTTTGTTTTTCTCATACCAGTTCGGCGTTTGTGGACGTAAATAAAAACAACACAAATATATAGAATAACTGGAACGTGTGACAGCACTATATGTATCTGCATAAACTATTGGCATACTCAATATATCAAATAGTCTTTCATAGACTTAACAAAATGACGCAGGACTTCACCAATTTGATATCAGTTATTCACTCCTACTACCCTGAGATAAACCCAAACAATTTCATCTCGTTTTTTAATACTGTGTGACAATTTAAACCGATGTACATACTCACCAGGTTCTATGTTTCAATTGTCTGACCTAATAATTCACTCGTACTGTTTCAAGTTTAAAAATTGTTTTATAAACTTTTAGTATTCTTATTTGTATATTTACTGTTCAAGAAGTTTAAGCTTTAATGTGGCCTTTATGAAAGTTAGTTAAATTCATTTGTTTATTTGGAGGGGACTGTTGTGCAAGTTACTCTATTCTTTACGATACGAAATGAACTATTAGTGATGTGTTCACTCGGTAATGATAATATAAATGAAAACGTATGCAGAAAAAAAGAAACGGCAGATTTAACGTTACCAGTAAGAGACCAGTTAATGTAGTGCAATATCAGTGACGTATGTATAAAACTGGTTAATAAGACATAAAAGACCTGGAGGAAAAGACTGCAAAACAATGTAAAAGCATACGAAAATAATGAATATGTTGTGCTTTTGTGGAGCCATGAGGAAAGAAAGGCAGAATGTATCGTATTCAAAAATGGAAGTATATAGATATTTTAAGCTGTTCGCATACATACAAACAAAGTAAGCGTGAGCAGTTTGATCGATGAACATGTCGTTTCGAGTTGGTTATTCTTTCTGACTCGTTGATAGATGTTGAGATAAGTTTCTCGGAGGATTCAATTTGTTGTGAAAGCTGTCGAAACGCTTATTATAAAGGAATGTTTGTGTTACCGACCTCAGTATCATTGATGAAAGCAGGCTTAACTCTGTCGATGCTAATAGTTCCTCTTCATTATGTTTGTTGACTGAGAAGACTAGCTATCAAACATTTCAAATATATGGTCGAGGGCATCATCTTCACGGAATATGCAGATCACAAATCTCTTGTGAAAGCTCTGGTACCTAGCGGTGATAGATACAGTTCTCATGGAATACATCTTGTATTCATATCGCACTTCACTCCTGACATCCAGTACATAAAAGCCAGTAAAAATGACGTAAATGCATCATCTAGATAATTACTAAGTGTTCTCATGTCAGATAAGATCAAATACAACAAATTATCAAAGTTACATGTGGATGAAAGTGAATTACCTTAACTTAGATCATACTTGACGACATCTTTAGTATTAAAGTGATGTGGGTTATCTCTACAGGAAAATACCAACCTCACCTACTATAGGCGACGAAACGCACTATTTTCTAAACCATATACAAAGTGTTGCACTCTGGAATTAAAGCTACCTTCAGGCCAGTTAACCAACGTTGTGTTTGTCTTCACCTTAACCGGGATGTTTATAAGTGAATACAAATATGCTTTAAATGTCCAAAAGTCCTTTGTCACACTAGCTGTGCCTTAGGTTCTTTACATCATCGCAACGCTAGATTTAGAGATATAAACATCGATAATGTTAGACCATTACTCTTCAAATAGTTTCACCCATATTTCGATTTGCGTTGATAGACTCATAAAATGTGATGATCTGTAGTAGCCCTGCTAGAGATTATTTCAGTTGAGACTAAAAATCCTAGCTCGGAATGGGGGATTTTGTTATGGATAATTAACAAATATTATAACTGAAAAAGAAGCACAATTCTAAAGTCGCCTTTTCCAACGACCCAGTTTCTTGGAGTCGAATGCATCGAATGTCATCTTATAATATGTCTAAGGGTGTGGTAGAGCGTTTACAAAGACAGTTTCATAACAATCACACTTTATATGTTGCAGCTAAGGACGTTATCACTAAACTCAAACTGTGTATATATGTACTGTGTGTACATATGCTGTAAGGTGTTCATTTCTTTTTTTACTGTTGAGTTCTACATATGACCTATTTTGTCACCCTTATATGAACAGACCTTGATTCCTTTTGGTTAACTTCCTAGACTACACCTGATGGAAAACGAAAAATTGTGGACATGATTGATGCTTCAGGTTCTGGAGATGTAAAAATGAAATATAAACGATCTATTAACAAGAAGCATCGTGTCATTGAAACACTGACCGGTCGTAAAGTAGAGGTATGGATTCATGTAGTTTTTTCTTTGACCTTATACCAATTTTTATTACAACCAACCTCATTGACAACAAAACTTGCTAAATATGGAATTAATTGTGAAATAATGCCACCAATTGTGTGGGTTAATGTCTTAACAGATCCGATTAGCTTAAATACAGTAGCTCTAACAGATTGATGTCATTTAATTAATCAATAAAGCAAAAATAGGCTAGATATTTGTATACTTTGATTTAACAGAGTTCATCAGTAATTCTGTAGTGGATATCAGGTTGTCTAGTGAAAAAAACTATTTGATTTTTTAATCAAATCTTAAAATAAGAGTAGATACTAATCAGTGGTGTAGGAAACGTCCATTTGGAAAGTTTATTTATTTATTTATTTGAACACATAAATATTGGAACAAGAGAGCGCCAATATACATGCGCCACACATTTGGAAAGTTAAATTCATTCAATTCCGACCCACTGGTTTAATGATTGGCTCATTAACTAGGCTCAAAGGCCTTAATTTCAGGGGTTAGTTCAAATCAACTCATTCTCCAGGTACTTGGGTATGATACACACCATAAGCGTGATATCTAATGAGACGATACCGGAGTGGGTGGGGCGGGGTTGGAACTTTGAGCTAACCGACTAGAAGTCGAGTGCCTTAGCCACTAAACCATCGCTCCACGGAGGTGATCACTGTATATTATCAGAGTACTGAACTGAAGCACAACTTTTCCATTCCCCATGATTTTTTCGACAGATCTTCAATTGGTAAACTACTCAATGGACTTTTAATAGTGTCTCATAGAATGTAATTTGCTTAGTTCTCTCATTAAACTTCATTTTTATTACCATTCATGCTCTACGTAAATTGTGGTCCATTGTGAAACTTTTCGTATGCTTTTTTGACATAGTTTGCCAGACAGATTTGTGCTATCTCTTTAAAATGTGAAAAAACAAATAGTTTCATCATCACACTCAATGGTCTTTGACAACTTTATTCGCTTTTACTACATAAATGTTATCAAGCTGAATGCGACTTCACTTTTATCTACCTTCCTCCAACTTTTTGTTTTTGGTGTTACTCAACCTCGAACCAATGGGCTAGAAATTCGGAATCAGCAGATGGTTTAATCTCTACACAACGTGTACCTAATAATACATCCCATTATTCAGATGTCATTTAAGTGTGAAACATAACGGCGTTTCTTATACTTGTATATATGTGCATATATATATCCCTTACTATAGGTACCGAGTCATTGGAATCCTCCAGATGGCATAATACGAATTGGAGTGAAGCCAGCATCTGAACTATTCCCCAAACTTTTGATGCAACGATTACGCAGCGAAAATCGAGATAATTTTTGGCGACCATATATCAAACGTTTAGCTGCAAATTTAGCTTGTGATTTGAATGAAGCTGAAGAATATTTAAACCATAACCTTGTGTCAAATCATAACGGCAATAAAAGTTGGTGTTTTTTTCACACATTTATGCATTTATCTTTTACTTCAAATTATCACATATTTGAATTTTCTGTAATATGGCAGTTAAAATAACTGTATTACCCTGCGTGCTTGTCGGAGTTTATGCATCGTTGAGTATTACTAGTTACTGGGTCAAATGGCTAAACGTTTTTACGTCACCCTTTCGTTGGAATACATTCAAATGAAATTGTTGTTTTCTGGGTATTTCTTTTTGCTTCTACCACTTTGATCTGAGTAATTGAAACTTTTATGTAAATGTTTAGTGCATCGATAGTTGTAACTGAAAAATTTGGGGATAATCTCACCTTAATCCTGATATTTTCATTTTTTAAATTTACATCACTGACAAATGTATCACCAACCTATGCTTTTTAAGTGTTTGCACTAAAAGATTTCTGGTAAAAGCACGAAAAATATGTGATGTAGTAAAGTAGACACTGAGATTTGAGCGATTTGATGTTATTAGTTATACCTATTATATAGATATTAATGATTATTAACCAGATAATAAAATCTTTATAAGTCGAGTTGGATTTAAATATGAAATCTAAAAGACACGTATGCCGATTTGCCAGAACTTTATGTCCAAAAAAGAACAACTACAATTATGTTGTATATGGAGACCTGATACAAAAACCCATACATATTTCCCTGTAAGTAATCATTTAGGAATATTTGTCTGTATTCTGTGAGAAAATAGTATTTGACCACTGAATTTAAATTCCAAACGCTGAAGTAGCATGTCTTTCCCCTTAGATCTAAGTGACTTTATTTCTTGTTTGATCATATACAAACAACTTACATTAATCATAATAAAATAACCATTGATAGTTTTTTCATCTCATCATCCTATAATTTTGTTTATTGCACTGGCATCATTGAACTTTCTGGATTAAATTGACTATTACACTAAAAGTGTTAGTAATTTATCTAGAAACTTCGAAATGTATTTCACAGATATACTACATAGTTCTGATAAACTTCGTTTTCTCATTGCATTATCGAAATTTATCAAAGGGACTAATTGTTTCGAATTATTCAGAAACATTTCGTTTTACTAGTTAGAAATATTCCCTTTAGTGTAAAAGCTCTTATCACATTCAGTTTGAGAAGCGATATAAGTCAAATCATCCCAGATAACAATATAGATTTGTTTCAAATCGTTAAATTTGGTAAGTGAAATATTTCATCATTTACTTACACCTGTTATACCTTATGGAAGAGCATAGGCCGCTCATTATCGTTCTCCATACAACTCTGTCCTGGGCAATCCTTTCCAGTCCCTATTCATTCTTTTCATGCCTGCTTTCAATTCTCGGTACAGTGTGTTCTTTGGCCTTTCCCTCTCTTCCGCTTCCCTTCAGGCTTCCATATTAGGGCTTGCCTTATGATGCAGCTTGGTGATTTCCTCAATCTGTGTCCTGTCCACTTCCAACACCGTTTCCTAATATCCTTCTCAGCTGGAAGTTGCTTCGTCCTCTCCCACAGAAGGCTTTTGCTGATGGTATCCGGCCAATGGCTGTTGAGTATCTTGCCTAGACAACTATTTATGAATACTTGTACCTTCTTGATCTGGTCGGCGGCCTATGCTCCATTAGGAGTAACAGGCGTAAGTAGGTAAGTAAGTAAGTACCTTCTTGATGATGATTGTAGCAGTTCTTCACGTTTCAGCTCCTTGGTTTTACCCTTGTGTATGTAGAGGCCTGCTTTTGCAGAGGCTGCTGCTACACTAGTTGTCTTCATCTGTATTTTTTCGTGTGCATGGGACAGGTCCAGGTTATCTGAGAAGTCCGAATCTTCTGATCGATTCTGAGCTATCCATTATATTCCATGCTTTCCCTCAGATGTAGAGGTTTTCATAATCCAGTCGACCACCAGAATAAAGAGGAAGAGGGAGAGTAGACAGTCTTGTCTGACTCCAATCCTCACTTGGAATGCATCTGTCAGCTGTCCTCCATTCACAACTTTGCACTGTAGTCCATCGCAATAAATCCCGGATATTGTTGACAATCTTCTCAGGAACTCCATATTGTCGAAGAGGGTTCCATTATATTCTCCTGTCCACACTGTCAAACTCCTTCTCGTAGTCAGTGAAGTTGATGTATAGTGAAGAGCTCCACTCAACTGATTGTTCTACGATGATCCGTAGTGTCGTAAAATTTGGTTTGTGCACGACCAGTCCTTACGGAATCCAGCCTGTTGATCTCGAAATTGGGCGTCTACTGCATCTTTCATCCGGTTCGGCAACACTCTGTTGAAAACGTTTCCTGGTACCGGCAGTGGTTTCGTGCCTTTGTAATTCTCACATTTGCTCAGATCTCCTTTCTTTGTAATCTTGATGAGGTATCCTTCTTTCTAGTCCGTCGGCACTTGTTCCTGCTCCCAAATCTTCTTGAATAGAAGGTCAGGCATGTTTTCAGTTACTTCATTGTCTAACTTCAATTCTTCAGCTGGTATATTTTCTGGTCCTGCTGCTTCCCTGCTCTTGATTTGTCTGATGGCCATCCTGATTCCTGTCGTTGGCGGAGTGAAATCTGTGGGATGGTCTGTGTGTGATGCTTCGATGTCCGGTGGAATTCATTGGAGCTGGTCTATTCAAGAGTTCCTCAAAATACTCTACTCATCTTCGTGAACAGAGTATAGCAGCATCTCTCCCGTATCTAGCCTTTGCTGTCCAGCTTGGGTCCAATGGGTTTCTCTGACTCCGAGTACTGCCAAGTTGTATCTCCTCATTTCTGTTGCTATATGACTGGTGTTCTCGGTCTCTCACATTGTCCAGACGTTCCATGTACCTACAAATATTGTTACTATAGTTGTTAGAAGGGGCATCGGCCTCGTGACTTCCAGAGAATCTGGGCTTACATCCCGAGGTGTTATAATTCTTCCTTTAACTCGAAGGGCAGAGTTTAAATAGTTTAATTTGGTAGATCTGGTTGGCGTTTTTTTAGCAAGATGTTTTTCTACGGGATGGAGTTGCCAACCTCATGCCCAACCCTCTTTCTTTACCCGGACTTGGGACCGGCGGTAAATTTAGAAGAGCTACAGGCGGAGTTACATGTGATAACAGCTTGTAATAGTTACGTAGTGTCAAGTAAGATCACTAAGACTATCAATGCTGTTAAATCCACCTTGACTTACAATCTAAAAACCTTCCAACCTTTAATTGTTCACTGTAAATATAGTGAAAACACGTTATAAGTGATGTACTTCACTACAGGCCCCTTTCATCCCTCTTCCTACTAATAACACTATCACACCTACTACGCAGTTCAATTCGAATTTCACGTATAGATAAAAAATTAATTGAAATTATTTATTCTCATTACTTTAGGTAATTTTAGAAAATCAGTTGAATGGGGTTCGACTGAATTGTCTACCAAGCCGAAACTGACCAATCAGAATTTAGATACTGTTTTGCCTCAAACAAATTCTACTGTAAACAAACATTCTCAACAGAAAAGTTCATCGGAATTGAAGCAAGACAAGTCTAGCTTGTCGCCGTCCACTGCAAAAGTAAGAAATGGTTTTTCAAGATTTTCTGCTTCCTAAATTATAGGTGTTTATTGGCTCATGAAGATTAAATCTAAAGGAAATAACCTTAATCTTTGTGAACTACTAGTTCGGTTTTCTATCTTTTAAATTATTATTGAGCGTATTTCAGTTTATTTTCAACGACTAATCATCTCATTGTCAGACATGAGCAATGTTATTATTTAAGTCACCAATCTCATATGGATAACATACTTAGTTTTTATAGATAACTGTAGATGTAATTTAAATAAGCTGCCTGTCTTAAGCTGACAAACATTTTCACACACTTGAACACTTGATAAAATAAACATTTACTGTACGAAAATCGTATGATAGTTTAAAGTGTAGGAAAACACGTTAAAGCACCAATAAATCTATTTGACTATGCAATTATTAACATGAATTACATCAGATATTATGTTCATTTAACTTGATAAGGTTGGATAGTACATAATACTTAAACGATTACCAATTTATCCACATGTATCCAATGTATTTGTTCTTATATTTCAAAAACTTCCCCTCAGCATTAAAATATACAGATTGGGTAACATAATCAATATAGTTTTCTTTTTTTTATCTGTAGCACAAACATTTCTGTACAATAAAGTTCCAAGGAACTTATGTCGCAACATAGCTTATTTACCAAGTATATGTTTGTGTCTACACCGAAGTAGGTAAACTGAGGATCGAACCTGTAACCTGCATGTTGAAACTCGAGTGCCTTAACAAGAGTTACTTTTGTGGCTAAGACTATTTCCATTTTAATTCTTCTCTTTGATACCTGTAATTCATTCGTGAAAATAATATTACTTCCTACCTTAGAGCAGAAATTTTCTAAGAGTGACGGTCAATGCAGGAAGGGATTTTACTTTGCCCATAATTTTTCGCTTTTTAAATGGTTTATTACAGTAATATGTAATCGTTTATATCTAGTTTAGGAAGGGTTTGATGTTGTCTAACAGTGGAATCTATGACGCGCGTTTCGTCTTATTTAGAATTGTCCAGCTAGGTTCATGTGTATCCGTCTTGATTCTCACCACGGAACTCGGGCTCATTATCTTTCGCTTCAAACGCTAATCAGTTACCCACTTACTTACTGAATCCACATATCCACTGGTTTACGCAATGAGGACAAATTATAATTTAATTGTAACCGAATTACTCAGTCATAATATTTGGATATTTTCATAGCTAGGAGTCAAACGAATAAGCTGGGCCTTTTATAAGCTCGTATACATTTTTTTACCACTCCATAGGGACTGTATTCCGTATAATCTCTGTGTAATCAAACAGTGTCCTGATATTTCAAATGATCTATTGTGTAACATTTGATATTGAAAATTTATGGAGTGTTATTTTTCAATAGATGGTTGTGATTGTGTGCTTAAATGGGTCTTTCATTTTTTGGAACCTTTTACGATACTTTCAAGTAAATCGTAAGAAGTAGGTCAATACTGAACTTTAAAAACGTTCTGTGTTCAAACGCGACTATTGTAAAGAAATTATTTATTTAAACAATTATAGGTTCAATTGAAAAATGCTGCTCGGTGTTTGGAAGAAAGTCTAATTCTTTTAGATCAACATTATTCACCTATGGAAATTGTATACGATTGTTTTGTTTTTCATGATGGCAGTGAATGGGTGTAAGTCAAGTTATCAATTTTTTCGAGAGTGGTAAGCATTTTTAGGCAGAGGTGGATGCTAGCCAGTATCGAAATCTCATTTATGACTCATCAGATGGATGTACGTGTATCCCAGAGCCGACGTTCACCCCGGAAACCGAACCCACTACCGTCCGTTTCAAACTCTACTGCCAGTCGCAAACTATCTTTGCTTTTAACGCTTGTGATATAATCACAATATCGAGGCAGTCTTCACAGGATGCCAAAAGAGATGGATCAATAACGCGATGACGTTTGAAGCCGAAGGTACTGGGTTCGAGTCCCAGAGTGATTCTCCACCCTGCGATGCAGTTGCATTCAGGTGACGAGTCCCAAACAGTATAAAACGGGCATTGTGGTTCCCACTACAAGTTACCATTTATCTCTGCTTAAAATGCTTGTGACTTAATGGTACTATCGAGATAATCCACATAGGATGCAAATATGCCAAATGAGACGGATCAATTTCAGTCCTAAATATCAACGGAATGATTCAAACAACTAATACAAATGATCAAACATTTTTCTTTTACTAACTGTGAACTAAAGAAAAAAAACACATAAGATTTCCTATTTAATAAAGTTTTTTAAGTTTCACATAATTATATGGCACATTTTTTTTTAATTGTCACTGAAATGTTTTCAATAGTATCCATACATATATCTTCTCTATGAATCATAGATACTACAAGGCAATTAGACAGTAATAATTGTACTTACTTACTTACGCCTGTTACTCCTCGTGAAGGAGCATAGGCCACTCACCAGCATTCTCCATCCAACCCTGTCCTGGGCAATCCTTTCTAGCTCCGTCCAGTTGTAATTCATCCTTTTCATATCTGCTTCTATAATCCGACGCAATGTGTTCTTTGGCCTTCCTCTTTTTCGCTTCCCTTCAGGGTTCCAAGTTAGGGCTTGCCTCGTGATGCAGTTTGACGATTTGCGTAATGTATGTCCTATCCATTTCCATCGTCTTTTCCTAATTTCTTCTTCAGCTGGAAGTTGGTTTGTTCTCTCCCACAGAAGGCTATTGCTGATGGTATCCGGCCAGTGGATGTTGAGTATCTTGCGTAGGCAGCTATTTATAAATACTTGTACTTTCTTGATTGTGGTTGTTGTAGTTCTCCAAGTTTCAGCTCCATACAGTAGAACTGCCTTGACGTTCGTATTGAAGATTCTCACTTTGATATTGGTTGAAAGTTGTTTTGAGTTCCATATGTTCTTCAATTGTAGGAATGCGACCCTTGCTTTGCCGATCCTCGCCTTTACGTCTGCATCTGAACCTCCTTGTTCATCGATGATGCTTCCTAGGTATGTGAAGGACTCTACATCTTCCAGAGTTTCGCCATCAAGAGTGATTGGATTGCTGTTCTCCCCTTGAATTTGAGGACCTTGGTTTTCCCTTTGTGTATGCTGAGGCCTACTGATGCAGAGACTGCTGCTACACTGGCTGTCTTCATCTGCATCTGTTCGTGTGTACGTGATAGGAGGGCTAGGTCGTCTGCGAAGTCCAAATCGTCTAATTGATTCTGAGTTGTCCATTGTATTCCGTGTTTTCCTTCAGATGTCGAGGTCTTCATAATCCAGTCGACCACCAGAAGAAAGAGGAAGGGAGAGAGTAAACAGCCTTGTCTGACTCCAGTCCTTACTTGGAATGCATCTGTCAGCTGTCCTCCATGCACTACTTTGCACTGTAGTCCGTCGTATGAGTTCCGGATAATGTTGACAATCTTCTCAGGAACTCCGTAGTGTCGAAGAAGTTTCCATAATGTCCTCCTATCTACACTGTCGAATGCCTTTTCATAATCAATGAAGTTGATGTATAGTGATGAGTTCCACTCAACTGATTGTTCGACGATGATCCGTAGTGTTGCAATTTGGTCTGTGCACGACCGATCCTTACGGAATCCAGCTTGTTGATCTCGAAGTTGGGCGTCTACTGCATCCTTCATCCGGTTCAGCAACACTCTGTTGAAGACTTTCCCTGGTATTGACAGTAGTGTAATGCCTCTGTAGTTTTCACATTTGCTCAGATCTCCTTTCTTTGGAATCTTGACGAGGTGTCCTTCTTTCCAGTCCATCGGCACTTGTTCCTCCTCCCAAATCTTTTTGAATAGAAGGTAAGCATGCTTGTGGTTGCTTCGATGTCTGATTTCAGTGCTTCAGCTGGTATGTTGTCGGGTCCTGCTGCTTTCCCGTTCTTGATTTGTCTGACGGCCATTCTAATTTCTTCCGTCGTTGGTGGGTTGACATCTATAGGAAGATCTATGTGTGCTGCTTCGATGTCCGGTGGATTCATTGGAGCCGGCCTATTCAGGAGTTCCTCGAAGTATTCTACCCATCTGTTACGCTGTTGTTGAATTTCGGTGATTGGCTTGCCTTCTTTGTCTTTGACCGGCCTCTCTGGTTTACTGTATTTCCCTGCTAGTTTCTTCGTTGTATCGTGAAGCTGTTTCATATTTCCTTCTCTAGCAGCTTTTTCTGCCGTCGTTGCTAGTTCTTCCACGTATTTCTTCTTGTCGGCTCTAATGCACCTCTTCACTTGTTTGTTTGCTTCTATGTATTCAGCTTGTGCTTGGACTTTCTCTGCTCGTGTTCGGCTGTTGTTAATTGCTGCCTTCTTGTTCTTCCTTTCTTTGATCTTGTCCAGTGTTTCTATAGAGATCCATTCCTTATGATGGTGTTTCTTTAGGCCCAGAACCTCTTGACACGTTGAAGTTAATGCTTCCTTGATGCCTTTCCAGTTGTCCTCCATAGTAGTTTCTTCTTCTTCAGTAGATCTTGTAAGGCTTGGAACCTGTTGTTGAGAGCTATCTTGAATTCATTGAGTTTGTCAGTATCTCGAAGGAAGGCTGTATTGAACCTTTGTAGTGCTGTTTGTCCACTTGTCCAGTTCTTTTTTAGCTTCAGTTTTAAATTGGCTACAACTAGGTGGTGATCTGAAGCTACGTCAGCACCTCTCCTGGTTCTCACATCTTCCATTGTCCTTCGGAATTTTTTGTTGATGCAAATATGATCTATTTGGTTCTCTGTAGTGTGGTCCGGTGAGATCCATGTAGCCTTGTGTATACGCTTGTGTGGAAATATTGTGCCTCCTATGACCAATTTGTTGAATGCACACAAATTTGCAAATCTTTCTCCATTTTCGTTTCTTTCTCCCAGTCCATGTCGTCCCATAATATCTTCATATCCAGTGTTGTCTATTCCGACTTTGGCATTTAGATCTCCCATCAGAATAGTTAGGTCCTTTCTTGGCATTTCTCAATGATTGACTGCAGCCGCTCGTAGAACTGATCTTTAATGTCGTCGTTGCTATCATTGGTGGGTGCATAACATTGGATAATATTCATTAAGATCCCCTCCTTCTTTGTTTTGAATGATGCTTTGATGATTCTGGATCCGTGAGACTCCCATCCTACAAGTGCATTTCGTGCTACTTTGGACAGCATAAGAGCGACTCCCTGAGTGTGTGGAGCATTGTCCTCCTCGTGACCGGAGTATAGCAGCATCTCTCCCGTAGCTAGCCTTTTCTGTCCAGCTTGGGTCCAGTGGGTTTCGCTGATTCCCAGTACTGCTAAGTTGTATCTCCTCATTTCCATTGCTATTTGACTGGTCTTCCCGGTTTCCCACATTGTTCGAACGTTCCATGTACCTATAAAAATTTTTGCTCTGGTTGTTAGAAGGGGCATCGGCCTCGTGGCTTCCGAAGGAACTCGGCTTTCACCATGAAGCGTCATAATTCTTCTAACTGAAGACCTTCTAACTCCCAGGGCAGAGTTTAAATGGTTTGAATTATTTTTTCTGGTAAGCGTTTTTTTAGCGAGTTAGTTTTCTACGGGATGGGGACGCTAACCCCATGCCCAACCCTCCTCCTTTACCCGGGCTTGGGACCGGCAGTAACCCTATGAGAGCTACAGGCGGAGTTAGTAATAATTGTAGGAGAAGTTAAATATTTTTACGAAGGTGAATTATTGAAGTTGAAATAAATGGTTATAAAAAATAATACTCTTATTCAAAGAGCTTCATGGAGTTCATGTATGCTCTGGGCATTTTTCTTCAACAACTAAAAAAAAAATGATATTTATACAAAATCATGTTGATAGATGTTCTTGACGTATCCTATTGTTCGAGAACAATAAAGATTCTTGTATAAAAAATGTAACAGTCATTACTGACTGTTATAACTCGTCGTTTGAATGCTCTTTTAATGCTACTTTTTGTATCTGATCGTCGCTGAATGTTATGTCGGAAACGCTTATCACTTATACTCGGAACGAAAGACCTCTGCAATTCCCATGACGCGAAAGTAAGAACACAAAGACTGGTATAAGTGATGATTTATTAACCCCAAAACACTCATTTATATATTGATTGTACACCCATTTTGATTAATAATTAGGATGAAATCACATATAAGAAAACAAATACTACATTTGAGTAATCATTACATTGAATTAAAACGGAAGCAATTTTGAACTAAACTCGTAATGAGTAAATCAATCGAAAATTGACTTTTCTTTTCATCATATCATTGACAAATAGTTCATTTGGCAAAGAAGATTCACATTGTAAAAATATGAAGTATTATTCATTTTGATGTATGACTCAATTAATTAATAACGAACGACTAATCGCTTCATTCCATTTTCTTTGATTTACAATGGTTAGTGGTTATCATTGACTGTCACAGGAAAGGTTTAGGTTACACTTTCTTATAGGGGTTCATTATGATAAACTGCATTATCTTTTTGCGAGACTATAGTTTATAGACGAAATAATCAGATTCAAGATTGGAAGTTTTGGATTTTGGCACGAAATTCATTCATTCATATGGTTAAATAGCATTTTGGTATTATACCTGGTGTCAATCCGTGATGAAAACCCAAACTTCTAACTCTAAATCTTATTTATTTTAACACATAGATATTGATACAAGAATGCACCAAATACATATGCACTACACAAATCTCATTCGATATGTGTGAGGGTTGGGATACTGCCCGAGTGCCCAAACCGGAGCAGGTGGTTTTCTTAGGGGGCCAAACTCCGAGCCTTCAACCTGAAGATCTGATCCACAAGACAGTGGAGCATTGTAAGGAGATGCAGTCCGATGGAAGCCGGTGACCAATAATTGGTTCATACGCCATTTGTTCCTTTAGGATACTGGAGCTCATGTGCACCATTGGTTTGGAATCCGGTTAAAGCGCCGAACATTCGCTTTTCGTCCTCTCATTTTCGTAAACAACAGTAATGCCACGAGGAGGCAGTGAGTTGGACTTCCCTGGCAGAGGCTATGTACGCGTGCTCATGGGAGAGCATTTCAAGAGGGGGAGCGGACTCTCCCCACTCTCGGCAGTACCAGTGCATTTGGGGGCACCAGGGTGCTTGGTACCTGTGTGGTTGCGCCACAGGATTGGGCTGTACTATTCAGATTGTAGCGTTAAAGCCTATACGGTATCTGGTTCCCTTGCTAAACGGGGTTGAGCTGTACTGTTTGAGTTTTCACGTGAAAGTCCGGATGGTGTCTGGTTCTTCTGAAAACCAATGTAAAATTACCCTGGCCCACAAGGGTATATTATATAACTGTGAGCCTTCAAATGCCCTGCTACTCTAAATCTTACACTGATTTACAACCGTCTTTAGACCCTAGTAAGTAGATGAATTTTCTCAAGGTCGCTTCGGCGTCGTTCAAGGGTCATCCATAAATTATAGTCTCAACTATTTTACCAATGATTAACTAAATGACACTTATTTCACTCATTTGATTATCCTTTAGTATGGATTGATCACACATAGCAAAAAGAAACCTTAAACTACTCATTGTCTATAAGTATTACACGTTATTAATTTTGTGTTTTAATCTTTCAGTGCTTGTATAGATACAAGTCCATACAATCCAAATACAACATTGTCCGATTTACCATTATTACGAGATTATGCAGTTAACTATGAATATGCATCATTCGGTGAACAAAGTAAGCTATGAACGGTTTAATTTCAGGTATACGTTTTAATATACTTATTATCAGTATTGGATTGTACCTAACTGTGGAATCTAAGTCTCACATTTCGTTCCATTTGGGACTTGTAAGCTAAATATAACTGTACTGCTAGTCAAAATCTTTCTATTCTATATTAACATATGATGATATCTATATCGAGTCAATCCACATAGAATACACATATACCAAGTATGATTAATCAAATTTCAGCCCCTAGCATAAAAAAACGTGTTACCTTAAACCCTTCCTTATAATATTATAAATACTACAAAATATTGTAGATACATCTGAAATTATTTTATTCCTCTAATTAACAAAGAATTAGTAAATTTCGATGACATGATTTCATTTCAATCGTTAAATATTAAGGTTTCTGTTGTAGAACTTAAGTGTTCAATAGATTTCAATATATATCGAGTTTAGGGTGTAAAGTCATTTGCGCTGTCAAACTAGAATGGAATACTTAATTTTCGACCAAGCATTTACAGATTTGCGATCTGCTCCTCTTACTGTCATATAGTATTATTATCTATTACAAAAACTGTCTGCATCAAAGCTCAGTATATAAACCTATATGATACATCACTACAACAGCTGTGTCCAGTGTATTGAATTCGTAAATCATCCGAGTACTTACGTAGCCTGTCTGTTGAATTTGCGAAAGGAGGTCATAAAAACCTTATTTTACGAAATTTATGGGAAATTAACACTAACTCTGCTCATACTCTAGATCAATAACAGTGCTTGTTCTATCTCCTCTCCTATCTTTTAAAATATATTCAGAAATCTTTAAAAGTTAGTTCGTCCAATTATGCCATCTAGTGAGTATGGAATTACGAGCCAGTTTTGAAGACAATTACTGTTAAATTCACAATCGCATTATCCTGATATGATAACCATCTTTACAATTGACTAGTTACTGGGTAGTGACCACTGCAATGTGTGTCAGATCCTTCTTAGTGCAGATCGAATTCTATCGATCAAGCTTCAATGTGGCCACTAGTTTAATGACTTGACATCGCGCGTACTGTGTTGCGATGCAAGGTGGTGACTAGAGGTAATCAACAGGAAACCATGTACCTAGGTTTCGCGACCCGGATGGCTCAATGATAACATCTCTGGCTGTGAAGCTGGGTGATACTAGATCGAATTCACCTGGGAGGATCAGTTCCCTCTAGATTACAGGTGCATCTTGCTAAAGAGTGCTTAATAGCGCAGAACCTAAGTCCAGGATTTCCCGTTGAGTACCTCCAACCAGCATCTTATATCACAATATCCATTTAACAATATCACATATATATGGCCTCACACGATCTCTATAGCACTCAAAATTTCCATGTACTTCAGGAAGAAATTCATGGTGGACAACACCATGACTACCAGAAAATAATCAGCTCAGTTCACGGATTTATCATAATTTGTGATGTCTGTTGCAATGAAACATATTAGTTTTTGTGGTAACAAATGAGTTATTTCTCTGCAAAAATATACGAAATTCCTCAAGTCCTTTTTGAATTTTGTTTTAAAGCCCAACTTTATTATACAGTGAAAATTTTTGACAATGGAAAGTTACTACAGATTGTTACAAATAACAGTAGTCATGGCACTCATGTTGCGGCGATTGCCTCAGCGTATTTTCCCAATCATTCAAAAGATTCATCTAATAGTAGTGGGACTGTTACTGGTTCTACCGTGTTGTGTGATCGTGATGGAGTTGCACCTGGTGCACAAATTGTAAGCATTAAAATTTCAGACAGTCGTTTAGGTCTAATGGAAACTGGAATTAGTTTATTACGTGCCGTAAGTTATTGATGATGTGAGTTTTTTGTGCATATGTCCTGGTGTGAGAGGGAAGTTTAAACGGAGGTTGTTTTGCTTATCAGTAGACTCTATTATGAAAGCAGAACTATATTGTATGGATTTTGATTAAAGCCTTCAGTTAATCGCATTCGTTTAGTAGGATTTTAAATACTATCGTTTTGATAATCTGGTATACTAAATTAATGCTCTACCACTGAGGAAGTTTCATTTAATCCTAAGTAGTCCATTGATTATTGCACTAGTTAATAACTAACAGTTCTCATACACATCACACACAGGTTCTTTTGTTTGCGTATATTTTTAACCTGCTATTTGAAAACTTGATTCAGTGTGCTGTCTTAATAGGTGAAAACTTGGCCACTGCTTTCCATATTAAACACCCATAGTTCAAGCTAGTTTTTCTTAACGGTATTTATGCAATGAAACGCTGTAAAGGGAGAGGGAAGACTGATATTTTGTAACAGACCATCTAATATCTCATGAAAAAGTGCCGAAATGATGAAACTACTTTGTATGTATATTTTATCCATGATTTTGGATGAGATTTAGCTAATTAACATCTTAAACGTTAGTCGAGTAATAAGGGAGCAGAGACTTGAGAACGTGTTTTAGCATTCCATCATTTCACAAAAACGAAAGTCTCAGTGTATTGGCTTAGTAGTTAAAACATTTGACTTTTGTTTATTCGGACGTGATTTCGAACTCTACCTCATCTGTATTCACTTGGTCAGTTGTGTCGTAGCAATTATAACCTTCATATGAACAATGTATTCCAAAGGTAAGTGTACAACACACAGTTTGAAGCTTCACATGTGGCTGAAAGTGTCCTAAAGATCGTCAGTGAATAAACAAATAAATGGTTTATTTCTGAAAGCGTAAACTTATGGAGTAAACAAACTCTTTGTTTTCACTTAGGTGGCAATTAATTATTAGATAACTATAAATCAAAAACACTGACCGCGCGTTTTGTTCCATTATGGCACTTCTCGCTCACGAAACCAAACCGTTAGTCCTCGCGATGAACGCTCAACTTTTGGTTTACATTCCAATCCCTAATCTTTTCATTATATTGGCATGATCTTTATCTGAGGTCACCAATGATAATTAACGCACTTCTAAGCCAATGCAGCCCATCATTTGCGACTTCTTCCTAGAACTTCTAGAGCTCTAATCAATTTACTGATGAGTATATGACTACATTAAATTCGTCTTCATAACACTTTGGACCGAAATAATAACTTAATTCTATGTTCAAAGTCGTCCATGAATATTGATTGATACTTTTGCGTATGCTTATACATACTTTATACTTCATCTAGATCCGATGGACAATTGAACTAAAATGTGATATTGTGAATTACAGTTTTGGTGAACAAGCAATATGGCCAAATATTGGGTATGTTATATCATCACTGATTTGTAGGTGCATTTTTCATATTTCCATGGTGAAAAAGCTTATCGGTTTCCTACATTATGATCAGTATATTTTGAAATCCAACACTCTTTTTGTCATGTTTTGTAATGTTATGGTCTTACTTCCCTATATCGTTGAGTTGCACTGAGTAAATGGTTTATTTCTCAATCTTAAAAATCATTGAAAGATGAACACACGTTTCGCTGATAATTAACGAACAGATAAGATTGTATATGTCATTTAGAGACTTAATTTATTGATTTGTTGTTGATACGGAATCCAACGTAGAACCTGATACATGTACATTGGTCCAAATCTCTATACTACATTAACACAGCGACATAAAATTATCAAGACAAATCCCGAGATAGTAGAAGTACTAACAGCATTAGGTATAGTAAAAAGGATTAAGGATAGGAAAAGAGAAAAAAAGTTGTAAGGTATTTCTCCCTATTCCTCTCTTATTAATGACTGTGTTTCACACCCATAAAGTAGAGCAGATCAAACAGATTTGATGTAAACTCGTCCTTTGCTTGACATATGGATATCTAGCCAAATTCTCGTTGAGCTTTCTGAATGCATGCCGATATTCCGCCAGATGCTAGCTCGTCAGAGCTGACGAGACTCCAAAGATAAGTGGAGCATTCAACACACTTAACTACTTCACTTCGTATCATTAATCCATGGGCTGATGTAGACCAGTCCTGAAGCGAAATTTTGCGTTTGGGTGGATGGGTGGTGGGAGAATCACATCCCAAACATCCTTGCATTGTTGCTTGAGATGATTGGAAGACTGTATTTTGTTAGTTTCTTCACCAAACAGGATTATATCATGTACATATTCAAATTTAGCAAGTGAGTCTCTTCGTAGAAGACCAATTTCTGATAGATAAGATGACGATATCTGTGACGGAGTTAATAAAAGCAATGAAAGTGGAAATCCCTGACGAACACCACTTGAGATTGACAATTCGCCAAAAGCTCTAAATTAACCAGTAGTGGTCAAATAGATCTGCTTGCGTTGTATTAACGTTGATCACATTAAAACTTGAATAGTGTTGTATGCTTCAAACTTCGATTGATTGATTATCCACTACACTACTGTATCTGCATTGAGAAATACAATCACATTTCAATGATAAATCAATAATAGAATGTGTCACATATCCTAGATTTCACCGTTAACCATAATCTAGAAAGATAATAAAACTTTTAATGATGGGTAATATTAAGGCATCTCTGATCAAGATGAACATATACAAACAGAAATTGATCAAACGCGTTCTTGAATATTAACTACGAGAAAATATAAACCCTTGGAAATCCTCATCTGGTCGTTGATAACTGTAAAGTTTTTCAAAATTCTGACCATAATCTGTAAAAAAATAAGTATTTTTCAATCAGGATCACATTGAGACTTATTCTTAATAGTTGATTCTTACATACACCTCGAAATTTCGTATAAATACCTAGTTGTTTCTGAGTTTATGATTGTTGATTAGAAATACAAGAAACTTTCTAGGTTCTGTCGGCCTTTTTAACCTGTAGAGGTGGGATTAAACAGTTAGTCAGGGAAAAGAAAGTTTTTTTGTAGGGCATCTATGTTATTACGTCCAGTTTTTTATACCTGTCATATGATTACCATATAACATTGATTAACCGTTGTTATTATGTATGTTTTGCTTCAACAAGACAGATGTACTGTAAAACCAATCGTTGCATTTAAGTATGAGTGAAATATGTGCATTTTGTAGTTAAGAATTAGTTAACAATTTAAATAACACTATTGGTTTATTGGTTTAAGTAAACAACTTTTATGCAGGAAGCTCTACCGTTCTGATTCTTGAAGTCTGGTCAGCCATTTAGTACCACTTGTATAACTCACATTGGCCAAAGATATTAAAATCGATGCAGTTTGTCAATTATGTTTGAATTTCGTCATAATCAAAGCAATAAATTGTAATAAAAGAGTTTTCTATTATTCCCACTGTTCTTCTTGTTAAAAACACACATTTCTCCTCAACAGGCGTATCTCAAAGTATTTGAATCGAATGATTCATAAATATGGTATCATTATGGTTGCAAGTGGTGGGAATAACGGACCTAGTTTGGGTTCATTAAGTTGTCCAGGTGGTACAGTTCAAGGTGTAATTGGTAAGTTTCTGTAGTATATCTCTCTTTCTTACCTTTCTACTCTTGTTATACTATGTCTATTACTCTTCGGCTAAAAAATTTGACAGTAAATAGTTGTGAAAATTGTTGAATCTCATTGAAATCATGAATCGATCTCAGTTAGACATCCACTGGAAACTTGGAATCAGTGGACGACTGTTTCATCCGAATATCTGGGTCCTGGGTTCGATTTTTGTGTGTGTGGGGTCGTGGATGTGCACTGTTGAGGACTCTCAAACTAGGACGAAACGGTCGTCCATTGCTTCCAGGTTTTCGCTGTTGGACTAACTTAGGTCGGTTCATGATTTTAAGGTAATACATTTGGATTGAATTTATACAGTCGAAAAGAAAAAGTGAGTTACATATGCGATATCCTGTAATGTCTTTCACTCTTTTTCCTGTGAAATGCATAATTGTCTTGTCCCGGGTATTGGGGTTTCTAAATCCGACGACTTACGCTTGTTACACCTCGTAGCAACACAGACCGCCCACCAGCCACTATACATTCTTTTGATGCCTGCTTCCAATTCTCGACGTAATGCGTTCCTTGGTCTTCCTCTTTTCCTTTTCCCTTCAAGATTCTTGATGCAGTTTGATGATTTCCCTAATGTTTATTTTATTTATTTATTTTAACACCGACTGCCTCGACGTGCTATGTTCAGTGGTATAGGAGTAGGTTGGAAGAAAGATAGGGGCGGCCAAACCAAAACATGGCACAAGTCCATGAAGTCACTGACAAGTGAACTGAGTCATGTTGGTAGGTGTAGACTACCTGGTTGGGGACCGCGAGATGATAGCAACCGATGGTTAGAGACCCTGAATGACATGGCTCAAAATCGTTTGCAATGGCGCAGGTGCATCCACTCTCTGTGTTCTCCCAAATTCTAATCTTCTGAATCCTTCATGTCCCTTTTTTCCTCTTTCCAAATTTATTTCACTGGATTATACTCTTTAAATAACATCTCCAAACCCTAATCTTCCCGATTACTGCTTATACTCTTATTACCTCTGCCACTACGGGATTTGAATCGACAACTGCATCTCTGTGCTAATGTGGTGTGGCAACTCGAACTGATGTACGTACGTACGGAGTTCTACGTTGTTACTGACTGACTGACTGAACACATAGATATTGGTACAAGGAGGCACCAAATACATACGTGCCACACAAGTCTCGTTTGATATATGTGAGGGCTGTGATACTGCCCGGGTGCCCAAACCGTAATGTATGTCCTACCCACTTCCTCATTTCCTCTATAGATGGAACATGGTTTATTCTCCCCACAGTAGACTGTTGCTGATGATATCCGGCCAACAAACATTCAGTATCATACTTAGGCAATTGTTTAGAAACACTTGTACTTGTTTGATAATGGTTGTGGTAGTTTTCGACGTTTCGACTCCGTACAGTTGAACTGTCTCGTCGTTCGTATTGAAGATTCTGATTTTGATATTGGTTTATAATTGTTTTGAGTTCCATATGTTGTTCAAGTGTAGGAATGCTGTTGTTGCTTTACCAATCCTTGTCTTTACGTCTGCGTCTGATCCTCCTTGTTCATCGATGATGCTACCCGAATAAGTGAAACTTTCCATATGTTACAGATTTTATCCATCAAGAGTGATTGAGTTGGTGCTCTCCCTGTTGAATTTGAGGATCTTTGTTTTTATCATGTGTATGTTCAGGCGTACTGATGCAGACAGAGGCTGCTGTTTCACTGTTTGTTTTGACCTGCATTTATTGATGTGTATGTGATAGAAGACCTAGGTCATCTGCGAAGTCCACATCGTCTAGTTGCATCTAACCTGTCCATTTTATTCCGTGCTTTCTGTCAGATGTTGAGGTCTTCATAATCCAGTCGACCACCAGAAGAAAGATAAAGTGGGGAGGGTAGGCAGCCTTGTGTGACTCTGGTCCTCACTTGGAATACAGCTGTCCTCCATTCACGACTTTGCAGTGTAGTCCGTCGTGTGAATTCCGTATGACGTTTAGTGTCTTCTCAAATACACCGTAGTGTCTAAGAAGGTTCCATAAGGTTCTCCTATCCACGCTGTCCAACGCTTTCTCATGGTCAAGGAAGTTCATGTATAGTGACGAGTTCCATTCAATTGATTGTCCAACAATGATTCGTAATGTGGCGATTTGGTCTGTGCACGACCGATTGTTACGGAATTCAGTTTCTCGATCTCGAAGCTGAGTATCTGGTGAATCTTTCAACCTGTTCAGCAACACTTTGTTGAAAATGATTCCTTGTACCGACATAAGTGTGATGTCTGTGTAGTTCTGATTCTTGCTCAGATGTCCTTTCTTTGGTATCTTAATGAGATATATTTATTTCAAGTCTGTCAGTGACACTTGTCCTTCTTCCCAAATCTTCCTGAATAGAGTGTGAAGCATGTTTGCAGTTGCTTCAGCTGGTGTGTTTCCTGGTCCTGCTGCTTCCCCACTTTTGATTTGCCTGATGGTGGATTTATTTGTTCCCAGAAATGATATATACACACACGACTTTTTATGTGATTCAATTAGTCATATTAACTGTAAAGTTTGTACAAATCGAATTGAATAATATTTAAAATCAGTTAAACAACACCTGACTATGTAGATACATATTTGCAGTATCATACAGTTAAGCATTTTTAGCCAACAAATTTAACTGATTGACTAAGTCATATAATTACTGCTTCTCAAGATGTAATTGCATGTCATGGGCGATTGGGAAAAAATAATTTCTTACATCATTCGCACTATAATTCATTGAATCATTGATCGTCATATTATATCTATTCCAAAGATGTTCCGTGACTAAATGTACCTAAGTAAAAGCTTAAATATTCAAGTGAAATTTTTATGAGGAACTCCTAGTGCTTTCTGGAGCTGTCCATCTATACTAGTTGGTTAAGGTGTCAGTTATCACAATCGAATTGTTCACCTATTAGACATGTAAGTTAAATAGTGAAGAGTTTATTCTCAAAACACTCATATTGTTAAATAAACCTATTTGCATAAAGTAAAATAGATATATTTGGCTGGTGATTTTGACAGCTCTTTTTAGTACACTTCAAAACCAATACCTTGAAAATCAGCTAGTCCCTTTAATGAAACCTCCACAATCAAACATCTAAGCTTGAGAAGTACTAAAAGGTTGTCACTATAATAATGAGCTACTGATTTCTTGTTCGACTAGATTTCATTTTTTTAATCTTACTGGCGTTTTGTATTTTACTTTAATTTGTGAAGTGTCATGACGTAGGTTGCGATTGTGTCATCATGAGTTTCTTTGATAAATTATCCACATACAGTAAAATCGTAATGCCGAGTTTAAATGTTTGGTTTAAGATAAAAACTATAATTCAGTTAATGGGGCTGTAAACTCTCGTACATTTGGGTGGTTGGGACATATGTCACACACCCCAAACCACTGGTTATCCCTGACCCTGGTTGGTATATGATTGGGTTGTAAACAAGCTTTATACAGATGAAACCGACTTCGTGGTTGAGGTCATCACAATCCGATCTCAGAGGCATTGTGGTTAGCATAACTTGTTTTTTTATATCTAAATCTCAAGTTTAGTGGGATTCCATACTTTCCATTCGTCCCTTTCGATGTATATTTCTCATCCTTAGTTCTTTACTGTAATGTACATTATTAGTTCCTATCTTAGCCTTTTCATCGTGTTAGTTTCCTTAGTCATTACGCTAGATGTAGTAACTCGAACAAATGAACATTCGTATCAAGCCCTATATTGTCAATGTCTGACTGACTGTGATAGCCTCTGAAAACACGATGTGCAATTTGGGTAACATTAGTTTAAATTATTATCGTACATTTTGCCCGACCGTAGTATCAGCTACTTGGGTGTGATAGTCAAACAGATTTGAATGTTAGTTGCCCTCAGAGAGACGAAGATTTTATAGATTGATAAACTTGGAAATCTATTGATAACTGCTAATGTGTATGGGATTTACGATAATTATTCAGTTTAAGATTAGTTTGCGTCACAACCCAATATCTAATTATAAAACGAACTACTATAAACCTAGAGGCACTAAAGGACTATTTCCCAGCAGCTCTGGTCTACAGCTCTTAAAGGAAATTAAACCCAGGACACTTTTAGACCATCACAGTGACCAAATTACTTTTAGATCTTTAAGTCTTAATTTTTAATTTAACATATTATCAACTTGAAGTAATTCCCTAAAAAGCACAAACTTAGAAACTTCTGTTATCCCTAGAAAACGAAAGTAGCTCACCTCTTTAATCTATTTATTACAGGTGTTGCACCCTTAGTATTTCCTGACATGATGCATTATCTATATTGCCAACCAAGTGATTCATCGTCTCATTACAACTGCCTATATAATAAGTTTTGTGATAATGATTCTCAATCAAACTACCAATCAGATGATGTGTATTCAACTTCTCGAAATTCTGTGAATCATTCCTGTCTTAGTGAAAATGCTAAACCAACTGCTTATAATTGGGGTAGTCGTGGTCCAGCATTTGACGGGGCTTTAGGTATATGTGTTGCTGCTCCCGGTGGTGCTAATACGTCTATAGCTAGTTGGCAATTAAAGCCAGCCAGTGTTCTGAGTGGAAGTTCAATGAGTGCGCCTATGGTTACTGGTGGAATTAGTGAGTGCTTTTTGTAAATTCACAACTATTATTATTATTTATTTATTTGAACACATAAATATTGGTACAAATGGGCACCAAATACATATGCGCCACACAAGTCACTTAATTTTTGTGTGGGACCGGATGCCTAGACCGAAGCAGGAATTAAAAACTGCAGAAATATAGTAATTGTGTTAATCATAAAAGTATCTATATTATTTTATTACGAGATAAAGTTGTTTCAAATATCCTCATCATATTTTGTGGTATCGCTTTTGTATGGATTAAAATTATGTGTACATAAAGGTTGCATATCAACTTGGTAACTTTACAGTGCCAGAAATAAATATTCTTATGATTCCATTCTTAATACATACAGCTCAACCCTATACCACCTCATCAAAAGGTTAATCGCTAGGAAACTAATAAATTTATGGTGAAGTGAATTAATGATTAAATCACCCAATTCTTCCTGGATCCGCTTTCTGATGGAGCTGTAGATGTGTACTGTAGAAATGTCCCATTCTAGAATGAACGTCAAAGTTCAATTAATAATCATGTACTTCAATTTTATTGGCTGTTTAAATCTTACCAGTTGATATTTAAGACTAAAATCGATCATTCTTCTTTGCTATGTGTGCATCCTGTACTGATTGTTTCAATATTGCCAACATGTCTTAAACATTTTGAGCAAACGTAGATGGTAGCTAGCAGAGGAATCCACAATGCCCGTTTTGTCCTATTTGGGATTCGTCAACTCGATTCACCTGCGTTCCAGGGTTGACGTGAACTCCTGGATTCGAACCCAGTACTTTTGGGATCAAATGCCAACATGTTACCCACTTAGTTACCCAGTCCAAATAGCCACTAACTTGTGCGATTGGGTGAATTTCAATTCATTTTTATTCGTTGTTTGAATCTTCCCATTGATGTTTAGGCACATCCATCTGACGTGTCTTAAATCGAGTGAAGCGTTTGCCTAGGATTCCACTTCTAGGCACTGTTGATCTCTGCCTTAAATAACCATCTACTTCTCCTTGTTATGCCAGGGTATATATATATATATATATATATCGAAAGTTCATACACCACTTCTTTTGCATTTCCTTGTTTATAGGCCTTATACTCTCTGGATTGCGTCATCGATATACTTGTATTGATAGTGAACGATTGAAAATTCCACCATCGCTTATATATAGATGCTTAATGACTACTTCTAAGTCATTTAAACATTTATCTTATTTGGATCAAGGTTATGGTTTGATGCAAGTAGATAGAGCCTTCTGTTATGTAGATCGTCTCATACATAAATTATATGAACGAAATAAAGAATTAACTAATCTGTGTACAGATTTCAAGAATATAAATGGTATTGATCATGTCAATGATGCTGATCATATATCCTCACCATCATTAAATGTTAAAAAGTAAGTTAACACTATTTAATTCAATGAATATGTATATATGTATTTGAAGTCTTATTGTTCATGGTGTAGAATACTCTTAAAGTAGTGTTTCATTCTATGAACTGGATGACGACTGAATTCTTAGGCTTTCATTGTCGTTTTGAACAATCAAGTTTGATAGATTATAAATAGGTACTCGTAACTTTGTGGTTAGGGCTTACAACATAATCCAATGATTAATGACGGAATACAATAAATATTGGTGGTAAACTTGAGATTGTGTTTATCACAAATCCTTATTATTATTATTATTATTATTATTATTATTATTATTATTATTAGTAGTAGTAGTAGTAGTAGTAGTAGTAGTAGTATTTTCTCAGTGTCATATTCATTCACTCATCATCATCATCATCATCATCTTAAACATATACTTCATACATCACTTCATTAATTTCATATGAACAGAAAAAAATCGTATGTCCGGATTTAGCGGATAAATTGAATTCTATTGAACAGTTAATTTATGTTGTTTATCTCTGACTGCAACCTGCAATAGGGTAACAATAATTAAATTAATTTATATTTATAAGAAGGCTTCATGACTGTAATAATAATAATACATTGTACTACTGCAGAATCTCTGCTGATCGACATTCAAAATAGAAATTATGAAAATTCTAAAATTTCCACAAATCCTCTTATAATCATGTACTCACTAATGATTAGCTTCAAGATACAGGTTGTGAGGTTCTAGTAAAATCCTGTAACCATCTCGCGTTCGAGACAATTATCCACTTCAGACTATAATTGAAGATTGAACAATATTGTGAATCGATTGAAGTTAGACATTAACACCGTTGGATACCGGCTCAATGGTCTATAGGTTAAGCGTTTGCGTGCGAGACCGAAGGTTCTGGGTTTAACTTTCAGGTTTGAGGTCAGCGATGCTCACTGATAAGAAGTTCCATACGAGAACCAAACAGTCTTTCAGTGCTTCCAGGTTTTCGATGGTAATCTTCTCATGTCCGTATCCATTTCTCGGCGTAATATGTTCATTGGTCTTCCTATTTTCCTTTGACCTTGAAGATTCCATGTGAGGGCTTGCCTTGTGACACATTTGGGTGCCTTCCTCAATGTGTGTCCTATCCACTTCCAGCACTTCCTGATTTCTTCCTCCAGTGGGATCTGGTTTGTTCTCTTCCATAGTAGATTGTTGCTGATAGTTTCTGACCAACAGATCCGAAGTATTTTGCGTAGTATATAGGATCTAATGTGTACCGAAATTTGGGTACTTATTTAGTCATGGGATAACGTAAGTTGGTTGGTTGACCAGTGTTCAATGGAATCAACGTTTATGGTTTTTAAATATTTACTCTAAATTCTTCTTGTTAGCTCGTCAATAAAGTTATTACCTGTACCTGATCCATGTATAATGTATGGTTGGCACATTCGATTGACTGTTTCTGGACCTGGTTGTACACTACAAAATCGTGGAATTTGGTTAAGACGTGGTTGGCTATTGAGTCCACGAGCCGTGACTAGTGTAGCCCAATTACCGTTGTTACGGTACACCGTGAGTATGAACATTGAATTTGACGAGGTTAGTGTTATCATTTGTTTGGGACTTTTAACTATTAATTTAACATCTACTAGCATGGCTGAAACTAATAGCCAATAATCCTATATACTAATATCACATTTAAGTTTGACTGCTCCCTAACTTTCTTCTCTCCTGATTAACAACGAATTTAGATGCTGACGGTGGTTACTCCATGCATAAAAATATTTTAACCACCTCAGTCAATTAAATTCCACCACATCATCAGACGACTTATCATATTTGTCTAGTACCCTGTAAATAACCATTATATTATTCCTCCAGTAGCCCTAATATTTGCGACCAGCGTTTCTTCTAACTAGAGGCTCATCGATGGTATGCACTCATAATTTCACTTGGGTGATTGAATCCATATCTTTTGGCATGTGCTTCGCTTTTAGATTACTGAGTCAACTTCTAGTAATTTGTAAATCTGACTTTGGTCAACTGATGACAATGAAGTATAACAATTATTCGGCCTTATTATTGATGATAAATGATTGCTTCATTGTCGATATGAATTATTTCTACCTCTCTTGTTCCTTATGTAAGTATCACTTCTGTTATGTTCACAGTCTTTCTGATCATACTTAACAACTGGGAGCTACTGTAATTCCCACGGTGCATAGTAGGAACACTAAAGAATGGTGCAATGAAGATTTATTGACTATTTGAAAACAGGTCATCCAAAAACACATTCTCACTGAACCAAATGCACTCACATTTATATACTGATTTTACACAGGATTATTGGAAAATATACACTAGATCAACGCTGAATAGCACAAAGTAGATAATTGTCACATTCGACGAAAAACCCAGTGGATTTCAACCGTTACGGGTGTGAGTCAGTTACCCACCGACGACAATGAAAGATGGTCGCACCATATCGTGGATTGGTTGAAATCAAACATTAACACTGCTGGATGTCAACTCAATGGTCTGCAGGTTAAGCGTGCCTACAGACCGAAGATCTCGGATCCTTATCCCTCGCGCAGGTGCGTATTGTTGAGGAGTTCCATACTAGGATGAGACGATTGTCCAGTGCTTTCAGGTTTTCAGTGGTGGTCTAGCATTTATCTATTCATGATCTCAACATAGGCATTCCGATTTTTCTCGATTTCTATTATTGACTTAATGAATTTATTTTGTGATATTTGTTTTTCACTCATTAATTCTTTCAAATCACTATTATTAGTATGTTCCTATTGGTATTCGACGAAACATGGAATTGCATTTAACTACTGAGGTAACTTCCGACCTAGATAAACTAACAAATTTTAATGCTTGGTTACAAATTGCATCAATGATAACTGTTACAAGTACACCAAGAGATATTAACTTAGTTATCGATCCAAATAGATTTAATCAATTGTTATGTGAAATAGATGAGGAAATTTCTCCCTTAAATGATGAATGTGATGCAACAATAAAGAAAACACAATATTTCTGTAATAAATGTGCAGGGAATAACAAAAACCTTACTAAGGGACTCCTGAATCGTCAGGAGATATCTTCACTATCAGAGGATCAATTGAAGTCACAACTATGCGCAGAACAACACAATGAACTATCAGGTTTCGGTTGGCCATCAAATCTAATTTCTTCAGTTAAACATCCTTTTCATTCATCGCCTGTTAAATCACAAAAACCATATGTTATAATGCTTAGTTTTAAAGCTATTAATGATCCAGAAATGAGCCGGTTAGCAGATTTACCAATAATTATACATATGCCACATAGGTAAGATATTCAGTAATTATTTTCTGATTCTGATATATGTATATCTTACTTATCAATCAATCTTTAAGTTTTGTATAAATATTGAATAGCCGATCGTGTAACAAAATATTCATGTCTGTGCTAAATCGGCCTATTCAGATATAATAGTTCCATACTAAATGATAAGTGAGAAATGCTGATGATAAAGCTTAAGAGAAACAGACATACCTCTGTCGGTTGAAAATCTGACTTAATTTTCTGAGGGATATAAATATATACTTATAGATAAATAGCAGACCTTAACGATCACAGGACATAGTAATCTATTAAATCAGCGCTGGATATCATTGCTTTGGAAGTCAGATGATTTTTTCTTACTGCTCATCTATATATGTTAGAGCTACAACTCAGTGATTCAAACATTTGGATTTTGACGATCCGATTATTGCTTTTAACCATTAATGGAACTCAAGTAACCATACATTTTCTGTGTAATTACTGAATAATACTATCCATCGACCCAAATCCAAATGTATGGGTTGCGATTTACAACTGCTGTCCATTTTTGTAAAAACTGGTCATTCTAAAAAACTGCTCAACGTCTTACATGAGTTTAAACTTTACCTAGCTTCTTCATCCCATTCAGCGTTGTAGTGCTTTTTATCCTCTCTCTCACTTTAGAAATATTTGTCTTAAAGCCTGCTTCCTATGTATATGCTTAGTGGATTACGTTAAATTCACCTTGATAATTTGTCCTAATATTGATAGGTCAATTCAATACATTAATACCTTCTTACTGATAGTTATAAACAGGCTTCAGTCAGTATATTTTTCTAATTTATTGAATCATCATAACATTGTGTGCCGTATTTGTATACTGACCTGTTTATTAAGGTTACTCTATAAAGTTATGATTATTAGACAAGATAATTAAAGTAAAAGTATCAATATTATGTTAAGATGCCATCCCCTAGATATAAACATCGCAGAAATTGGTACAAATTTGCATCTGTTCACCTTGTCATACTTTAAACGAACAAAATCGGGAATAAGAAATATAGGATAGTATTAATACTCATCGTTTAAAAGCATCTAAACAATGATTGGAACTGAACCACTAAGATTTATTTTAATTCATGCTGTTCACTATCTTCTTTCAATTATTGGGTATGATTTTCTCATGGATAGCTGTTAGCAGAATGTAGCCTGGGTTAAAGCATGTCCCAATCAGAGTTACGCTGGTGCACCTTTAGAAAATCCACATATGTACTAGGTTTTGAAAAGGGTTATAAATCAGTGTGAGGAATTAGAATTGGGATTTAGAGTTAGAAGTTAGGGCTAGGGTTTTCATCACAAACTGACACCAGGTATTAATGCCAAAATGTTATTTAGCCATACGGGTAGATGAGCTCCGCACCAAAATCCAAGAATTCCTATCTTAAATCTGATTAGTTCGTCCATAAATTATAGTCCCGACGATAAATGGGAAAGACTCCACAAGTTTCTTGTGCAAAAATTTTAAATGTATTAACATTTTTCTTACTGTACCGACTTAATTAATTTGTTGTTTTGTTTTGCAACATAATACTACTGTCTTGAGTTCTTAGCAGTAGTTTTCATTTAGGCTTCAAAGGCCCTCGAATGCCCTGGTACGACCAAATGTAGGGAGAGTCAGCTCTCCCTCTTAAAGTGCTCTCGCATGACCATGTGTATACAGTCATTGTTAGAGAAGTCCTACTCACTGCTTTCTTATGGCGAGGGTGTTTTTTACGAAAAGCGAATGTTCAACGCTTTAACCGGGTTGGTAGACACGGGGGTTACACTTAAAGGAGTTGGAAAATCCTAGTTCCAAAGCAATGAGTCACATGTGCTCTAGGATCCTGAGGGAACAAGTGAAGGATGAACCTATTGTCGGCCACCGGATACCTTGAGACTGGATCCCCTAACATTGCTGTACTGCGTTGTGGATTAGACCTCTAGGTCAAAGGCTTGAGGAGTGGCCCTTTAAGAAAACCATATGCTTCTGTTTGGGCACCCGGGCATTAAACCATCCCTCACACAGATAAATGACAATTCCTACTGGCCTCATTGTTATTGTGTGGCGCATATGTATTTGGTGCCCCCTTGTACCAGTGTTTATGTGTTCAAATAAATAAATGGGCTTCAAAAACGTTTGTAAGCAAAACTGTCGTTCTATACATTCATCTGTCGTGTAAATCCTCTCGTGATTCATATATATCATAAACAACTTACTTACTTACTTACTTACGCCTGTTACTCCTCGTGAAGGAGCATAGGCCACTCACCAGCATTCTCCATCCAACCCTGTCCTGGGCAATCCTTTCTAGCTCCGTCCAGTTGTAATTCATCCTTTTCATATCTGCTTCTATAATCCGACGCAATGTGTTCTTTGGCCTTCCTCTTTTTCGCCTCCCTTCAGGGTTCCAAGTTAGGGCTTGCCTCGTGATGCAGTTTGACGATTTGCGTAATGTATGTCCTATCCATTTCCATCGTCTTTTCCTAATTTCTTCTTCAGCTGGAAGTTGCTTTGTTCTCTCCCACAGAAGGCTATTGCTGATGGTATCCGGCCAGTGGATGTTGAGTATCTTGCGTAGGCAGCTATTTATAAATACTTGTACTTTCTTGATGTGGTTGTTGTAGTTCTCCAAGTTTCAGCTCCATACAGTAGAACTGCCTTGACGTTCGTATTGAAGATTCTCACTTTGATATTGGTTGAAAGTTGTTTTGAGTTCCATATGTTCTTCAATTGTAGGAATGCGACCCTTGCTTTGCCGATCCTCGCCTTTACGTCTGCATCTGAACCTCCTTGTTCATCGATGATGCTTCCTAGGTATGTGAAGGACTCTACATCTTCCAGAGTTTCGCCATCAAGAGTGATTGGATTGCTGTTCTCCCCTTGAATTTGAGGACCTTGGTTTTCCCTTTGTGTATGCTGAGGCCTACTGATGCAGAGACTGCTGCTACACTGGCTGTCTTCATCTGCATCTGTTCGTGTGTACGTGATAGGAGGGCTAGGTCGTCTGCGAAGTCCAAATCGTCTAATTGATTCTGAGTTGTCCATTGTATTCCGTGTTTTCCTTCAGATGTCGAGGTCTTCATAATCCAGTCGACCACCAGAAGAAAGAGGAAGGGAGAGAGTAAACAGCCTTGTCTGACTCCAGTCCTTACTTGGAATGCATCTGTCAGCTGTCCTCCATGCACTACTTTGCACTGTAGTCCGTCGTATGAGTTCCGGATAATGTTGACAATCTTCTCAGGAACTCCGTAGTGTCGAAGAAGTTTCCATAATGTCCTCCTATCTACACTGTCGAATGCCTTTTCATAATCAATGAAGTTGATGTATAGTGATGAGTTCCACTCCACTGATTGTTCGACGATGATCCGTAGTGTTGCAATTTGGTCTGTGCACGACCGATCCTTACGGAATCCAGCTTGTTGATCTCGAAGTTGGGCGTCTACTGCATCCTTCATCCGGTTCAGCAACACTCTGTTGAAGACTTTCCCTGGTATTGACAGTAGTGTAATGCCTCTGTAGTTTTCACATTTGCTCAGATCTCCTTTCTTTGGAATCTTGACGAGGTGTCCTTCTTTCCAGTCCATCGGCACTTGTTCCTCCTCCCAAATCTTTTTGAATAGAAGGTATAGCATGCTTGTGGTTGCTTCGATGTCTGATTTCAGTGCTTCAGCTGGTATGTTGTCGGGTCCTGCTGCTTTCCCGTTCTTGATTTGTCTGACGGCCATTCTAATTTCTTCCGTCGTTGGTGGGTTGACATCTATAGGAAGATCTATGTGTGCTGCTTCGATGTCCGGTGGATTCATTGGAGCCGGCCTATTCAGGAGTTCCTCGAAGTATTCCACCCATCTGTTACGCTGTTGTTGAATTTCGGTGATTGGCTTGCCTTCTTTGTCTTTGACCGGCCTCTCTGGTTTACTGTATTTCCCTGCTAGTTTCTTCGTTGTATCGTGAAGCTGTTTCATATTTCCTTCTCTAGCAGCTTTTTCTGCCGTCGTTGCTAGTTCTTCCACGTATTTCTTCTTGTCGGCTCTAATGCACCTCTTCACTTGTTTGTTTGCTTCTATGTATTCAGCTTGTGCTTGAACTTTCTCTGCTCGTGTTCGGCTGTTGTTAATTGCTGCCTTCTTGTTCTTCCTTTCTTTGATCTTGTCCAGTGTTTCTATAGAGATCCATTCCTTATGATGGTGTTTCTTTAGGCCCAGAACCTCTTGACACGTTGAAGTTAATGCTTCCTTGATGCCTTTCCAGTTGTCCTCCATACTAGTTTCTTCTTCTTCAGTAGATCTTGTAAGGCTTGGAACCTGTTGTTGAGAGCTATCTTGAATTCATTGAGTTTGTCAGTATCTCGAAGGAAGGCTGTATTGAACCTTTGTAGTGCTGTTTGTCCACTTGTCCAGTTCTTTTTAGCTTCAGTTTTAAATTGGCTACAACTAGGTGGTGATCTGAAGCTACGTCAGCACCTCTCCTGGTTCTTACATCTTCCATTGTCCTTCGGAATTTTTTGTTGATGCAAATATGATCTATTTGGTTCTCTGTAGTGTGGTCCGGTGAGATCCATGTAGCCTTGTGTATACGCTTGTGTGGAAATATTGTGCCTCCTATGACCAATTTGTTGAATGCACACAAATTTGCAAATCTTTCTCCATTTTCGTTTCTTTCTCCCAGTCCATGTCGTCCCATAATATCTTCATATCCAGTGTTGTCTATTCCGACTTTGGCATTTAGATCTCCCATCAGAATAGTTAGGTCCTTTCTTCGGCATTTCTCAATGATTGACTGCAGCCGCTCGTAGAACTGATCTTTAATGTCGTCGTTGCTATCATTGGTGGGTGCATAACATTGGATAATATTCATTAAGATCCCCTCCTTCTTTGTTTTGAATGATGCTTTGATGATTCTGGATCCGTGAGACTCCCATCCTACAAGTGCATTTCGTGCTACTTTGGACAGCATAAGAGCGACTCCCTGAGTGTGTGGAGCATTGTCCTCCTCGTGACCGGAGTATAGCAGCATCTCTCCCGTAGCTAGCCTTTTCTGTCCAGCTTGGGTCCAGTGGGTTTCGCTGATTCCCAGTACTGCTAAGTTGTATCTCCTCATTTCCATTGCTATTTGACTGGTCTTCCCGGTTTCCCACATTGTTCGAACGTTCCATGTACCTATAAAAATTTTTGCTCTGGTTGTTAGAAGGGGCATCGGCCTCGTGGCTTCCGAAGGAACTCGGCTTTCACCATGAAGCGTCATAATTCTTCTAACTGAAGACCTTCTAACTCCCAGGGCAGAGTTTAAATGGTTTGAATTATTTTTTCTGGTAAGCGTTTTTTTAGCGAGTTAGTTTTCTACGGGATGGGGACGCTAACCCCATGCCCAACCCTCCTCCTTTACCCGGGCTTGGGACCGGCAGTAACCCTATGAGAGCTACAGGCGGAGTTATCATAAACAACTTACTAATTGGCAATTTTGAAATGTACTAGTTTGAGTGTTGTTGATCAGTGTTTCCATTTTCCACTTCCTCCATCATATTTACTCATTGTTGTTTTTTTTCATGCGTAATATTTATTTAAAGATTGCATAGAGATTGTTGTTCGGACCACCCACGTTTCTTATTCTCAGATAGATTTGATGCTAAAAATAAAGTAAGGAGATGGTTCATTGAAGTTCCCTATGGAGCTACTGCGGGAAGTAAGTTGTCAAAATCCATCTCACTTTATAATTTTGTCTATTTTATTTTTGTGTATAGAACACTTAAACTAGATTATGTGAATAATAATGCAATACAAATGTCTTATGTGTGATGTTCTAAGAGCGTATAATTTTCAAGCATTCTAATCGTCAGTGAAGTAAACAAATACAAATCAAGCGTACAAAAATATGAATTCCACTTGGCTCAGCCAAAATCTTTAAGCGGACTGTTAATCGATCTAATCGAAAATGCTAAATATTACACTTTTGTTGAACATTACAAAGACTATTTATCCTCATCGAAAATACTCATTTATTGTAAGGCATAAATGACTAAAAGAAATAAGCAACAAATTATTAACTGGATTAAAATGGTATATCAGTCACTTGACTGTTTGCATTTATATTAGTTCAGTGAAGAATAGATTTTCATGGGTAGTGTGTATAGTATACTACTGCTACAAAAATAATATGTGTAATATCTCATTCCACCATAGTCTTAACTAATCTTTCTGCCTTCCATAATCTATCATTTTTGTGTTTTCTACTCCCCTCCAATTACTCTTCACAACTATTAATTACCCATTATTACAACTTTTATTGACTCTGTTCTTCATACATATCAGTTGAACGAATATTTTCACCTCAGCTTTCTTCATTAACAGTTGTATTATCATACAACTTCCTTTCAATATCAGATTTTTATGAAATGATTTCTAACACGATACTACTCTGAGTATATTTAAAAAAATTATTTAACCTTGTCCTACTTTTTACTGTAGACTAATTTTAACGAGCCCCGCGTGCGGGATCGTAGATGCTCACTGCTGAGAAGTCCCATACTAGGACGAAACAGCCGTTCAGTGCTTCCAGGTTTTCAATGGTGGTTTAGCTTGGATAGACCCATGAATTCAACTGTTAAAATCACTACAATCTCCACAAATCTACATTCTGAGAATAAATTATTTGTAAACAGGATTGTAGGACTTGTGTAAAAATGAATTTGTCGAAAAGAATATTTTCTTCGCTGAGAATTGTCTTCCTTCTTGTTCTTCTTGTTCTTCTTCTTCCTCAAGGATAGCATCATGTTATTTTGTACTGGTATGACAATTCCAAAATCTATGCATATTAGTGTAGAGCTATGATATAAAACTGATTGAGACGAAATATCTCATCAACTAATTTGTATTTTGATCTATATGTCATCTAATCTTACAGATTTTCTTTGCCTACTCTTATGTTTCTAATTCCAGTTTTACGTTTAGCACGGTTAGATGATGATGGAGATAAATCGTGTGAATTTACGATTACTGTTAATTCACCATGTATTGGTATGGATTCGGATAGTCAAGAAATTCGATGGACATTTGTTGAATTAAATAAATTTGGTCAAACTAAATCGACTTTAAAACGTATGTGTTTAAAATAACTGAGTAAATATGTTTATTCGAGGCATCGTCGATGTTCAATACAAGTGTCATTTCATTTTTTGTCGGTCTGTTGAGATTCATCTAAATTTGAGAACAGTCATTATTTCAAACTTACATCGGGAGTACCATTAAAAACTAGGCAACACTGAAAATTTCATGTTGTGGAACGAGAGGTTTTTTTTTATGAATGGACTGAATTTTTAAATGCGAACTATAGAACCTCGATTTATTGATCAAAAATCGTCTTACTTTTGTGATTTGAAGGTACTCACTTCTCATAAGTCCCAAATTCAGATGAATTGTTCATTCAACGTTTACCAGCTCTAAGCGATTAAATGTGCATTTTAGATTGCGCAATTATTAGTAAAGTACTTGAAAAATGTAGAAAAAAGGTTGAAAACTGAAAGTATCGTTCACCAAGTCTTCTTCGTCATGGAGTGATAAAACATACAAATTTCTTTTAAGTAGAAACCCGAGGATTAGTGTTTCGAATCGATATACCCTCCACAATTTTTAAAAAGTGAAATTAAACTCCTTCAAAAATTATTATGAAACATAATAAGTAACCATAGCCGTTCTTTTTTCTATCCAACACATGACCGGCATGTATTGACGTAGTTTAAATTTCTACAAACCATGAAAGAAAGATGGTCGCTTGCTCATCTACCTAGTCGCTTGTTAATACATCAAATGTATCAATCATTGAAGATACAATGTAATTGCTAAACATTACTCTAGTTACCCCCACGTATAAAATATGAAAAGGTTATATCTCATTATGAAGATTCATTACGTTTTGGTTCCAATTCACTTCATGATATATAGTTCTTGAAAAAGATCTATCATTTCACTCAATGAACTCAAATTGTTTTTTGATGTTTTCATCTTAACTAATTCTTTTCCGTTCTGCCTGTCAACCATCTTGTCGGCATTATTTTCTATGAAAAATTAGTATCAAGTTAGATGAACATCATTCGTAAAAAAGGAACTTCATTATCAAGTCTGAGAAGAAAATAAATGGAATTATTATTATTTACTCATATTTCTCGATTCAATTTAGAATTTACGAAATCCACTTACTTCCTCTGTCTCCCTCTCTCATTTTCCTTTTTTTCTTTCTATAGGCAGTGATAAATATGGACCATCATTGAGTTCAGATGATTTCGACTGTGCATCACAATTTGGATTTCCTATTAAATGGGAGACAGATTGTTTAGAATTAACTATAGCACAACATTGGGGATTAGAAATGCCAGCTATTGTAATTGGTGAATTGTATTTTCGTGGTCTTGAACCAAGTCTTAAAAACATTGTATTGGTAAGTTGCTTTTATAACAGGCTACTAGCACTAATTCACGGTACTTGATCATGTGTGATACATTCAACTCAATTATCCAACTGTTCACTTGTTAACCAGATCAGACTAAAACAAGAGTTTATAATAATATGAAGCAGTTAGTAAGTTGGATTTAGGGTGAAATAAACTTCACAAATTATGATCATCAATTATTTTTAGTGCAGCTGAGATGTCTACCATCAATCATTGACTAATCACTGGTTACTGTGCTTGGGTAAATCTTTTACTTTTCATATTAATCAATATAGTCCATGCTAAGTAGAAGCGTGTTACTTCATTATGTAGGAGGTTTTTGAATGATTGACAAAGCGAGTTTTCGATTGTCAACATCAATGAATAGATTGCTAATTGATCAATGAATATGATGAAATGATGTAACCACGTGATGGCTAACTACAAGAACGAATCGTTTATGTAAGCCCTTGATTGACTAGAAATTAAGGATAAGATCATTAGCCAGATGAATAGGTTTTTATATGTAATAAAATAATATACTTATTTACAGTATATAAACACACAATCAACATGGTAAAAGGTTTTAGGCGTTAAGATGGAATTAGTTTGTAGGTTGCTCATTTCCTAATAAATTAAAACCTGACTGTTAAGTCTTGCCCTTTCAGCATCCTATCCAAAGTTTAAATCATTTAACTACAGAGTCACAACTGCACGTAAATAATTGCATTGATTACGAATAAAATGACCCTCAATTATACAGCGTATCGGCTTTATTATGCTAATTGCGATTCTTAAAATTAAACTCTTGGTGGAGGATTTTATCAAATAAATAGTAGAAATATGACATTTATGCAATATTTGGTCGTTTTTTGAATCTTAATAGAATAGTGAATGACATCAACAATAACTCACCCTATCGCCTGTGGTGAAATGACTAGTTAATTGTGTTGAAAAAGATTTAAATGTTACTCTTTGCAAGCGCTTTTATACGCAGTAGGACAAAATACACCTGGTTACTGATTTGTACTTAACACAATAATAATAATAATGATAAATCAAATCAGGGAACTCATTAGCAGATATTCAAGTATAGGATGTTTGTTATTGAGTTCATCATCCAGACTAAGTTAGATAACCATCGAAATCCGGGAATCACTGGATAGTTGTATTGTTTCAGTATTTCATTCTCTAGTAGTCGATATCCATATCCCCACTTCAGATCGGAACCAGAACGCTAGATTTTCGTAGTAAGTTCTTAAACTCTAGGTCACTAAGCCGAAATCCAATAGTTAACATATCCAGATTATAACTGACTATTCTGTTGGTTTGACAATTATAAAGTTTCGAACTGTCAAGTTTATTATCATTCTATGTATTTAATCTATTTTATTTTTCAGAATACAAGTGATCGTTATTGTCGTATCGGTTTACGTTCTAATTTTATTAATGAATCAATACAGCCGGATATATGGTTAACTCATTGGTGTTTGCCTGTCAAGTAAGAAATAATGAACATTTAAAATAATAATTTCAGAGAGTTTTTGATTATGTCTTATTGTATAAACCATCTATCCAATTAATTACTCTAATATGGTCATAAAAACACTGTTTTATAAAATCTAAAGCATATTGATCGTATCCTCTTTCAAAACAATACGTATGTGTGATAATTCTATTGTTTATTTTTTCATTTTTCTAAACATCACTGAGTGTCCTGAGCTGGAGTACTTCTCATACCTCATTACCTCACGTTGTTGTCATACAATGTTCTTAACCTCAAATGTTTTGTCAGAACTATGTTCACGGGAAGATTTCCAAAAATTTAGTTTATTAACAGTTATCTAAATAGTGAATCACCAATCTATGCAGCATAACAACCGACTGCAAACATTCTATATTACCATCAACACAGAATATCAGCCGTCGTCATAGCTTTGCACCATGTTTACAACCTACATGATTCTTACTGAAACTCTTGATCCCTTTGAAAAATGCTTTTATAATCATTGAGGTTTTACAATTCACTGTAATTTTAACCACATCATTCATTGTGTAAAAAACTACTTACATCTAATTCCCGGTTTTATTCCGTGTTTTTAAGTTGTGTAATTATCACGCATTGATTTGTATCGCCACTGCTTACTAACCTCTTATATATGAATGACTTGAAGAACTCCTCTCAATTGGTACATTCTCTGTACACCGTTGTGTGATCTGCTACATATATGATTTAAGCTAAATTTTTATTGTCGGTCATACTTGTGAAACTATGATTTGTACAGCTACCAAATGCCCTTGTACGGCCGAGAGTTGGGCGAGTTAGCTATCCTTTTCGAAATACTCTCACATGGCCAAGCGTATACAGCCACTACCAGGGAAGTACTACTCACTACTTTTTCGTGGTGGGGGTGTTGACAAAATTGCGAGGAATTTCCGGCACTTTAACTGGGTCGGAGATATGATGGGGAGTTCGAAAACCACGATTCTTAACAAACAGTGCACATGGGCTTCAAGATCCTGAAGGGACAAATGGCATATGAACCAATTATTGGTCACCGGCTACCATGAGACTGCATCTCCTGACGTTTCTCCACTGCCTTGTGGATTAGACCTTTAGGTCGAAGGCTCCGGGTGCGGCTCCTTAACAAAGCCACCTACTTCGGTCTGGACACCCGAGGAATATCACAGCTCACACAAAAATCAAGTGACTTGTGTGGCGCATATGTATTCGGTGCCCTTTGTATCAATATTTATGTGTTCGAATAAATAAATAAATAAATGATTAAACAACTATATTCCTCCATTAACATATTCATGAATTTTGTATTCAAATTCCTAGATCGTTGTCTGTCTACTTGTGATTTGTTTTGTCTTTCTTCATCAGTAAATTCCCTTAATGTAAATTAAACATTTAAACATTTTTCCATGGTCTTCAGAGATGACGTTTAACACTTACCGCTCACGTGAATGCTTTTAATAATGCTGTGTTCTCAAATTTGAATGTTGTAACTAGTAAGCGCTCACTGTCTTTCTAAATTCAACAAGAGTAGGGAATTAGGATTTTTGTTCGAATGATTAACGGTTTAGAATTTGATCGGTTTTTGTCTATAAACGTACTGTCACTGTTTTCACATTTATTTTGATTGGCTTCTTCCTTTGATCTGACCAGTAGCTTTATGATTGTTTATCTCTTTTTCGCATTGGCTAATAGGTTGGATCTTTTTCGATTGTTGAATATCAAGTTCCCAACTTCCTTTATGCTGCTCTTGCTCTATATTTTGACTTGAAATTGGATTCTTTCCTAAATGTATCCACATGTATCTATATAAGCAAAGATACTAGTCGTTTTACAGGTAGATACACGGTGTTCAAGTGGCAAAGGCTGTAAAAGTGACTATTTCATTAGACGTAGTGTAACTTGGCTTGTATCCTTCATAGGCTACCTACATCTATTCAAAAAAGACTTAAGAATGTGGTTTTAATCGTTGAAATTTCCTTATTTTGCCTTTACTAAAAATTTTGAGATTTTTTATTCCTTATTTGTTTTTCAGGCCTCATGATTCGAAAATTTTTTATTTAGGTCATGGAACAAATGAACTGCTTCCCAACGATTGTGGCTCGTATGCTCTGCGTTTAACATATCGGTTTAGTTGTGTATGTTTCTCTTTTAAGCTATTATTTAATTATTCATAGATAATCAACTGTTTTATTCAATATGTGTCTTTGATTAACACATTTAAATGTGGGAATTAGGTCTTGTTTAAGAGACGAAACTATAGCCAAATTCTACACAAAAGTGAACATTATGACTTAATAAAATAGACAAAATATTTCTGTACTGAGATGTAAAACTATAGATTGATACTGCAGTGAACGAGAACTCAGATGGGGATAACCAATTTGTTGTTTAATGCACAATCACAAAGTGGTTTAGTAAAATGCGAAAATCATACACATCTCTGAATATTCTCTTACGAGTTTGATTGTTTCTTCATTTCTGTTGTTATCTTGATTGATTTCAATTTCCTTCTCTGTTCTCTTCATTCCACTGTCAGACATTCCACTTCCGACTGGTGTTACATACTACTTATGTTTTCAAACATAAGTAGCATGCACTACAATACCATCCATAGAAAACTAAGTAGTATTTGTCATGAAAGTACATATAAATTATATACATTATACCTTTTTTGATCCTTGTAAAATAATTGAAGTTTTTACAATAATCTAATTAGTTCACTAAACATAACATCCGAAAATTACATAATTTCATTCAAAAGTTATTTAGAAAATTAATTTTTAGACATTTTTTCTCCGATGTTATCTTGGAGGTAGATATATTCTGTTCTCCCACTAAAACAATTTAATGTCCATATCAACAGATGTCATTGTCTGAATACTTAATTAATATACACTTGTATGAAAGAGAATCGCCTGAGTTCGAAATAAAAGTCAAAATACTAGGTTACTGAGATACTGTATCACATAGATTCAGCTTGCAATCCATATCCAATCAGTGTTTAGATAGATAAACTACACTTCATACTGAACCATAGTGTCTTATGTGAAGAATAGATTATGGCTAACAATGTAATCAACGACACTCTTTTCATTCCATTTGGAACTTGTTAGCTAAATGTGCTTTACAGGTCTTAGTGTCGATGTTCAATTTAGGTCTCAAACTCACTATCTTTCACTTCATATCCTTGCTAATTATATCTTTTATTCAATCTTCTAAAAAATCATTAATATAGAACATAGATGGGTCTCTACAACGATGCATACTTGATTTCACTATTAAAATTGCTACAAAGTTCAACATATTCCCTTATTACTTCGTTTTTTAAGCCTTTCAAATCAGCTACAACCATCATTTCTTTGCCTTGGTTACAAGATATGCTTTATACCAGTGATTACTCAATTCATATATTTCATATTTATGATAATTGTGGCCGATATATTGGTGCTGGTGAATACGATGGAGTAAGTATCTTTTATGTTGTTCGGTGAAACATGATATCACCTTCAATTCATCCTGTATTGTTTGTTTGAATCTTCTCATTTATGTTTAGAACTGCAATTGATCATTCTCTTATTGGTATATGTGGATCCTGTGCGAATTCCCTCGATATTGCCTTAAGTCACAAGCTTTATAAGCGAAGAAAGATTGTGGCTAGTAGTGGAATCCAGGATGTATGTTTCGTCCTATTTTGGACTCGTCAGCCAGATGTACCTGCATCTCAGAGTTGATGTTCACTCTGGGACTCGAACCCGGTGCCACTCGCCAACTTAGCCGATGAGCCACATACTTTCGTCATTAGCATTAGCTAGATCTACGTTGTACTTTATTAACCATCACTCTGTTTCTCTTGCCTAGCCAATATATGTAATTAGACTGAAAAAAATGACTTGGGACATTGAGATTAAAATGTTACATCCATCCATAAATTCATGTTATCTCGTGTGTTTTTTATTCCAGCACCGTGAACAACGTCCGAAATTTACTTTCAATTTACAAAAGGGTGACTATAAAGTGATTGCACAGGTATGTTTACTCTGGAGTATCATCAACTGGCACTAACTTGTCATTGTTACATTCCACCAAGTTATCTTAAATATCCTGAGCTTATCGATGTTGTTATGGAACAGTTAGCCAAAATGGAATAGCCTATAATACCGTCCTTCATTACTTTTGTGGCCACAAAGATTTCTGAATTTGCACTCAATAACACTATATCTTTGTCGTCATCCTGAGCTACAACCGTTCTCTATCTTCTTACTATATCTTTACTTAAGGCAAATGAAGGAAATGACCTTTGCATGTCACCTAGAATCACGTATCTCTAACTAGTGAAGCTCTAAATTTCTGGCATTTAGGAATGATATAACTGTTGGAATGCATGTTGTATGAGGCCTTACCAACAGAACTCCATCAAGGTTCTGACTGTGTAGAACAATTCACCTTGATTGTGTGCTATCGTTTTCTTTGGGCCGTTAGTTGGCCGATCCGATCACAAGCAACTGTAGCTCGAGAGTCGGTCAATTTAATTAGTTCTCTAGAAATTGTTTCTCCATCAACTTGTCAACAGACTCTACTCACTTAAGCCACATCAACTGAGAAAAGAGTACTTCTATCAGCCCTAAAGTTCACAAGGAATTTACATTAGCAGTATCATTTATTTTTTTCAAGGTTATGATATAGTCCTTCTTTTTAGCATGATTCGACGGTGCATCTGCATTGTTATAGTCTAAGTTCTTCCCACCAATCAGACTACATAGCATCACACTAGCAACCACATGAGCTCGGTCAGATAGCCGGTTAAGTATCCCGTAGGCTATATGGTAACCTACAAACGAGCTCAGTATCATGCACCCTACAATAGCTTTGTCACTTTGTCACACAGTAGTAAATAAAATACAACACATCATTGATCTTTGAAGCACCACAAACGTGAAATGTTAGGTCAGCTCATATTCCGTTTAATATTAGAACACTAAGACCTTTAATCAGTTGCACATCAAAATCTTTCTTCTGTTTTTTGTATTTGTTAGATTTGCCATGAAAGTGGTCCATATTTAAAACGTGAACCAATAAAACTATTATCTGTCCCTTGTCCACCAGGGAACGAATTGTCGTATAATTTAAGTGAATACAAAAATGCTGATTCTACCGCGATCAATTCCACTTGGTCACCGTTACAATCATTACAAAACACTCCAATATTAGTAAGTTTTCGTTTAACTGGAGGAATGGAATTAGCTAGCGGTAGAAAAGGTGGTTCTTGTTTAACTGGACAAAGTGTTGTACAATTTGAATTCAGCTCATTCCCTTCATCGCTTAATTTGAACGGTACCAAATTTTGTTCAGCTATGGATCCTTTAACATCTGATGCAAAACAAACTTTAATGATCAATCGTAGTGTATTGAATAATTATTCATCAAATACAATTACAAATGATCAACACACAGATAATATTGAATCAAATCGTTTGAATTGGTAAAGCGATTGCCATGTCTTCCTAGTCGAGTGAACGCATTCGAAACAATTAGTATTTTTCTAGGTCTTACAAATGAACGGTAAGTGTTGTTATATGTTTATACAATTACGATCCACTAATTTATTTCAAATAATTTATTGAACCACAACAATTGAAGTAGATGTCCATTTGAGGATAACCTTCTTTTTTCAATGCTATATGTTTAACCCTTTGGAGCATTTTTCATTTCATTAACCAGGTTAGTATTGCATTTAAAAATGTAATTTCTAATGGAGATTTTACTTCAATCATTTAAAGTTATCTACATATGTCTTCTGTGAATATACCACTGTGGCGCATCCCGAATTACCAGATGAAAAAAGTAAATCAAGTGGAATTCAGAGCTTGAAATGAAATTCTCAGTGAAAACTACCCTCTTATATGCAGTATTCATTCAATATACCAATAGAAGTATATTAGATATTGTACACGTCTTGAACATTCCATCATATCCAAAATATTATTCGTCATGTCAACTTTTTTTCATGGAAAACTACTAACTTTCTCAGTTGTTTTCTTTTTAAATTTTATAATTACGACTTAATAATAAAATTTTAAACTTTTAGCGACTTATATAAGATTTCTGAATTCCCCAAAGCAGCTTAGGAACCAATGATCTCATAATTAGAAAAACAGGTCTTAGGTTTCGACCCTGCTACTCTGAATTAAACAGTTGGCTAGTTAGTATCACTAGAATGGTGGCTCGGTGTTCAAGGCATTCAAATTTGAATCATTACATCCCAGGTTTGGATCCTACTCCACCTTCTTCGGTTTGAGCGTTTGGCTAGTATCACTATGCCTCATGCTTAGAGTGTGGCCTGAACAGAAGTATGAGTTTGCACGTGATAAATTAGTTGAAGTAAAAAGTTACTAGCCTTGATATGCAAAGGGTTTATCTCAAAGCCAACTACATATACTTGTACATAACAAACACAATATTCCTGATTGACTGAAAGTAGACTTTTATAGTGTTGGCCTTCAACTCTCTAGTCTGCAGGCTAAGCGTTCGCGTGCAAGACAAAAGTTCCTGGTTTAGATGCTTGGTTGTGAGGTTGGAGATTCACACTGCTGAGGAATCCCAAACAATAGGAGGAAACTGCTGTCCAATGCTACCAGGTTTTTAGTGGTTGTTTAACTTTCAGTAACTGAAATTCACAAAGCTATATATATAAGTCCGTTCTCATTAAAAAGTGACTCATAAATTAGTAAAATATTCGAAAGTAAGTAGTACTTCGAAGCCTTTCTTCCGTTCTGGTTGAAAAAATATGAGCTGTTGATTCCTGATTCAACAACTAGTTGGTGTTTGGCTCTAGAAATAATTTAAAAATTGTAGATTTTATCGTGCATAGAGATTTAATTGTACGTTGCTGAACTACTCCGTACTATGAAGAAACAGATTACAGAAGCTTTCTGTTCTACAGTACCCCTGCGATTATCATGACTACATTCCATATTCTTAGAAATTATCAGCATATATATGGTGCTCTGGACTTTCTACTGACTATTCTACCCTACGATTCATGGTGCGTGGCTGCAACAATTCTTTTGCTCAGTCATTTTTAGTTCTCACTCTAAACGTTATCAACTTTTTCAGTGTTAATTTATGTAAGGCGAGGGTTAAAGCATTTGACTCTCAACCACTAAGTTCCAGGTTCGAACTCCACTCCACTTTTTTTCGCCTATCGTTTACTATCATTGTTCCTCATATTTAGAGTTTATCGTGGATGCGCACTGCTGAGGAGGACGAAACGGCCGTCCAGTGGTTCTAGGTTTTCCATAGTGTTCTAGCTTCAATTGACTCATGATCTGAACTACTGAAATTGCTACAATCACCACTAGTGACTGGCTTCAAGAGGTATATTTTTGATTTGTTTATTATATTTCCATTTTAATCGTTTCATTAGATTTTCTTTTTATAAAATTCAAATTGATTTCTACTATAGGGCTTTGTAATTCTCATGTTGTCTTTTCATAGTTTAATTTGTTAATGTTGTACATTTCAGTTATCCAACGTATACAGTACCAGGTTCATATTTTCCGGAGCGATTGGATTCTATGATTCTAATTTATTACATAATTTAGTGAGTTTGTTGGATGTTCCACTTATTTTTCGAATTTATTTCTAGTAGTTAAAATTGTTCGTTTTACTTTTTCTAAAACTACGACTTTTGTTAGTCGATTTGAAAAGTTATCTAAACACATAAACAATGGTACAAGGAGGCATCATATAGATATGCACCACATAAAACATTCGATTTAAGTGAGGGCTAGGATTCTGCTCGGGTGCCCAAACCGAAACAGGTGGTTTTCTTAGGGGGCCGCACCCGGGGTTTTTGACCTTAAGATCTAATTCACAAGGCAGTGGAGCAACGTAAAGAGAATGTAGTCCCACGTTAACCGGTGACCAATAATTGGTTCATACTCCATTTGTTCCTACAGGATCATGCAGCCCATGTGTACCATTGGTTTGGAATCAGAGTTTTCCAACTATACTAGGTGGAATCTGTATATCCACGAACCTGGTTAAAGTGCCAAACATTCACTTTTCGTCTTCTCAATTTCATAAACAACAGTAATGCCGTGAGAAGTCAGCAAGTAGGACTTCCCTGGCAGCGGTTGTATGCACGTGGCCATATGAGAGCATTTGGAGAGGGAGAGTTGACTCTCCCCACTCTCGGCCGTACTAGGGCATTATAGAATTCACTGGCTTGAGATGTTATCCGATATAGCTTAGAATAGATATTAGTAACGATTTTTTGAGGTTCATATCTAAATTAATGGTGACCTCTTAGGTACAACCTATATTTTTCTTTTACGTTTTTTGCGCTGAATTTTATCGTTTCATCTTTTAATCCATATATATATACTTATTTTTTTACAGGTAACTTATCCATTTCGTTTAGTCATGGATAATTCAAACATATTGTCTTCAAAACCTACTTTAATTACAACACCAACTGCTACTACTTCTACTAATAGCGCTACTTCATCACCTGTACTCCTCTCATCTTCCATACTATCATCTGATCATAATAATATAAAAGTAAAAGAACTTCCTAGAAAGTTATTAATCAGCTATATGGGTTTAAGTAATGAAGATCTGGAATGGATCCAATGTTTTGGTGAATTTTTCCTCTTCAACTCCAGGTCAATTGGACATCAGTATAAAAAGAATGAAAATTCGCTTAATAATAGTAATAATAATAATGGTGATTGTAAGGATATAGACACATCCCATACATCAATTCATCAAGATCATCACGAAGAGAAAATATGCCAATTAGAAAATCTCATGAAAATAATAATACTTACCATAATTCATCATCGCTTATGTGTGAAAACTTGATGAATAATGTGAAAACAGATTTAACTGGTGAGCGTAAAGGTAAGACTTTTTACTAGTCGTATTATCGATTATTTAACCTATATTGTTAGTAGGACGAGTGACCTATGTACCAGTTGACATACCGACTAGTAATCAACAATTATGACGTTAGAGCCTATTGGCCCTTAAGCTTCCTAGAATTCAATGACCAAACAGAAGACGAAAACAGAAATCAGATCAGTTCTCAGTCGAACCCAGTTCCATCATGATTCATAATTCATACAGTAAAATGCCTGAGATGTCTGACCATATAACAACACAATTAAGGAATTACGTGTACATAACTTCGTCATAAGTTATGCAAAACAAGAGTTATAGGAGAATAAGTCATTAATGATTGATCCAGAATGAAAGGATGGATGACAAAGATTTGGAGAGCAAACGAAAGCTTAAAAATAGGTGGATACAAAAATACAACAGTCTAAAGGTTTGTCTATTATACAATCAAAATACCAATAATAATTCTTTGTGTGATTTGGATCTCAAAAGTAATACTTCCACAGTATTCATCTCATTATATGATTTGGCTACTGTGGATCCTGAATGTAGTCAATTCGACAATTTGTGGTAGACTTGTTCAATAATTGTTTTCGAAGGGTCTCATAATGAAATACGGTTGTGTTTAGATGTTACAACGTTATCATTTTTTCTACAGATAACGATCTCTCCTATTAATCTTGACTGGTCAATTGTTGTTCGTTTGTGCAGTAAGCTTTTGTGTTGCTTATGAATAATATTTTCAAGATACAAAAGTGACCCTACACAATTACTTAGTCATGTTGGCCATTTTATGTTTATCTATCTGTTGAGCATGCTAAATCCCCAGAAATCACTTGGTAATCGTCTAATTTCCGTAATAAAATTACGGAAATTTGAACGTCTCGTTTTCGCTCCAAAAACGCCTATTTTTACCTTCAGTTTGTATTCCCCACCTGGAAGGACCTTAAATATCATCGGTTCGTTCCCTCTTCTAGTACGCTATTGTATTACGTTTTCCAAGGACATCTTTATAATGTATATATACGCATAAGTTGTGTACTTGTTCGTTCATAGTTCCGGCTGCTTATGAAATATATATTTTTCCCGGGTAAATCTGGTCTTTTACTTCTAGTTAACAGGGCTGGAGCGCTGTGGAATAGATTAGCTTGCCCTGTTATTGTGTTGCTGATTTTCGTTCCGTTCGTCGGTTTTAAGTGATACCGTAATCTCTTCAAACATATCAGTATCTTTTGTACAGAAATGTTATTAATTTTATTTGCGTTTTATTCGTTCTTCAGGACGGGACGCTGATAATAATCCAAATAATTATGTAAATGACGTTGAACAAAAGGTAATATGGACCATTTTAATGTCATAGTTTTATTTGTTCATTGTCGTTCTTTGATGTTTTAGTTCTAATATAGTTCTGTAAAATATAAGGTGTATTACAGTGACTCCTTAGACGTCTCCTATAAATATTAGGAATATTAGTATTTGTATATTAGAAATAAAAAAATTTTGAATAGTGCTGTCCTAACACTGACTAATACGCATGGACAGTCTTAAGCAACCGATACACAACAAGAACGAGAAGACTGATACTCTATGCTTGACGGTTTATCCAACTCTAACTAGTTCCAAACGAAAAGAAAAAACACGACCAATGACCACCAGTGCAAGGTTGTTTTATATTTCAAGCATATGTAGTTTGTATACAAACATACCTAACCACATTACACCATAAATAAATAATTATTATACATGTTCAAGTCAAAAATTGACTGACAGTTGGGGAGACTATGAATAATAGATTGGAAATTAATTAAGAGCTACGAAGAGTAAATCGTATATCAGTGATTAATGGGTCAATTGAAAGCTTACAATAAAAGGAAAATATGTATAATACTCCATAAATTAGTCCTGGAAGTTACCGTTCCTTTAGTCTTCATTCGAATATAACAGATCGTACTTTGGTCCGTTGATCTAGAATTTATCTTGCCATTATTAGTATATTTATTATGAGTGTCTTTTACTATGATCTTATGGTTATTTATTATTATTTCTATTGATTGATAACTGGTTTATGTCTATTAATTGATACATGACCTGATTACTATTCTTCTTCTAACAATCTATGTGCGTTTTTTTATCCTCTCTGTCCAATATTTTAACATTTTCCTAGTCAACCACATTTCCGTACTTGCTCACATATAATAATAAGTGATATTATACTGCTTTTCAATTAATTTTTTGATGAACTTGTTTGTACATAGTTGGTCTGTGAATCTGATTGGTTTCGCATTTCGTTACTTACTTATTTACATCTGTTACCGTTGTAGAAAAGCATAGGCCGCCCACCAGAATTCTCCAACCAACTCTGTCCTGGACAATCCTTTCCAGTTGCTACCAGTTGCTATACATTCTTTTAATGTCTGATTCCGATTCCCGACTCAATGTGTTCCTTGACCTTTCTCTTTTCCTTTTCCCTTCAAAGTTAGCGCTTGCCTCATGTTAGAGTTTGACAATCTCCATGATGTATCTCCTATCCGCCCCTATCGTTTTTTTCCTAATTTCCTCTGTAAATGGAAGTTGGTTTGTTCTTTCTTACTGTAGGCTGTTGCTGATGGTATCCGACAAACGGATATTGAGTATCTTGCGTTTGGTATTTGATACTAGTTGACATTTATCAACAGAGTGTATCCGTGTAATTTGATATTCTAAGTAAAATACAACAGTAATATCTTCAAAGTAAAGATCATACTACTCATATTTTTAAACTCAACTAAATACAGTTTCCATTTTAAGTTGCTTTTGTCTCATCAGAAAATTACTTACATTATAAGTTAACAAAATTACTGTCAGTTCTCTTAGAATTGGTTCAAATTTTCAGATTACTCTAAAAAAATTTGTTTTCGTTATTTAGGCGGAGGTTAATTACTCGACGAAATCATCACCAAACGAATTAGATTCACAATCGAATGATCATAATACACTAGATTCATTGAATGTCATTGAACAAGATACTAAAATTTTGACAACACCCGACAATATTGATTTTGATGTCAATAATTCAAGCAGAGAAACGGTGTGCGGTCAACAAACATTAGAAGCAACGGCATCAGTAGTGGTAACACCACCAAAATCCACCACAGAACATAATCTCTCAAATGATAACAAAAATCAAACATCATTCAAGGTGAAAAACTATAATTCAGATGAATTCAGTGCTATTCTTTGTAAAATTCATGTAGATTTATGTTCATTGGATAAACCGTTCATAAGTACCTTTGACGATGATGATGATGATAATGACGATGTTAATATTCGTAATAACAACAATGATTGGCATACTAATCTATGCATGCTTTTAAAAGAACGTTTCAAACTATGGTATGATATTGATTGTTTAATGAATGGTCGATTGATTAATTCCGATGAAACATTGAACCTGTTGAACAGATTTTTTGAATTCTCATCAATACCAACTATACAAAAGACGACACAATTACATAATATGGATAATTCAAAAGTTTCAATCAAATCTTCATCAGTGCCTACGAAAGATAACTATTTATTTTATCATCTATTGAATGTTTCATTACCATCTAGTAATAATAATAATAGTAACTCAGTGACACCTATAAAGAAGAATCTCAAGACTAACACTTTAGCCACTACTGATGGTGCATGTCTTTTTTGCAAGTTCTTGTAGTAATCTATCATTGAATGGTGACTATACACTATCGTCTCCTTTATCATCACAATTAGAACTTTGCAAATCTGATTCTTTGTGTAATCTTCTTAGACCTGAACCTTCTGGTGGGTGTGTTGTAAGTCAGTCTAATCAAAGAATAGTCAAATCTGAAAAGTAAGTAAAAAAAATTTTAGAATTGCGCACCTTTATTCATATGCATTAGCAATGAGATTAGAATTTGTTGAAAAGAAAGCACTTCTCATTTGTAAAGCCATGAATCGGTTAAGTATTTCTACTCTCATCTTTGAGGATCCTAGCGATAATATTTTGTAACAGATGAAGAAACTGTATTAGGTTTAATCCAAATATGACTAAACTATTTTGGTCATTAATTATGTTTTAAGTTGGTGTTGAACAAAGTAAAGTTTATGAAATAACACTGTATATTTTTAAATGTATTAAAGTGTCCAACCACATCGAAATATCCTTGAAGTCCAAGTTCTAAACAAAGACTTATCTGAAGAACGGCTTTACTACTACAAAATAGATATGTAAAAAATTTTAATGTCTGAAACACTTAGCACAGATTTTTATTTCACTATTAATAAAAGTTTAGATTATTCCATTACTCATATTCATGACTGCATGTGATCAATCTCTGTAGGGTTATGGACATCCTGAACGAAATGTCTTTGTATATGTATTTTATCACACGTTCTGGTAAAATTAGATTGTGGCAAACAACAGAGTATAGGAAACATGCCTCGTCATATTTAAGGCTTGCTGACTAGATCTAGCTGTTCACACGGAGACTTGAGTTCAGTACGTTTTCCTTCAAATCTCTAATCCCGTTATCCACTGAGCTATTGAGTCCAGATAGCCACCAGTTTATTCAACTGGTCTGATATCGTTATTAATATATGTCCAAACATAACGAAACGCCTTGTGGAATGCCACAATCCAGTTATTTTATAATAAATAATTTTTTCTACCATTACGTTGTCACCTCAATAACGGGACTTTTTAGTGGCTCAGTAATATTTGACTGCAATTCGAACGTGTGATTATCGTTATCGAAATATACATGTCGCCAATCCTCGTATATAATTATCGACTTAAATCGCGTTAGTGAATAACGGAATTAAATGAGCCAAATACGAGAATGGACTTTTGAATATGTTTATTTCTTAAAAACGTTGATCGGAAAACAGTGCAAAACAAAATGATGCCCAATGGTGAGGACGAGTTAGCCAACTCAATTTAACCATACGTGAATCGATATTTATAGTCAGACAGAAATAAGTTACAGACATGTGGTAAGATAAAAAAATGTACACGTATACGCTTACATAAAACAGTCAAGCTTGATAAGCGAATAAGCTTCAGGGTTGTGAAGAATGAATAGATCAATCTGTCCATAGGCCAGAATAACCTAATATGAGCTCGATGTAATACCAGCCCCAACAACTTTACCAGGTTGAAACCAAACAAGGATGATATATTTCAATCACCAAATCTATGCTAAGCTTGTGAAATTTATTTATCAACATCCCTTCCTCATTTTTTTTCTTTCAAAAAGTAACGTAAACAGTTTCTATTCATGTTCACAATACCATCTGAACTGACTTCATTAACGTTTTCTATCATCAAAATGTGTTTTTTGTTGTTGTTGTTGTTGTTTTTGTTTACTTTTCTTTACAGCAAGAACAATAATCAAAAACCTATGGGAATTAGTGCCATTGAATTCAAATTACGTCTTATAGATATACTGACTCGTTATGGTCGTCTTATTGCTGAACGTTTAATTTGTTTAAATTATATACATCATCAGTTGATTTATACAAATCCATATAAATGGTCATTATATAACTTTATTGAATCTAAAATGACATGTTCAAATGATCCACTTGATCAACAATCATTACCATCATTCTCTTGTATTGAATTAATTCAATATCTTGATCATATTTATGAACGTTTAATGAAATTAATTAGTCAAACAATCTTAAGTAATGATTCTATTGGATTGAATATTCAATTAGGTAATAATGCTTTACCTAGTTGGCTTCTTTTATCAACCCATTGTACAGTTAATGAAAATTTATCATCTATGAATTATGGTTCAATTGGTGGAAGATTAATTACATTTTTTATTTTATATATGATAATTAAACAACAATATGCTGAAGCTATTTATTATTTTCTTCGTTTATTATATCAAGTAAGATTAATAATAATGATATTTCAATGCTTTAAATCATGTATTAATGTTAGCTAGATCATTGTTGAAAACTAGGAAACACTGGATTGAACTTTTGTTCGATAAGACACTCCACAGAAGTACATATCTACGATTTCGCCAATTTGGTTTCAAACCAAAGATGTTCAGTTTCATTTGCAAATGCCTAATTTTGAGACAATTGATTTCATATCCGATGGCTCATATATTTAACTTTCGTTAATTAACGATATTGTACGATTATCTTTCATTATTTGCAGTAGATAACTGTTCCCGAAACACTGATCACGTCTTCTCAATAGAACTCCATAAATTGTATCTTGAAGTTAGTCACTAGTAAGCATATGATTATTAACAGTATAGGGCCTTATAGCAATTGTAGAATTCTCATTTAAATCACTTATCTGGATCACAATTTAAAACCAATAAAAACTGGTAACTGTTTCGTCCTCATATGGAGCTTCTCATTAGTGCGCATTCACGACCCTCCCACAGTCTTAGATATTTTGTACGTTTTCATATACGTCATTAACACTGAGTTCAATGATAATATTACTGTACTTATGCGTGCGATTAATCGCCCTACCCCACCCCCCAAAATCCTCATGTCTTTAACTGTCCCAATCAGAATACTAGAAGGTTAAATGAATAGTCAACAATACACATTATTTTTTTATAAACTCATAATCTATGTGAGAAGCCGTGATCAGTGGAGCCAATCTGTGTCGGGTGTGAGGCAGTTACTCACCAACGACAATGGAAGATATTTGTGTAATTTCGTAGATTGGTTGAATTTAGACATTAACACCATTGAATGCTGACTCATTAGTCTGGAGGTCAAGCATTCGTGCGTGAGATCAGAGGTCCTGGGTTCGAGTTCCGTGTATGGGTTAGTGGATACGCATCCCTGAGAAGTCCCATACTAAGAAGAAACGACCATTCAGTGCTTCCAAGTTTTCAATGATCGTCCAAGATTGATCAATTCATGATCTCAATCAAAACTTTGTATTTTTCATATTTCCTCGATTACTCTCCAATTCCCTTCCTGTTCTCTTCATTCCAATCTTCTACTGTTAGACATTCTCATTCCAATTGGTGATACATACTACTTCTATCTGTCAACATGGGTAGCATACACCACAGATAGACTAAGTTTCAAACCTTCGACTTAGGGACTGAAAGTCCATCCGCTTAACCACTGTGATACTATCGCACTCAATAAAAAGATTTTTCACATTTACACATTTATAATATCTGGTTAAATGTTAACTCCAAAGGCTATATTAACAATTAACTCGTTTGAAGAAAGCTTCCAACTAAGGCTATGGAAAAATGTACTACAAACCAGTTTTTTTTAAAAGTTATCTTTCAAGAATATCCAAACTTGTTCACAAATTTCTTCACACAGTACCTCAAAACGTAAACTATTATAGGTATAAATATATCAAGTAATTTTCTGGATGACTTTTAGTAATTGTTTAGAAATTCTCCATTTCAATGATTTATTTAAGTTTATAGATAACTTCAATGGCGTGGAACTATAGACTTAATTTCATAGAACTTAGTCGATCTCTTCATGATTGTTCAGTTTCATTTGCTGTTAGGGATTAATACTTCATCTTTGGAGGACATACTATCATAGGAATTAAACGTTTGAGTTAATCTGCGTTTATGAACAAAAAAATATTGACTATTCAGAGATAACAGTCATTGGCAACTCAGTATGGCAGCAATTCCTGAACTAGTGACTAGAATGGGTCATTAGTTTGTACTAACACTGTCCTCCATGTAGTAGTTCACAGGCTTCTGTATAAAATTTCACTGAACTATTACTGAGATTTTTCATTTTATATAGATAACAGAGATTTACAATAAACTGGATAGAATCAGACTGAAAATGGTGAAATACTAAGTTAAGATGGGTTTCTTACATAGCTTAATCTGTCCTGGAATGAAAATATCTTTATGAGAGCCGATTTTTTTATATCTCAGATCATGATAACTAGAATAGTAGTTTTTACACTTAATTAAAGTTGTTCAAACGCTTTATTTATTTCGACTGAGATATTTTCCATTAGATAAATCAACAAGCAAATCTCACATAATCATCATCATCAGCATGTGCATCAAATCATCGGATTTCGATGGTTTTGAATGTAACTTTTTGTTGTTGACAGTAGAATTGTTACCATCATACGCCTCTAGCTCACCTGTTGACTGTTTTGATTGATATTTGTCAAAAAGTAACGTATGTTCTAACTTCCTGAATGATGTGTTGCATTGATAAACATGTACTGAATGAGATGTTAGATGGGTAATCATTCTTCCAGAACACAGCTAAAATGTCCTTTCGTTTTCCCTTATCTTTGCCAAAATAAGAATTACTCATGTTCTTTATGATATTTCTTTTGCTTTACTCTTGCATTCTCACAACTCATGGGTGACCTTGAAAATAGCGTAGTTTTTTCACCCGACTTGTTTTCTTTTACTAATGTTTGATGGGGTACATTTTGAGTGTGTAATTTGTGTGGTCGTCGTATATTCTTTATGAGCCCATATGCACCATTTGTTCAAAATTAGGGTCTTCTAACTCCTTTAGGTAGATCTTCCATATCGTTCTAGTAGCATACTATCGGACAGACTAAAAGAAACGAGACAAACTTGATTTCAAAATTTCAATGTTGTTTAATTGAAAGGTAAATGCTTTAAGGCACTAATTTACCATTTTTCATGAATTACTCACATTGTTTCAATTACTTTAAGACTGTAATTCGTTTCTTCATTTTGTTTTTTATTATTATTTAGATTGATGAACCTCCTGTCGGAGCATTAAGAGGTATTATTAACTGTGCATTTCCATCTTCACCTACATCTTCATTTGGAGTCCTACGTCAGTGTCATGCAACTTTAGAAAATTCTTTAGAGATAGCTAAATCAACTCTTCCTTGGCTAACATGGGTATATTAATGACTATTTATTGTTATATTAAATAAATACCAAACATATTTATTGTTAAAATCTGAAAGTTTATAAGATGAATATGGATTAGGATACTAGTTCAGTGTGAATTCTTCTAAATGTTATGACAGATCAAATCAACACATGATCGTCAGTAAACATAGTCATTAAGTTGTTTATATGAACTGTGTATGCAATTATAGACTGTTGGTTAGAATCAGAATGAAAGAATAAAGAATTTAACTAACATAACTTAAAATTGTTTATCATTGGGAAGATGCATATGTAGTGAATGAACACTCAGGTTGGGATGACCGATTTATTGTTTAAGGGAAAATTACACAGTGGTTTAGTTAAATATGGAATCATACATTAACTACATTATTTGCACATGTTTTTTTTAATTGGTTCTTAAAAACTTCATTGTTCCTCCATTCATGTTTTTGTCTTGATAGCTTTCAATTTTCTACTCTTTTCTCCTCATTCCAATCTTCTCAATCTCCTGTTACAAGACATTCTACTTTTGATTGATGTTTCATGCTACTTATATCTGTCAACATAAGTAGCATATATCACACATGTACTGTTTTGAATTTTGAGTCCTATTATTATTATTATTATTATTTTGTTAATGTTATTCCCTAATTTCCTTCTCGAGTTTTTATTCTTTTGCTATCATAACGATACTTTTCCATAAGTTCGTCAATTTTCTGTTGTGTTGAGATATTCTTACGGTTGTATTGATGAAATTTATAGTTATTGAAAGTGATACACATCTATGCCTCCGATCTTAGGTTGCTTATGACTGACTGACTACCTTTGTAATCGTATAGAATATTTCATTAATAACTAAAAGCTGAATTGAAGTACAAGTTAGAACACATGTACTGAGAATAATGACACCAATGAAATAGGGTTTGGACTGATGATTTTATCTATAAAGATAATAAAAGCGTCATGATTTCACTTACTTACTTACTTACGTCTGTTACTCTTCGTGGAGGAACGTAGGTCGCCCACCAGCACTCACTATCCAACCCTGTCCTGGGCAATCCTTTCCAGCTCTTTCCACTCGTTATTCATCCAACCCAAATGATAAAATCTCAAGAAAACCATTTTTATTCATTCGTGTCAAAGAATTCTTATAGTGAATTGTTTAGGAATAAGAAAATTACCAGATTTCAACAAAGGCTTACAGAAAATTGCATTTCAGTTTGAGAAAGCGAATGGTGTATATTTTTGTATTGATAACTAAAAGCTGTTCTTACTCTATGGATATATCGTTTTATTATTGCCTTAGTAACTTCTGATTTCGCAAATAGTTTACGTACCGAAATTTAATCCCAAATTAAGTCACTCAACTTAAGCAAACAAGAATTCATTTGAATGACGTGCACGGCCTATCTAATAGTTACGTTAACTGTGGTAAGTACAAATGGCAGTTAGCCTACTGTATAGATGAAAACATGAAATGTGTTCGGCGTCTTCTGCCTTCCAATGATCGAGTCATCGTCCAGGTAATTACTTTTACTAGTTAGATTAGGGTCAATTGTCTGTTTAAACAATTTCAGGAAAATATTTCGCATTAAGAAAATTGATTGGAAAAGAATGATCTCAAAGTTATTGACTCCGTGACCAAACTTTGATAAGAACTATTTAATTGAACTTTAGTCAGAGTGTAAGAAGTCAGTAGACAAAAAGACTAGATAATTGAAAAAACTGACAGCAGGATTAGAAGAATCATGATGCACGTACAGGGCAAACGAAGGAAGATGTGTAAATAATATATTTTATGTTTGATTTTCATATTTTACGAAAGCACTGTGTAATTTTACATTTAACAATAGATTGGTTTTCCGCTTCTGAGTTCTAGTTCACGTCATTATATATATATATATATATATATATATATATATATATATATATATATATATATATATATATATATAATATTTGGAACAATTAAAACGCGAATGAAATAAGCATTTAGCTACAAATATGGGATGCATTGAATAATATAAAATTCATGTAACTAAAGTGTTATTGATTAACATTTAATATCCTCAGTTCGTTCATCTATTAGTCTGGTCATGTACTTAGTACCCTCAAATGCCGTGGTATGGCAGAGGGTGAGGAGAGTACGTTCTTGTCCAAAGAAGTCCTACTCACTACCTTCTCTCTGTGAGGGTGTTGTTTACGAAAGTGAGATGACCTCTAGGTCAAAGGTTAGAGGAGTGGCCCGCCCAACTAAACCACTTTCGGATTGGTCGCCCGAACAGTAGTCAATTCCTCACATTAATAGAATGACGTAGTGTTGCGTATGTACAATTGATGCCTCCTTTTACCAATATTTATGTGCTTAAATAAATAATAATAATCTTTTGAAAACACTACAACATGGGTTTGTTTGCTTTTTTCGTCCCTTATTCTTATTCTCATAATTTCACTTTATTTTTCTTTCTCTTTTTTTTAGCTTCTAAAACAAATTGATTGGTCTGATTTAGCAGTTTACTTAAATCAACAATCTCCAATATTATTTCCTCAAAGAGATTATAGTCTATTAGGTGTAAACAATTAATTGAATCTATTCAATTCATTTATATTTATATTTTATAAATATAGTGTCTTTCAAAGAAGATCAATTTCAAAATCCCCTTACCCCTTTTCTATCATCATTATACAAATGATACTTTTGGATAGTTCTCTTGAACGTATCTTAGTAACAATATCTTGTAAGTTGTTCTGTTTGTTTTGTTTGTTTGTTTTTTAATCAAGTGTTTACTTGAATGCCTTATTGTTTACTTGTTTACTTTTATTCAACTATAACTTATCACTTATTATTTTGTATGTGTGTGTGTGTGTTTGTGCTGATTTTCATTTCAAATTTTATTTATTTTGTTAAGAATGCCAAAAAAAAGAAAACTGTACAATAATTAATGATACTTTCATTCATTTATATAATTTGTTAATGTAATCTGATGTAAGATCAATAAAGTGGGGAGACCTTTGAATGACATTAAGATGACTTTGAGAATATCCACCTTACTAACTGAAACCAAATGAAGGTTATAAAGTAATATGAAGCATTAGAATTAAGATTTACAATTAATAGGCCTGCTTGAGCTTCGGGGCTACCTGTTCCTGCCATCTAGATATTTCAACAAGTTATCTATTTTTGTTTGTTTTAATATATCATTATTTTTATTAATCTTATGACCTATTCTGCTGCGCTTCTGAAAAGTGTACAACCTTTCGTTGTCAAAGTTACAAAAAACTCAATAAGAGACAATGTGGTTGCTGGCAATATACAGCGAAAAGAATGCACATTATTCAGATGTTCATTTACTGAACTGCTAACATCTAACTGGCGATCACTCAATATTTAACGGCAGGACCGACCAAGAAGAAAAAAAGTAAACTTGTTGAAATACTTTACGCTGAGAATTCTATATCGTACCAAAAATAGAATATTGAATAAAGCTGATAATAATAATAATAGTAATACTAATAATGGTTAAGGTTAAGGAATATATATTAAGGGTTTTTATCATGAACTGATATAATCTATAATGCCAAAATGTTATTTACTTAAATGAATAAAGAAATTTTGCGCCAAATATAAGATCTGTTCTCTTATATCTAATTGGTTCGTTCATAAATTATAGTCTCTCTAACAATGTAAATCGGTTGTGAATTATCTTTACTGTAAAGTAAAATTTTATTTGGGTATGAGAATTAAAATCAGTTTTGATTTTATTTTTGGCAGACAGAATAGTTACTACTGGGGGTTTATAGAAATTTTTGAATTTTCATAATGAATATCATTGAACTGGTCTTTGTTAAACAACCATTGAAAAGTTATACTACATCGAAAGATCTATCAAGTGCTTATTGGTTTACAATTGTTGTTAATATAAAATCAGTTTGTTATGTTAACTATGAAAATTCAACTATCTCTATAAACCCCCTCTGTTGTATGCTTACTTACTAGTGATAAATCTTGAGTGGTAATTCTCGAAGTTCTAGTGAAATGCCGTAATTACGCCTGTTACCCCTCGTGCAAGCATAGAACGCCCACCAGGATTCTACATTGAACTCTTTCCTGGGCAATCCTTTTGAGTAACCATTCATCCTTTTGATGTCTGCTTCTCATTCCTGATGTAGTGTGGCCTTCAGTATCTTATATAGACAACTATTTATAAATATTTGTACATTTTTGGTGATAGGTGTGTTAGTTTTCTAAGTTTCAACTTCGTACTGTGGAACTGTCTTAACGTTCGTATTAAAGATTCTGACTTATATTAGTTGACAGTTGTTTTGAGTTGCAAATGTTCTTCAATTGTAGGAGTGCTTTCCTTGCATTTACATCTGCATCCAATCCTCCTTGTTCATCGATAATGCTGACCAGATACGTGAAGTTTACACCTCTTTTAGAGTTTCTCCATCAAGTGTGATTGATATGGTGTTCTCTGTGTTGTATGTGAGGATTTTGCTTCTTTTCTTGTGTATTTTCATTCGTATAGATGCAGAGGCTTCTGCCACACTGGTTGTCCTGACCTGTATTTGCTTCGGTTTGGGCACCCGGGCAGTAACACAGCCCTCACACATATCGAATGAGATTCGTGTGGCGCATATGTATTTGGTGCCTCCTTGTACCAATATCTATGTGTTAAAATAAAATAAAATAGTATTTGTTGTTGTGTATGGGACAAGAAAGACCGGGTCACTTGTGAAGTCCATATCGTCTAGTTACATGCAAACTGTCCATTGTTTTCAATGCTTTCTCTGAGATGTTGAGGTCTCCATAATTCAGTCGACCACCAGAAGAATGATAAGGTGGGGAGGGTAGGCAGCCTTGTTTGACTCTGGTCCTCACTTGGAATGGATCTGCCAGCTGTCTTCCATTCACGACTTTGCAGTGTAGTCCGTCGTGTGAATTCCGTATGACGTTTAGTATCTTTCCAAGTACACCATAGAGTCGAAGAAGGTTCCATAAGGTTCTCCTATCCACGCTGTCCAACGCTTTCTCATGGTCAAGGAAGTTAATGTATAGTGACGAGTTCCATTCAATTGATTGTCCAACAATGATTCGTAATGTGGCGATTTGGTCTGTGCACGACCGATCGTTACGGAATTCAGTTTCTCGATCTAGAAGCTGAGTATCTGGTGAATCTTTCAACCTGTTCAGCAACACTTTGTTGAAAATGATTCCTTGTACCGACATGTGATGTCTGTGTAGTTCTGATTCTTGCTCAGATGTCCTTTCTTTGATATCTTAATTAGGTGTTATTCTTTCCAGTCCATCGGCACTTGTTCTTTCTCCTTGATTTTCTTAAGTAAAAGATCAAGCATATTTGCAGTTGCTTCCATGTTTGACTTCAGTACTTCAGCTGGTATGTTGTCAGGTCCTACTGCTTTTCCATTCTTGATTTGTCTGATGGCAATGCTGGTCGTTGGTGAAGCGAAATCTATAGGATGGTATGTGTGTGCTGCTTCGATGTCCCGTGGGTTCAGTGGGGCTCGTCTATTCAAGAGTTCTTCAGAGTGCTCTACACACCTGTTCCCATGTTCCTGAATCTCAGTAACTAACTTGCCTTGTTTGTCCTTGACTGATCTTTCTGGTTTGCCATATTTTCCTCTCAGTTTCTTCATTGTGTCATATAGTTGTTTCATGTTTCCTTCTCTTGCACCTTTTTCCACCAGTACTTCTGGGTGCTTTTTGTAGTCCCTAATATTTCTTTTCACATGCTTGTTTGCTTCTCTGCATTCAGCTTTTGCCTTTACTTTATCTGCTCTTGTTCGGCTATTGTTAATCATTGTCTTCCCGTTCTTCTTTTCTTGAGTCTTCCCCAGAGTTTTGATAGAGATACATTCCATGTGGTGATGCATCTTGCTTCCCAGAGGCTCCTGGCACGTTGACGTTATTGCTTGTTTGACCCCTTACCAGTCGTTCTCCATAGAAGTTTCCTCTTTGAATAGATCTTGTATGGCTTGGAATCTGTTGCTGAAGTCTATCATGAGTTCGTTGAGGAAGGCTGTATTAAACCTTTGTAATGGTGTTTCTGCAATTGATCAGTACTCCTTTAGCTTCGGTTTCATCTCGGCGACCAACAGGTGGTGATCTGATGCTATATCAGCTCCTACCTTTGTTCTCACGTCTTCAATTGGCTTTCTGAATTTTATAGTAATGCAATCACGATCAATCTGATTATCTGTAGTGTGATCCGGAGAAACCCATATAGCTTTGTGTATGCGTTTATGGGGTAATATAGTGCCGCATATAACCATTTTGCTGAATGCACGTAGATTTGCAAATAGCCATTCTCCTTCCTTCCCCCTAGTCATTCTATGTCGGAGTTGATTAAAAGCCGTAAGAAGTAGAATTCAGTCATGTCGAGTTTGAAGTAGTTATTAATTATTAGTGAAATTTGAGAGTGGCTGCAGCTATATCACAAATTGATTGCAATTAAGAGTTTAAACTATTGGATGCGGATTTATTTTTTAAAGGTTAGGCACTCGTAGAGTGACCGAAGTTCTTGGATTGAATCTCTGGCAAAGTCATAGCTGCCCAATACTGGAAGAGTCTCATACCAAGACGAAATAGCTGTCTAGTTCTTACTCGTTGTCAATAGTTCTTCTTTACTAAGATCAGTTCTTGATGTAAACGGAAAAATTCTTTTATTTATTTGATATTAATAAAGGTTATGTAACGATGATAAACTGTCTTTATATATGTGTGTATATAACTTGGCTATCGCATTTACTTTGTGTTTTATGACAACCTAACAAGTTATGTGCAAACCAAATTTTTTGACTTGAAATAGATCAAGATGAAGCTAATTTGGTTTCAACAATAAATTCGACATAGTATCATTGAAAATAATCATTACTAGGGAAAAGGATTTCTAGTTTGGTTTCCTACTCACGTTAACAGTCTAATATTTGCCCATACATATGTGTACTAAAGAGAGAAAAAGATTCTAAAGTTTACTCGTATTCAACCAACCAAAGATCATGCGTATAAGAGTTTTAAAGTATACCGATGTAAAAGTTAGCTTGGTTACATTTCTCATTGAACATCATGCGTAAAACTTTCTATTTCACTTATTCCGTTTCTTCATCTTTTATGTTTAGATTTTGATTGAATTTAAAATCAATTCGTTGTATTTGATTTCCATTTCGTTAATTCCCTCTCTCAGTGTAATATGAATTCATTTGAACTGAATTCTCATATTCATACTAGATCCTACGTTATTGAATACTGACTAACTTATGTTTAGACTAATATTATTAATAATACTCCTGTTCAATTTAAAATTGTGTGGTATATTTAAACAATTTCACATAGTTTTATGTTCTGAACAAATAAAAACCTTTGTAAGAGGGTTAGAGATTATCGGCAAGATATACTGGACTTAGTTTTCATGCTTGTTAGCAATTCAAATCATAAATTTTGATGGAACTGTTTAAAACTATAATAATGCTGTTTAGATTTTTTAAGCTTATCATGAATGCAACTATTCTAATTGTTTGCAAATTATGTTAATGTTGTTTCCTGATTTGACCAGTCTAACTTGAAGTAACCAAAATTAATGCTTAGTGCCTATTCAACGATATTTGAATGATTATATGTTTTATAAGCAAAGATGGATAGTGATTAGCAGTGGAATCCAGGACGCGCGTTTCGCCCTATTTGGGACTCGTCAGCTGAATGTACCTTCATCTCAGAGTTGATGTTCACTCTGGGACTCGAACCCAGCACCGTACATCCAGCTGGCGAGTCCCAAATAGGACGAAACGCGCGTCCTGGATTCCGATGCTATTCACTATCCATTTTTGCTTATAATGCTTGTAAATTAAGGCAATATCGAGGCGATACACACAGTATGCACATATGCCAATAAGAGACTGATCAATTTCAGTCCTAAAACATCAATGGGAAGATTCAAATAAAATAATACCAAGCGGAATAAAGTTTTTTTAAAATTGATCCTCTTCAAAATTTCAATCTTATCACTGTCTGTCGTACCCTGAAACATTGACTCGAATCTTGAAGAAATTATTTATCCTCTTAAGGATTCACTAATGAACTTCATAGTTAAATCGGTTTTATTTAACAATAACTTGTAAAAAATATTTATCAAGAAGCTATATGAAACACTGGGTTAAACAATCTACTTATAACCAGTTGATTACAGATTTAAACTTACCTTCAACCATTTCAATATGAATAAACGGTTGATATTACTCACTTTTAGTAGTAATCAAAGACAAATATATAAATCTTTAGCTGACAAATATGTTTAACACATCAACAACCTACTAGTAAGTTAATGAAATATAAAAATATATCTATTTCAATCTACTGTGACAGACAATCTATTATTTACATGTATACATTTGCTATCATGTAAAGTTTATTCATCACAGTTGGTGGAACACTCGCTTATCTGGTTAGCATGATCGGTTAACAAGGCGGATCTGATACAGACGTAAATACAAGAATTAGCAAAGCAAGGAAATCATTCCTACAGTTGAAGAACATATGCAACTCAAAATAACTGTCAACCAATATAAGTCAAAATCTCTAATATGAACGTCGAGACAGTTTTATTGTACGGAGCTGTGTTAGTTTTCTAACAGAGCCATCATCAAAAATGTGCAAATATTTCTAGACAATTTTCTACGTAAGATACTGAATATTCGTTGGCCGTATATCATCAACAATAGCCTACTATGGAAGAGAACAAATCAGCTACCAGTTAAAGAAGAAATTAGTAAAAGATATTGGATGTGGATAATATATGCATTGAGAAAATCATCATATTGTATCTCGAGACAAGCACTTACTTTGAATCTTGAAGGGAAACGAGAAAGTTGAAAATCAAAGAACACATTCCATCAAGGATTCAAAGCAGACATCAAAAGAATATATAACAACTGGGAAGGATTTCACAGGATAGAGTTGAACGGAGAATACTGATGAACAGCCTATGCTCCTTTATGACAGGTAACAGACATAAGTAATTAAGTAAGCATCATATAGAGTTGTGATGAACAGCTAATATATGTGAAACATATTAAATTAATAAATATTATTATTATTTATACGTATAGAATTATCATTATCAATGATACAACATAAAATGCCAATCGTACAATGAATGATTATTGTTAAATAAAATGAATAAATAGTTCAATATATCATTCATTCTAAATAAATTAAAACGGATTCTTTCTCTTTGTTTTCCTTTTTTTCTTTTTTCTTCTTCTTCTTCTTTCTCCTTTTTCTTCTTGAAAATGAATTGTATGTAATATTGAATAGAAAATAATTGTATCATCCAAAATTACTATTAAATAATAAACAATGAACATTCAGAACAACTGATCTCTCCCTCCCTCCGTTCCTCTCTCTTGGTAACTTCATCTTACTATTGTGTATTGTTATTCCCTTTTTTCTAGAGAATATGAATTATATATATAAATTCATGTGAATATGGAAAAAGAAACTGATCATGAAATTGTTTACAATATTGATTATTATTATCATTATTAGTTTACAATTAATGATATTAATTATGTAATCTAGTAACCAATTTATCGATTTTTTTATTCAGAGTTTGATCAATTTTTTTTGTTATCTTAATAAAATAATACTACACTAATGTTTGTTCCAAACTTAAACATGAATTTAAAATGTTTGTTCTTTTTTTTTGTGTGTTTTTTCTCATTTTTTTTCTGCTTTTTTTTTAAAAAAAAAACAAAAGAAAAAGGGAGTTACTGAGCAGTTTTCAAATGTCTAATTCTATTGAATGAAAATAAGATAAAGAATGAAAGAAAGAAGAAACAGACGTGTAATAGTATGATAAAGAACTTCAAAAAAGTAATATACTTAAACTATCAAAGTATTCAATAATAGAAAGTATAATAATAATAGTAATAATAATAATAATAGAAATGTAATTATGGAATAATTAATTATCATTTTTATCATTTGGATGTATATTCATTGGTAAATATGATTTAGATGTTGGTGATTCTGGTTCATTTATTGTTGATTGATTTGGCATAACTGTACCAAGTGGTGATGTATTTTCTTGTAAACGCATTGCTGCAGCTAAACTCATACGTTTTTTATTATGACGACCTATACTAGATGAATTACGTTTTTCACGATCTGTTATATTAGTTACATTAGATAATTCACGTGTATATTCTTCTACAACTTCATCTATTTCTTTATCAATTTCAGCATCTTTTTGAGCTAATTCTTTATAACATAAATGATTAACTATACCAGCTCCAACTGCATCACCCATTACATTGATTGAAGTACGAATTCGATCACTGAAAAAAACACACAAAAAAAGATATTTAAACCATAAACCTACTAATATTTAATCATATTGATGAGAAACTTAACGACTTTTTATTCTGTTCATTTTATGATTCAGTTGTTCTCATCACAGTCCATGAACTTGTTTTTTTATTTATTTGAACGCATAAATATTGATACAAGAGGGCACCAAATTTCATTGGTCACTGAAAAGTAAGGTAAGATTAGCGCAGACCAGGGCATGATCAGAGTTCAGATAGGTACTCAAAAAGGAGTGACAGTCTTGTACACAACTACGACAGCGGTAGCTGATCGCGATGTCATCAATCTGAGTCCAGGCTTGAGGTCCAGAGGGAAGATGCCAGGTGGCACATCGGCGATGACTGTGCCGGACGTTATTGCTATCCAGAAACAGGTTATCTGTCCTGAGACCAACAAATCCCCATCGCCACCTAAACGACTCTCTTCTGTGCCTGGACTCCCGTCCTGAGCACTCAAGTCTCCGGCTAGGACTACAATATCTGTCGAACGCACTTTCTGGAGAAGAACAGTTAACTGGTGGTAGAATTCATCCTTGATTGCATCCGGGCTACGATCTGTCGGGGTATAGGCGAAGATGACGGAAAGACATCGTTTCTCACTTGTTTTATAGAGAGAATCAAATATGTAGACAAGTAGATTTGGGTGCAATTGTTTAAACACTTGAGAGATATTAACATCATCATTGTTTTAGCTTGTACAATTGAAGAGTCTCAAACCAATATGAATTAGTTATATTGTTTATTACTCTGTTTCCAATGATTTAAATTATTCAACTTTAATAGAAATGAATGATGTGTAGATTTTTCAAATCTTAGTCATAGTTGTTCACAGTGAAATTTTTTCAGATAAACTAAATTTTTTTCAATTAGTTGTATCCTTTGAAAACACTGAGTTCATGTTCAAGAGTGAACATCAACTCTGAGATGCAGGAACACCCGGGTGACGAGCCTTAAATAGGACGATGTGGCGCGCGTCCTGGATTCCACTGCTAGCCACTATCCATCTACGCTTATAATGCGTGTGATTTAAGGCTATATCATGACAATTCGCACAGAATGCACATATACTAACAAGAAACTGATCAATTGCAGTTCTAAACATCAGTGGGAAAATACAAGTAAACAACTCCAAGTGAACTTTGAAAACATTAGTTCACACTCACAGACTAATATTAAATCAATAATCAATGAAATCTTCGATGTTTTTTTATTTTTGCCTGAGAGATTTGCTCTGCTTTCCTATATCAGTATAAATGAAGATCTTTTCTAAAGTGAAACTATTTAAATAGAAATAGTATGATATATCGAAGAAGCTATAGTTTGCTAACTTGCTCATAAACATATTCATTTAGTGATGAAGTTCCCCAGGCAACCTTGTTTCCTTCCTATGACTTAATAACTATCACCAAACATAGGACAATATATTGTAATTGAAACGGACTGCAAAATATAACGATACGAAATAGTATTCTACTAGTCATTCGAAATCTTAATTGAAAACAGTGTATATCGTAAAATTGAATAGTTCCCATAGATTTACACAAATATTAATTATGTGCTTAGTTGCGATTCACTCTCTCATTATTTCTTTCAAATCAATTTAGAAACAGTAGACAGTGGTGGGTGAAGCATGTTGGTAATGAAATAGATTTTACTAACTGTAATCAATAAAAGTTACACAGTATTGAAGATTTTTCTCCGTTGTATATTAACTTGATGATTTATGAGTAATACATTCTCTGTATGGGTTGAGAATCATGCGTTCGACATCGAGTGAAGTTATGCTTGTGTACCATTGAAGAGCTTACTAATAGCTATCTATTGACATTTAGTTGTTTAGCTAAAGACAATTTCTAATGTAAAACTATAAAGTAATTTTATTATCATAAAATAAAGTAGATTATTGTTTATTTTTAAACTTACAGTAACCAATCAACCGCTAAAATTAAAGAAATATCTTTTGTAGGTAATCCAACAGATGTAAGCACTAACATCATAGTAACTAAACCAGCGCTTGGAACACTCGCCGCTCCTATTGCTGCCAACGTTGCTGTTAAACTGATAGAAATAATTTATAGAAAATGATTTAATCAACAAGTTAATAGAAGTTTTAAAGCTTAATTGATAGATTGTTAACTGATTATTGATCTTTCTTCATTATTCTTCATTAATCATTACTAGTTACCTTATAAGTAATATCACAGAAGTATCTTGTAACTAATGCCTATATTAACTGTAAGTCACTTGGTTATTTGGTTAACATTCGGAAATCACATTACTGAGAAAAAAAGTTATCATTTATGCAAGTTTTCTCTTTTTCTTCAGTCAATTGTGCTATTCTAACGCTAAACAATATTAACAAATTAGATTATATACATTTACGTATATATTAAAGGCCAAAGAACATACTCCGTCGGGAAATGGAAAAAGATATGAAAAGGATCAATAGCAATTGGAAAAGATTACCTGGAGAAGAGTTGAATGGAGAATACTGGTGAGCAACCTATGTTGTTCTATGTGGGATGGGTAACAGGCGTAATTAAGTTATATATATAGATTACAGTTATCAAATTTTAAATAGATCACGATATAATGCTATGATTCATACAAGTTATACATTAGAAAATCCAGATGTAATTGAGATTATGAAACAACCAATGTTAGACCACTATTGAAAACCTGGAAGCACTGGACGGTCGTTTCGTCCTGGTAGGTGACTCCTCAACAGTGAGCATACACAATCTCACCCGCGTGCTTCGAACTATTTTTGTTTACAATTGCGTCTACTTATAATCACTAAGTAGATTTTCCATGAAAACTACAAAACTTTACCTTGAAGATGTCTTTAGACATTGGTAAATTAGTTTATTGTTAAATATATAACATTGAATACTGGAAATATTATTATTCCAACTAGTTGAAATTACTTGAGATGAAGTCATAAGAGGAAAATTTCCCCCAATTTAGTAATTAAATAATTTAATAGATGAATTCATAAGCCGATTGAAGCTAGACCACTGTCTCGTCCCAGTGTGAGACTCTCTAATAGTGTGCATCCACGAAACGACCGTCCAGTGCTTCCGGGTTATTCATGATGGTCTAGCTTCACTAGACTCATGAATTAATCAATTAAATTACTATAATATCCACAAAACTCCTCTCTAATTAGATATTCATATATTGATTAAAATAATAATATCTCTTTGTATATAACATATCCAATATTTAATTGAACTTGTAAACTGGTATTGAATCATATTGTTTATAACACTTTTCACTGAATTTCGATTCTAAAACCATCATAAGATTGAAATTAAATCCATTCACGTTGTATAAACTAGTGGTTATGTGTAATTAATAGCTAAGTGGATAATGATTTGAGTGTCTGAAGCTATAGACATTGTGGTTGGATTTACAAATGAAAATCCATACTGAGATTAAGGTACACTCAGCCAATGAGTTTCAAACAGGAGAAAATAAATATTGTGACTTGTACTACTAGACACATTCTATCTTTTTTTTATTTGAACTTCATCAAGAAAATTGAACATACGAGGTTATGGTGAACATAATCCATATTCTACTGATAAGATTCTAGAACATCCAGTTTATACATACCACTTTTTTTTACCTGAATAGTTGGACATTTATAAAACATGTTTAAATTATGTGTAACTAATTAAGATAACAATGTTTATGGTTAGCAAAAAGCTTATTTTCTAACTAAACTCATCCAAAATTAGGTAAACTTTAATTTTATATAAAATTGGATAGTGGCTAGCAGTGGAATAGTGGACGCACGTTTCGTCCTATCTGGGACTTGTCAACTGGATGTACCTGCTTCTGAAAGATGATGTTCACTCTGGGACTAGAACTCAGTACTGTTCGCCCCGAAGGCCACGTTATCCACTTAGATACTGAGTCCTGATAGCCACTTACTCGTGCAATGTGGTGAAGTTTAAATTCACTCGATATTGTTTGTTCGAATCTTCCATTGATATTTAGGACTTTATTTCTATCCATAGAAGCGGATTGTCTCTTTTAAAAATACAACAAGTGGTGTAATTGTATCCTTAATTATAATACGCACTATATGTTATTAACTATTTGACTTTTTTAGTGATAAAGAACGGTATAGTTTTGTCGAAATAGTTATAATCAATAAGACCTTGGCCAAAATTATAGGTGGTTTTGCTTGAACGACTGTATACTACTTACAACTTTTGTTAATAGTATAAAAATTATCACTAAGGTTTAATTTGATAAATGGGTGAAGAATTACAGTGATTGTCACTGTAGAATACAGTTATTTGAGATTAATTCAAAATGAGTATTGACTCGTTACAATTTATTTAAAAGTTGAACTGTTTCGACGTTATCCTTGATTAGGTATGTTTTCGAGGATTATAAGAATAAAACGTATCACTTATTTATTTATTCATTTGAACACATAAATATTGGTACAAAGGGGCATCGAATATATAAGCGCCACACAAGTCACTTGATTTGTGTGTGGGCTGTGATACCGCAAGGCTGCCCAAACCGAAACAGGTGGTTTTATTAGAGGGCCACATTCGCAGCCTTCGATGTAAAGGTCTAATCCACAAGACAGTGGAGCAATGTCAGGGGATGTAATCTCATGGTAGATGGTGACCAACAATAGGTTTATATGCCATTTGTTTCCTCAGGATTCTGGAACCAATGTGCACCACGGATTTAGAATCAGGATTTTCCAACTTCCCTAGGATGAACCTCCATATCCACTAACTCGGTTAAATTTAAAAAATCCATAATGTATTCAGACTATTTAAATGAACATAATGTTTCTTGTTTGTTGTTTTAAACAAATTCAATGGTTATTCGTATACCAACTCTTAATTCTCATAATTAATGTCCCCAAATACCCTGGTATAGTTGAGGGTGAGGAAATTCACCTTAACCTTTACAAATGCTCTCACATGGACACGCGTATACAGCCACTACCAGGGAAGTCCTACTCACTGCTTTCTCATGGTGGGAGTGTTGTTTACGAAATTGATAGGACGAAAAGCGAATGTCCAGAACTTTAACCGGGTTGGTAGATATTGAGGGTCCACCTAGGAAAGTTAGAAAACTTTGATTACACATCAATGTTGCACATGGGTTCCAGGATTCTAAGGGAATAAATGGTGTATGAACCAATTATTGGTCATCGGGTACCATGCGACTGCATTTTCTGACGTTGCTCCACTGTCTTGTGGATTAGATCTTTACGTCAAAGGCACCGACGAGGCTCTCTCAGAAAACCACTCGTTTCAATTTGGGCGTGTGGGCAGTATTACAGCCCACACACAAACCAAGTGACTTGTGTGGTGCATATGTTTTCGGTGCCTCCTTGTACCAATGTTTATGTGTTCAAATAAATTTTAATAATAGAAAAATACATAATTATTGCTGGAAAAAAACAAATAAACGTACTCATTATTTAAGAAATGTGTCGGTGTTTGATTTCGTAAACATTTAAATAATTAGCATTGATTGAGATCAGTAACCGATCTGAGTTTGAAAATCATCGAAAATCTATACGTAACGAACAACCAACTCGCCGTATCATGAGACTTCTTAGAAGTGAGTATCTATTACTCATCAACTAGGAACCAAACACAGAACCTTTGTTCTCATGAATACTTACTGCTGAGGAGTCTAATACTAGGACAAAATAGTCGTTTTTTACTTTCAGCTTTTTAATGGTGATCTAACATTGATCAGTTCATTATCTCAAATAAAATTCAACAATCTTCACAACCCTATACTAAAAAATCAGGAATACTACAAAAACCCCATATACCAGAAAATATCTATCTATGATCATTTTATTTCATACTTAATTCAATTTCAGTCCAAAAACATCAATGGGAAAATTCAAGTAAAACAATATCAAGTGAATTCAACTTCAACCCATTGCACAAGCAAGTGGCTATCAGGACTCAGTAGCTTAGTGGATAACGCGATGGCGTTTGAAACGAACGGTACTGAGTTCGAGTCCCAGAGTGAACATCAACTCTGAGATGCAGGTACATCCAGCTGACGAGTCCCAAACAGGACGAAACGCGCGTCCTGGATTCCACTGCTAGCCACTATCCATCTTTGCTTAATTCATTAGTTTGAAAAAATGGTTTATAACTTAGAGTATTTTGAAATAACACTTTTATTACTTGTTAGTAATTAAAACAAGAATAAAATTAGGATTCTAATTATAATTAAACTAACAATAGATGATCCTAAAACAGATACATCAACAAATGAAGAAAAAATTAATTTGACTAGAAAATAAGAAATAAACTATCAAGGGAATTAGAATTGAATAAATAAAACAATGAGTTGTTATTCAATTTTGTTCATCATTTATTTTTCTTTAATTCTATTAACTATTTTGCTTATTTTATTAGTTGAATTGATGAGTCAATTGAAACTAGACCACTATGGAAAACCTGGAAGTACTAGATGGCTGTTTCGTCCTAGTGTGGGATTTTTCAGCAGAGCGCATCCACGGCCTCGCCTTGTGAGATTCAAACCCAAGACCTATCGGTCTCGTGGGAGAATGTTTAACCACTAGACCATTGAGCCGGCCGACATCCAACGGTGTTATTGTTTAACTTTAACCAATTCATGAAATTACGCCACCGTTTACCATTGTCTTCAGTGAGGTACTATCTCACAACAGACTTGGTTGATCTACAATGGATAGGACTTCTCATTAGAACTTCAAGAAATACCTCTTGAAGCTAGTCACGAGTGAGCTTATGATGATTATAATCGGACAGGGGTTTTGTGGAGATTGTAGTGAGTTAATAATTGAATTCGTGAGACAATTGAAGCTAGACTACCATGGGGAACCTGGAAGTACTTTTTATTCAAAACAATATGAGAATGATGGACAAGTTAGGTATACAACAGAAATATATAATTTTTAAAAGATAATTACTGTTTGTAAATGATGTTAAAATAAGTAAGATTGGAATGGTGAACAGAAAAAAACAAAACGAACGAATACACACGTTTTAATAGTTGAATTCATGAGTTGATCTAAGCTAGACTACCATCGAAAACCTGAAAGCACTGGACCCCTCATCAGTGAGCATATACGATACCACATGTTGGATTCGAACCCAGGACCTTTGGTACAATGCGCGTAGACATAGCCTGTAGAACACTGGGTCGGTATCCAAAGATGTCAATGTATAATTTCAATCGATCCATGATCTCGTGCAACCCTTTATTCACTATCTCTGAAGTGAATAACTGTCTACATCCAACACAGATTGGACTCCACTGGTCAAGGCTATTTCGAACCAATGATGAATATAAAACTAGCTTATCATTTAATAAATAATTACTAATTTCTACTTATACTTCATTTTATTCTTTAGCACGCAAAATCTGTTGTTAGTTGTACATAGATACTTGAATGAAATGTCAGATCAAGAGTTGATGAATATTTCGAAAATGTTTACATCATGAATTGAAAACCATTGGTAACCTGGAAGGATTGTATATTTCTTTCGTCCTCATATAAGACTATTGAGTAGCATGTACATAGGACCTAGCCATTAAAAGAGTGTAGTCGTTTTCATTTTTAATCATTCTTTTGTGCATGAATTAGGTTAGCATTGATGTCAACCTTTCAATTATTTGAGAACTTCCACATCTCGATAATACTTAGTGTGACCACTTTTAATGAAACCTGTAAATGAGGTAACGCACTATTCACTTATACTTAATCATTTTACCCGTTCCCGAGTGACGACCTTTTCTACATCCAATCAAGTTTTGTCTGAATCGAGGACGAGAATGGACTGTCATAGGTTTGCGAATAAGCAAGTTATCTTTAAACAACTTTCGTATCATTGTACGCGAGTTAGCATTTTGAATGGTTGCAGTTTCATTAGACTCTAGCCAGATCTTTTTTTCGTAACCGAATACAGTCGAGGCTAAACGCTTTTGAGCGCATAGATTGCACATTTCACAGCAACGATCTTGTGAGAACCGAAAAGTGACTGAATTTTAATATTTTTGTTAGAAATCTTATGAATTCCACTATAAATTTATGATTAATTCAAAATTTTACTTTACATATCTTATCATCTAGCTGACAGTACTTATATTAGTTAAAATGTTGAATATTTTGACTTGGAAAGTTCATTTCTATGTTATATTCACTAGTAATAGTGTAGTGTGTTCTACTGATCTCGACAGATATAAGTAGTACATATCATCAATTGAAAGTGAAATGCCTGGAAGTATAAGGTTAGGAAGATCAAAGAAAAGAGAACAAGAACAAATGATGACTGTTGTAGAATTGAAAGAACAATAAAGTCTGAGACAAATGACGTAGTTCTCAGATTTTACTAAGATGTTCTGTGATTTTATATTCAATCACATTCTACTGTCTCCCCCCCCCCAATACAATAGTAATGGTGTACAGAACTGAGAAGAAATAGTTCCAGGATGAAATAAATGACTTTCGAAAATGTCTGTATCTTTAAAGTTCACACTTACAAAGGAATGGGATTCGCATATTGTTTACTGAAAAATGTTCTATAGTAATCTATAATGTGAAACGAAATAATTACGTTTGATGTCATACAACAGCCTAATGATGAGCTCAGTTGTCTGTCAATCGTTGTGTTGTGAACATATATACATCCAAATTTCTACAGTAATTCGTATAGTTGGGTAGTGTCACCTCCATCTTGAAATAATTCATTGTTTATTTCATGCTTCAAAATACCTTCCTTGTAAAATGCTATACTCCACTAATTCCAATGCTCTTGTAGTGTCGGTTACTATGTTAAGCCCACATAAGTTATTCTAGTTTCTGGATAAGACAATTTATCCATTCTTTTTGACTCACGTTTTGACCCTGTTACCTATATTCTTGTCAACCCCTGACTGTTTTTATGTGAGCGTATGTGTGTGTACACTTCTTATTCTATTCATCACATATCTGTAACTTATTTTTATCCGGCTATAAATATGAATTACCGCTTGATTAAATGTAGTTGGTTCACATGCCTTCTTCACCGCGCATCATTTCATTTCGTTCCTTTGATCGTCTGCCTGGATCAATGATCCTTTCTCATATTTGACTTATTTTAACACCATTATTCACTAACGCTAATTAAGCCAATGATTAAATACGAAGATTGCCGATATAAATATCTTAATATCAATCATTCGTACGATCCAAATAAATTCAGATAAGGGTCCCACACTCGACGTTTATTATCCTCATATAATTTGAACTCAAATCAAGTATTCTGTTGTGGCATAATCGAATAAAGGTTCAAATTTTAATAATACTTGACCTAGTTATGATCATTCTCTATTGTTTGCTTTGTTTTGTTTTTTTGGACCTTACCTTACAATAAATACTTCAATAATTGTCAAATATTTTCCATTAATTTGTGCAATGAAAATTGATGCAACAGCTTCATATAGTGCAGTTCCATCCATATTGATTGTTGCACCAATAGGTAGAACAAAACGTGTTACACGTTTATCAATGCCTAGATTTTGTTCTAAACAACGAAATGTAATTGGTAGAGTAGCTGCACTGGATGCAGTTCCAAGTGCTGTAATCCAAGCCTTTTGTAGGTTGCATAAATAGAGTGAAAAAAGATAGAAAAGATACAATTCAGTATTACTGATAATAGTCATAGTAGTGAAACATGCTATATATATATATATATATATATATATATATATATATATATATATATATATATATATAAAGACGAACTATGGAAGACATGAGCTTTTTAAGCAAAGATGGATAGTGGTTAGCAATGGAATCCAGGATGCGTGTTTACTCGAAAATGAAGATCCTAGGTTAGATCCCTATGTGCGAAGTCATGAATAGAGATTTCTGAGGAGTCCCATAGGAGAACAAAATGGTCTCTCAGTGCTTCCAAGTTTTCAATGGCTATCTAACATCTATCTATTCATGAATTTAGTGGAACTCAAAACTTTCCAGTACGGCATACTTGCATGTGTTAATTTATTTCTACTGTATTACAGTTAACATTCTGTGAATAGTAATATAAGTTAGAATCAATTGTCTTTTGTCTCTCTTATTGTTGTCCTGTTTGGTAGTGTAGTGAGCGAAGACGTTGTGGAGTTAACCAATTTATTGTCTAATACAAAATTGCAAAGTTCTTTCTTAAGATATGGAAACCATACATTAAATACTTCATTTGAAAATCTTCCATTAATTGTCGTTTCTGTCCTTCATAAATCTTTCAATTCAAAATATCTTTCTGTTTTCTTCAATGCTATCTTCTCAATCTTCTTCTTTCAGACCTTCAATCTTTGACCAATGTTATATATTACTTATGCCTATCGATTTAAGTAGCATACACCATAGTTGTAGTAAAGTAAAGGAAAGCCCAGGACAGAGTGGGTTGAAGAATACTAGTCGGTGGCTTATACTCCATTGGGAGTAACAAGCGTAGATAAGTCAGTCATATTCTAATATATTCATCGTAACTTGACATTCATTATTGACTTAATTTAATGTCTTCACTGATACACTTAACACCTTGTTGTAAAGAAGCCTGAAATACTCTTTCGTATACGAGTTCATTAGTTGTTGTTTTTTTTAAATAAAAGAATGTGTACGAAAAAAAAAAACACTTAATACCCTAACAACAAGTACTTGATCGCTCATTTATACTATCAGAGAAAAATCTATATACATTTCACTTATTCGTTTCAATCTATTAACTTGATAATAATTTACATTAGATCTTATTAAAACTAACTTCATTTAAAAGAGAGAAGGAAAAAAAAAAGAAACTGTAAAATCGAAAAAAAATCTATATTTTCACCTAAGTGTAAAAGAAGAGATAAGATTAGTATCTAATACAAAAAAAATTAGATAACAATATCTAAGGTATCTTTATGATTAACAACCGATTCATTTACCCCACCCCACTCCACTCCACCCCCTCCTAAAATGAACTAAATTACATCATTTCTTCTTTTCTTTTTTTTTTTGATTTTACGATAAAGTTTAGCTAGTTGTTTTAATTCTTCTTCTATTCTAGTTCAAGTAAATCAACCACTTCATTTTACTGTTCACATTAAAATCTCTTTTGAGAGGGTATATATTGTATTTGTTGTTGTTGTTGTTGCTAAGATGGAGGGGAGTGAGGTTTTTATCTTACTTGATTTATTTACATACAATTCGATGAGATTAAAACGTATCCACTATGAATATAAATTATATCTTGCTCCTTTCTTGTGTGTGCATGTGTGTGCGTGTGAGGTTAATCTTTTTTCTACCATGGTAAACTGAAAAACCAATAACCATTTTTCATAATCTATTCTAATCTTATCCAAAGCAAAACAAAAAATAATAATTATTATTATTTTCTTGTAAATTTAATGAAGAATTTAGACAATTTATTTGTCGATGAAATGTGAGTGTTGTAAGGCGAATGAACGAATGATAACATGACTTTAATAAATATGAAGTTCAATGAAAGGATCTCTTTTCAAAGAAGCTGTACAATTGTATATACATATGAAACTTTTCTTGTTAAAGTACTAGTTCCTTGAAGAAATGTGAACATAAATAACCAAGATGATGTAATAGAAAGATTATAACACTAGATTACGTAATACGAATAATAACAATAGTTTTAGATTCGAATACAGGGACACGTCCCAGTTTGGTTCATCAAAGGTGAGAGGAAAGCAGTTAGGAGTTCTATACTTGAACACCTAATCGACTGTAATCATTTTACGGATCCATAGTTCGATTTTAAGGTTGTATATATGATTCGTTCAAATCTACTTAGATTTCTTGGTATCCAACTACTAAAAGTAGCTAAAGCTCTTACCATCCATGAGCTCAAAGTAGAACTATGCGTACAAAAGGAATACGTCCTATCGTTACCGTTACCTTGGTTTTAATTATTATTATTATTACTGCATTCCCCTTTACTTGTGTCTTATATTCTCACTATTTTATTCATAAATACTGATAGCATCCGGCCCATGACTGTTGAGTATCTTACATAGACAACTATTTAAAAATAATTGTACCTTCTTGATGATTATTGTAGTTCTCCACGTTTCAACTCCGTACAGTAGGACTGTCTTGACGTTCATATTGAAGATTGTGACTTTGATATTGGTTAACAGTTGTTTTCAGTTGCATATGTTATTCAATTGTAGGAATGCGACCCTTTCTTTGCCAATCATTTCCTTTACGTCTGCATGTGATCCTCCTTGTTCATTGATGATGCTTCCCAGGTACATGAAGGATTTCACATCTTCCAGAGTTTCGTTGTATTTGAGGATTTTGCTTTTTCCTATGTGCATGTTGATGCCTACTAATTCAGAGGCTGCTGCTACACTAGTTGTCTTCATCTGTATTTGTTCGTGTATATGGGACAGGTTATCTGAGAAGTCCAAATATTCTGATTGATTCTGGGCTATCCATTATATTCCATGCTTCATTGTATAACTTCAGTTCTTCAGCTGGTATATTTTCCGGTCCTGCTGCTTCTCAGCTCTTGATTTGTCTGATGGCCATCCTGATTTCTTCCGTCGTTACATTCATTAAATTTAAATCTATTAATATTACTCGTATTACGTAGTCTAGTGTTATAATCTTTCTATTACATCATTTTAGTCATTTGTGTTCACATTTAATATGGGAATGAGTACTTTAACAAAACATTTTCATATATATATATATATATATATATATATATATATATATATATATATATATATATATATATATATAATTGTAAAGCTTTCTAATAAGTTCGTTGATAAGAGATCCCTTCGCTGAACTTCGTGTTTTTAATTTAGAATGATTTTAATAGTTGAATTCATGAGTCCATTTAAGCTAGATCACTATTGAAAACCTGGAAGCATTGGATGAGCGTTTCGTTCTAATATAGGACTCTACAACATTGCGCATCCACGATTCCGAATATGGGACTTGAACCCAGGACCTTCGGTAGTGCACGTGAGCGCCGAACTTTTAGAAAACTGAGCTTAAATCGACTCATGAATTCAGGTAATAATATTATTTTAATCACCGCAAACTCCAATTCCGATAAAAATGATAACATAGTTGAGCATAGAAATATAAACATTTTTAAATGAGGAAATAATCAGTAATGTTAACGTTCTTTCAACTAAATTAAATAATTACTATTAAAATTAAACGCATAGGTCTAAATAAATTATAATTCTGACTCTTTTCAACACCCAGTTTTTCGTAGTCACTCCAAGTTCTAAGATGGTTGATAACGGTCGATCAGAATGAAACTGGTTTTCATAAATACTCAATCAGTCAGATGTAATGTTGAACGTGGCACATATGTTCATCAGTTCAAGTTGCGACATCACGTTAGTACAGTATGATAGAACTATCAAGGCAAATTCCTGATTATTGGAAGTGGCAACAGTACCAGTACCCGTGAAAAAGATATGATATGTGCCTGGTCCTAAGTTGTAGCTGACTGACTGATATAATTGATCTCATTACTGTTTATTTATTTGAACACGTAAATATTGAAACAAAGGGGCATCGAATACATATGCACCTCACAAGTCACTTGATTTGTGTGTGGGCTGTAATACTGCACGGCTGCCCAAACCGAAGCAGGTGGGTTTCTTAGAGGGCCACACCTGGAGCCTTCGATCTAAAGGTCTAATCCACAAGACAGTGGAGCAACGTCAGGAGATGTGATCACATGGTAGCCGGTGACCAACAATAGGTTCGTATACCGTTTGTTTCCTCAGAATTCTGGAACCCATGTGTTTAATTGGGTTGGAATCAGGGTTTTCCAACTTCCCTAGGTAGAACCTCCATATCAACTAACTCGGTTAAAGTACGGGATATTCACTTTACGTCCTCTCAACTTCGTAAACGACACCCCCACCACGAGAAAGCAATGAGTAAGACTTCCTTATCAGTGGCTGTATGCACGTGACCATATGAGAGCATTTGTAAAGGATGAGCTGACTTTCCTCACCCCCAACCGTACCAGGGCATTAAATCAATACGAGGTATAGCATGACGAAATGTTTAGCTAACTATATGAAAGGACGATTTATAATGAGCTTTAATAAATCATCATCTGAATGATGACTTAAGTTTGAATTGAACTAAGATATCTATTTGATAAATCTGCAGTTACCTACAGTGTACTGTGAAATCCATCTCAGTTTAGTTATAAGTGCTCAATTTCAGACAAGAAATTCTTCTGAAAAGAAAATATATGTACATGTTCAATTTTTTTAAACTAACCAAGACTTATCATATGAAGTGAACTCGAACTGAAATAAACTATGAATAAGTAGTTAATGCTTGTTATTACTTTCAGTATAAAAATGAACAAAACTATAATCTTATTCAAAATTGTCACTATTCACAAAACATATTGAGATCTCAATTCAACTGATGTGTCCCAAATAGGACGAAACATGCATCCTGTATTCCACTGTTAGCCATTATTCATCTTTGCTTATTATTGTGAATCAATGATTAAAAAGAAAGTGATTATTATTGATATTTGAACAATGTCATAGTTACTCACTTGAAATAAACCTTTATAGAATGTGAATGGATTTTTTCTTGTTACCGAATAATAGAGTAATGCTAATGTACCAAGTAAATGTATAGCCAAACCAGTAACTACAGTTATCATATATAAACCTAATGCTTTTGCTGTATCACTTAAATTTTCAATTTCCAACATTTTACCCAATATTAGAAAGAATATACCAAATGGTGAATATCTGTAATGTAATAAATAAGTAAGATATAAATTATTAAAAAGAACAATAAAGGATTTAGAAGAACAATAAACAGATTGGAATTATGAAAATTAATTTACATTGTAATGGTCAAGTTAGGCGTATCATTTGGTTATAACCATAGTAACTCTCCTACGATGTATTTCAATTATGGTCGATCATTGTCAAGCCCCTTTGATTAACTTATTTAACAGATAATGTTAATTGGATAGTAACAATTCATCTATTTCTTTGAATCATTGTGATCATTATCATGTCTGTATAAACATGTAAACTTGATCACATGTGATAGCTATGCACATACCACTTTTTAGTTTAGGTGTTGATCGCTATGACAGTGTTTGTCACTGAAAGGAGTACCAAAGAAGTATATTAACCTTGTAAAGGCTCTCTACATGAACACAACTGGTCGAGTGAGAGCTTATGGCGAACTGTCATCCGAAATGATTACCTCAAGTGGTGTTCGTCAGGGCTGTCCACTCTCTCCATTCTTGTTTAACTTTGTCGTTGACCAATGACATAGTTCTATTTGGTGAAGACGCTGACAAAATGCAGAGTCTTCTGACCACTCTAAGCAACAATGCAAGCATGTTCGGGATGCGATTCTCCCCCTCGAAACGCAAAATGTTGCTTCAGGATTGGGTTGCATCGACACCCAAACTAATGATAGAGAGTGAAGTAGTTGAGCATGTCGCCCTTGTGGTCTGGTGTGTGACGAAATCTCAGCACGGATACAGAAGGCTTGACTAGCCTTTGCCAACTTGCGTCATTTATGGCGCAGGCGAGATATCCGTCTACCAAACAAAGGACGTGTTTACTGCTCATCAGTTCGTTCCGTCCTATTTTATGTCAGTGAAATATGACCGGTAAGAGTAGAGGATATTCGTAGGTTACTAGTATTTGATCATAGGTGTCTTCGAAACATTGCTCCTATATCCTGGGACCATCGAGCAAGTAACGCGGTTGTTAGGAAACGGGTACTAGGCAAGCATGGCAAATCAATTGATGACGTAGTGAAACTTCATCGGTTGAGATGACTGAAACACGTGTTACGTATGCCCAACGACCGACTGCCTCGACGTGCGATGTTTTATGATGTAGGAGTAGGTTGGAAGAAAGCTAGGTGTGGCCAGATCAAAACATGGCACAGATCCATGAAGTCACTGACAAGTGGACTGAGTCATGTCGGTAGGTGTAGACTACCTGGTTGGGATCCGCGAGATGATAGCAATCGATGGTTAGAGACCTTGAGTGACATGGTTCAAAATCGTTTGCAATGGCGCAGGTGCATCCACTCTTTGTGTTCTCCCAAATTCTAATCTTATGAATTCTTCATGTCCCTTTTTTCTCTTTGGAAATTTGTTTCACTGTATTATACTCCTTGAATAACATCTTCAAACCCTAATGTTTTAGATTACTGCTTATACTTTTACCACCTCTACCACTATGGGATTTGAATCGACAAGTGCATCTCTGTGCTAATGTGGTATGGCAACTCGAATTGATGTACGTACGTACGAAGTTCCACGTTGTTACTGACTGGCTGACTATTGATCGTTTAAATATTACTCGATCAACCATTCTCTTTACCATGTATATATGCGCTCGAATCCTATTAATAGCCGTTACCTTGCTTAACTGCGCCTTGATTCGATTTGACTATAAATTCGCCTCTGTATTCACCGGATGCAATTGTAATTTTATTACCTGTGTTATCATCCACTTATAAACTATAGTCGCCTCTTCTTATTGCCGTCTGAATTTAAACACCGTTGGGATTTATATAATAGCGGTTATCAAGGTGATTAATTAACAAAGCTAAGCCCCAGTACAGACAGATTTTACCAAAGATTAATAAATTCGAAATCTCCAAACATTTCAATATCAGTGTATCTTTCATATTTTCTTAAAATATGATTGACTGTTCGATGAATATTTGATAAATTGAAAGGGTAAACTTTAAAATATCATCTCTTGAACTTCATCATCAATTACGAAGTAATGTAATACTTAGCAGGTTCACAATATTCATATGTGATCAGATATCTGTATGAAGAAAAAGTCTAACATTTGTGCAAAACTGGATGTTTTCCACAGAGTGTTCACTTTGAATACAAATTTCTGTATTGACAAAACGCTGATATTATGCAATGATATGACTGTTTCTTGTCATTACGAAATACATTGGTATTTGATACTCATTATAACGATAGAATCAATTAAAATATAATTGACGATGAAGACTACTTCATTTACCAACCACTAATTAGTTATTCTGCTTGTCTTCATCTAATCACTGATGTGCACAACAGCATTCGATCTACACTAAGAAGGAGCTGATATACATTACATTGATCACTACTCAGTGATCAATCAATTGTAATTACATCTCAGTCCTCAACGAGGTCACTCGGAGCCCGGATAGCTCAGTGGTAACGTCTCCCTGAAGATTACAGGTACACCTTGCTGATGTGTGCCAAATAACACGAAAACTATGTCCAGGGTTTCTTGTTGACTAACTTCAACCACAATCTTATCTCAACATAGTGTACGCAATGTCAAGTCACCTAGACTGGTGACCATATTGCGACTTGGTCGATAGGATTCGATCTACACTAAGAAGGACCTGACATACATGACATTGATCACCACTCAGTAATCACTCAACTGTAAATGCATAAATAATGTCCTATAAAACATATTTCACAACTAGTATTAACATTTGCATCACATCAGTAGAAAAATAAGCATTTTAAGCGATACTTTATTCTCTGAATTTATATCATGTTCAGTCTAACATCCATTTCTTATCTCTCATTAATAAAAACTATCATAGTTCCAATTGAACTTTATTCAACTTTGTATTGAGTAGATATTTAATTATGAAACTAATTTCCCATATTGTCATATGGTTCGAGGTAAGGGAAAGGAATACCTTAATCTAGGTTTCGGCCAGACCAAGACCTATCAACTGGTAGTAATTTGATCTAACAATCTAAAGTCTAAACACAATGTAAATGACTGTGAATCACTTAGACCAGTCACAACACTACAATCCGATCAACAGAAGTCTATGATTATCACTGAAGATTAAAAACATGATAATGATTATTATTCAGTGATTTATTAATTTCTCTTTCAATAATCATTGATTTGATAATTATATACATACAGTTTTATATTATCACAAGTAAAGTTTACTTACAACATAATAACTTGTACCATTCTCATGACAACTTCATTAAGAACAGAGAAAAATTGTACCATAGTCACAGCACGATCACCCATTTGACCAAGTATTATACCAAATATAATTGAGAATGACACCAATCCTAGAATTGTTAAAACAAAAGCATTAATCTATTATATCGTTTAAATATAACATATATCGTTTATAGTTTGAACTGATTTGATTAAAACAAGCTTTAATCAATGTTATGAATCTTAATCTGAATAGAATAGATTAGCAGGATTATAGTTGACACGATAATAAGCTTTTTATAAGATTATATCTTACTTACTTACTTACTTAAGCCTGTACCCCTTATGGATAAGCATAGGTCGCTCACCAGCACTCTCAATTCAACTCTGTCCTAGAGAAACCATCCTAGTTGCTATTCATTCTGTTCATGTATGCTTTGAATTTCCGACGTAGTGTGTTCTTAGACTTTCCTCTTTTCCGTTTCCCTCGAAGATTTCAAGTTAGTGCTTGCCTAGTGATACAGTTTGATGATTTCTGTAATGTATGTCTTATCCACTTCCAACGTCTTTTCCTAATTTCCAATACAGCTGGAAGTTAGTTTGTTCTCTCCCACAGCAGGTTGTTGCTGATGATATCCGGCCAACGAAAAGTCAGTATCTTGCATAGCCAATTGTTAATAGATACTTGTACATTATTGATAATGGTTGTGGTAGTTCTCCACGTTTCAGCTTCGTATAGGAGAACTGTCTCGACGTTCATATTGAAGATTCTGTCTTTGATATTGGTTGACATTTGTTTTGAGCTCCATATGTTATTCGATTCTAAGAATGGGGCCCTTTCTTTGCCAACCTTCACCTTTACGCCTGCATAAAATCTCTCACGTTTACCGATGATGCTGCCCAGATCATTGAGAGTTCCCACACTTTTCAGAGCTCCCCCATTAAGTGTGATTGGACTGGTGTTCTATGTGTTGCACTTGAGGATCTTGTTCTTTCCTTTTTGTATGGTAAAAGACTATATCTTGCTGTTTTGAAATAAATTTCTAACAAATGTCATTAATCATTTAAACTGAAATACGATATATTGAGATACTGTCAATTACCCTGTTAGGGAAATTTCAAATACGAATACCAATTATCTTGGTGCTATCTTTTCCTCTGATTTATTTCGGTCTTCTCTTTACTACTATCGGAGAGAATTTCTACATGCTTTTGGGATTACTCGACATTTACTCTTACAGTTGGTCAATTCATGCATATTACCTGTTAGTCTTTACTGTCCTCCATTACTCTCTACCGTGCTTTAGAGAAAAGACCACTGTATTGTGGAGAGTTCTGAAGGCAGTTATCAGGGTATGTAGTGAATCTTTTAAGGTCATTATTAGTATGATTGTGGCTAGACATCTTAAGTCTTCCATACTCCAGGGAGGTGTTATCTTATCAGATACTAACCATCCTCCTTTCATTGATATCTTTCTCCTTGTATATCTTCTGGTAGAACGTGACATCAATACATTAAAATCCATGCACGCAAGCAAAGGTATAAAAGTTCCATAATACCTTATCTAGCAAATTTACCCTGTGATGAGCAAGTGGTTAAAGTTGATCTTATCAATAACCTACATTATTAAACATATTTCTAATTGAAATGTTGTACAGATTCAAATCCTTTTTCACCTTTTTCTTTTTTTTTTGTAAAAGAAATTCGCAGAAATGCCTCGTACTGAGAATTCTATATTGTACCAAAATATAATAATGAATAAAGCCATTAATAATAACAATAATCCACAGAATCTAGCCATATTTCGTAATAAGGCGGTAGGACATAATTTCTTTTTTAGTAATCAGTTAATTAACTCGTACTTCTTTTTCACATCTATATCATTTAACCTAACTTTTGTTCAAACCCTGTAGATTAGCACAGTTGATCCGATTGTTCGATGCAGATGGTTAGTGTTCTCCGTGTTTTATTTAAGGATTTTGCTTTTTCCTATGTGTATGTTGATGCCTACTGATGAAGAGGCTGCTGCTACACTAGTTGTCTTCATGTGCATTTGTTCGTGTGTATAGGATAGAAGAGGCAGGTCATCTGCAAATTCCAAATGTTCTAATTGTTTGCGAGCTGTCCATTGTATTCCGTGCTTTCCCTCAGATGTCGAGGTTTTTATAATCCAGTCGATCATCAGAAGAAAGAGGAAGGGGAGAGTAAACAGTCTTGCTTAACTCCGGTCTTTACTTGGAATTCATCTGTCAGCAGTTGAGTAGAACACGTCACTATACATCAAATTCATTAACTATGAGAAGGCGTTTGACACTGTGGATAGGAGAACATTATGAAAACTTCTTCGACACTACGGTGTACCTGTGAAGGTCGTCAACATTATCCGGAGTTCATACGACAGACTACAATGCATTGTCGTGCATAGAGAACAGCTGACTGATGCATTCCAAAAACCAAAGTATACTAACTAGTATCTAATCAACAACAATTTTCAGTCACTTAATTATTATACTATCAGTACAATGTTCAAAAAAGATATTGACGAGATCTACAATTATGATTTTTCATTGAATACAATCTTATTTACAAAATGATATCAACTTCATTATCATAGAAAATTTAAATAAGTGTTCCATCTTCATTTAAGAATCCTCTCATCCGAGACCTTTTAGTTTTGAAATAGTCAAAATATTATTATATGCTCCAAAATTGAAATCTGACAGTCTATTGTTCATCACATTCAAATATCCTAACCTTAAACATGATTATCACTGTGAAAATACAACTAATACCAGAATAATTTAAAAAACAATACGAAGAAACAGAAAAGTAATATAATCAAAAGAGAGGTTTGTGGAGATTTTAGAAATTCAATAGTTGAATTCATGAGTCAATTAAAGCTAAACCACCATGGAAAACCTGAAAGCATTGGACAGCCGCTTGGTCTTACTGTGGGACTCCTCAGCAGTGCACATCCATGATCCTACCTCGCGAGATTTAAAACAAGGACCTATCAGTTTCGTGCACGAGCGCTTAACCACTAGATCACTGAGCCGGCCGACATCCAACAGTGTTAGTGTCTAACTTCAACCAATTCGTGAAATTGCGCTACCGTCCACCATTGTCTTCAGTGAGCTAGTATCTTACAACAGACCTAGTTGAACTCCACTGGTCACAGCTTTGAACTAGAACTTCAAGAAATACATCTTGAAGTCTATCACTAGTGAGCACATGAGCACCTGTATTCGAATCCTGAGGGCAAGGTCGTGAATACATACAGTTGAGGAGTCCCATACTATGACGAAACAGCCGTTCAGTGCTTCTAGTTTTTCTATGGTAGTCTAGCTTCAATTGACCCATGAATTCAACTATTAAATAATAATATGGTTAGTACGTAATAAAACATGTAAATGGATAATGAGAAATAAGAAAACCCAGAAAAAAAATTAGATTAAAACATGGTTAATTTATTGGTTATAATGAAATGGATACCAATCTAGTTATTTGATCTTTTTGTGTGCGTGTGTGTGTGTATGTGTGTAGATCACAGATATGAAATAACCTCAATGGATGTAATCGATTTTTGTTTTTTTTCGTTTTTTGTTTCGTTATTCTTAATTCCCCCTCCCCACTGAAATAATCTTAGTTGGATATTTTTGTAACGAAATTTGAATAATAAACAAAAAAACATGGTGATTGTTAACATGGGACTGGATTTTGTTTCTCCCAATATTTTATATGTTTTCTGAAATTTGATTCAGTTTTGTATTAAACAAAGTGACGGATAATGAATAATGGAATTGATAGATTTTATCTATACAACTTAATCATTACAAATAATAATTGAGTGATTTCAATAGTTGAGATCATGAGTTGTTAGAAGCTAGAATAACATGAAAAATCTGGAAACACTAGATAGATGTTTCGTCCTATTGTAGGACTCTTCATCAGTGCATATTCATGCTCCCACCCACAGGATTCGAACACTGTTGCTCATGTGCTCACTAGTGACTGACTTCGAGACATTTCCTGAAGATCTAATCAGAAGGTGTGACCAGTGGAGTTCAACCAGGTCTGTTGTGAGATAGTACCTTAATGAATATAATTCATTTGATAATGTTTGCTTGTATCTTTGTTGTTTAGGACTGCGACTGATCAGTCTCTTATTGGCATATATGGATCCTGTGCTCATTGCCTCGATATTGCCTTAATTCACAAGCATTATAAGTAAATTTAAACTTCATTCTATTTCACAAGCAAGTGGCTATCAGGACTCAGTAAATAAGTAGATAACGCTATGGAGTTTAAAGCCAATGGTACTGGGTTCAAGTCTCAGAGTGAACATTAACTCTGAGATGCAGGTACATCCAGCTGAAGAGTCCCAAATAGGACGAAACGCTCATCCTGGATTCCACTACTAGCCACTACCTACCCTTTGCTTATAAATAATAAAATACTTTCCATTCCTTAATGAGTATTAATAATAACAACAATAATAATTAGGTATTGTGTTGATATTCTTAACTCATTTATTCAATAAAATTTGTTTACATAATAGTTCTGTTATTGTTTGATCTCTTTTTAATTGTTACCTTAATCATTCATTTTTATTATTATTCTGTTTATACATCATTCTTAATCATTTTCTATCATTAACCCCTGTCTTTATGAATTCTAATTAACCTAAAACAAAAATTAAAGTAGAATAATATACATTCATTTTATTTCTGGTCATGTCACACAAAAAAATATTTAAGGTTAAAAGGTGTAATCTAATCAATCATCGTCATGTTACCGACATTGTTAACAGACAAAAATACCTAACTCGTCTAGGTTACTATCCGGAAAATTCAGTCTCTATGTATTCAACTGTTGATTCATTACTATCATGATAAACCTATAATTGTGATTGAAATCTTAATCTATTATTACTCTTATTCTGTTATCTAACCTTCACTTGGATAATTACTATTTTAATGGTTAAATTCATGAGTCAATTTAAGTTAGATCACCTTGGAAGACTTGGAAGCACTGGATGCCAGCTCATTTGTTAAGCGTTCTCATGTTGGACCTATGGTCCTAGATTCGAATCCCGTGTGTGGGTTCGTGGATGTGTACTGCTGAACAGTCCCATACTAAGAAGAAAAGGCCGTATATGTATGCAACTAACTGATTACTGCGTAATAATAAATATCGTGTTTAATAATTTCTCAATACTGATCGAATTTTATCTAGAAAATTACAACGTGACTATCCATCTGAAGAACTCGACATCGTCTGTGCGATGTTGATATTTATGTCGGTTGAAAGCAGCCGATTGTACATGGGTTTTTTCCCTGATTGACCCACATCAAATACCCTTATCTGTAGTCTAAAAACAGGTTAATCATGGCTCGAATAGTTCACTGTTAAAGACTGAGATAGTGAAGCTGGACAATATAGGTTTAAATCCCATGGAGAACATAAGTTCTCTCAAGAATTCAGATACACTTTACCAATGAGCAGTAACCAGAATTAAACTTAGGTCAAGGGTTTCCTGTTGACTACTTCCAACCACCTAAACGATCATTATACTGTTTAAATTCTACAATATTTATAAAATTAAGTTATTTTGTTCATCAGTTAAAGTTAGTATGAAGAAAGAAAAGTTTTAATAAAACACTTTATGTACTCAAATACAAATAAACCTGTGCTACATCTTGATGTGATGGTCTAACATCGATCGGTTCATGATCTCAATCAAAAACTTAATAATCTCCACAAACCTATACTGATAATTACCATGTGCTCACTAGTGACTAGCTTTATGAGGGAATTCTCGGAGTTCTAGTGAGAAGCCGTGACCAGTGAAGCTATTCCGTGTAGGATAAAGACAGGTATCTACCGCAGTACAATGGGACATGATCGTGCAACTTCGTGGATTGGTTGATGTGAGACATTAACACCATTGGATGCCGGCTCAGTGGTCCAGTGGGTTAGGCGTTCGCGCACGAGACTGAAAGCCCTGGGTTCAAATCCCGCGAGCGGTATCGTGGATGCGCATTGCTCAGGAGTCCCACAATAGGACGAAAAGGCCGTATAGTGCTCCTAGGTTTCCAAAGGTGGTCTAACATCAATCAGTTCATGATCTCAATCAAAAATATACGTGTGCTACTTCTTGATGTCTTCATTTGTTTTTCTCATTCTCCTCTAATATTATTTATCTCCATCTGTTTAGTTAGAAGATACAATAAGTAATTCCTGAATAAGTCGAGACGATAAGATTTGACAATATAGATTGAAGATATCTTAGACTATATGTTCTTTAGATTACACTATTACGGTATTCTGAACAGTCTTCAAATCAGTCCAACATAACTCTACAATATTGTAGTTGAATTCATTTTGTGCCGAAATTTGTCAGTAAAACACTCAACTAAAAAATTCTAGTGATCAACTATACTTTATCAAATTCAGCTTCCATCTCAGAAGGAAATTAGGAAAAGACGATGGAATTGGATAGGACATATATTACGCAAATCAACAAACTGCATCATGAGGCAAACCCTAACTTGGAGAGCGGAAAAGAGGAAGGCCAAAGAACATATTACGTCGTGAAATAGAAGCAGATATGAAAAGGATGAATAAAAACTGGAAAGAACCAAAAAGGATTGCCCAAGACAGGGTTGGATAGAGAGTGCTGATGAACGACCTATGCTCCTCGACAAGGAGTAACAGGCGTAAGTAAGTAATTATGTTTTGTTTATTGATTTCCTTACTAAGCACTGTCAAGTACTGTGACAGTTTTAATCAATACTTTAATTATAACTACGATCGTTGGTATCCTGTACAAGTTACACATATTTGTATCAAAATGAAATATATTCAGAACAGTAACCATAAAAAGTAACAGGGCATGTATAATGTTATGAAGTTGCTCTTACCTAAAACATTAGTACTATCCACATATTTCGGTTTTATGGCTTCATAGCTGATTAGTTTTGTTTTGTTTTCCATATTCAATGTACCATTGTTTCCATCAGTTAATCGAATATACTTCGGACGCTTAACAACTGTGACGTAACTACTTTGTTGTTGCTGTAAACATGCTTGTACTACATTTTCCGGAAATAGATTTCTGTCAATATAAAATAATAAAAGATAAATTTAATTAATTGGACATAATATCTACAAAATGAATATTTGTAAAAGAAAAACACTCGAAAAAATCTCAACTATTTTATTTGAATGATGCCAATCTGTGTCGAGTGTGAGATGGTTATCCACCTCAGACAATCCATGAAGTGTTGAGCAAGATCATGGATCGTTTGAAATAAAGCATTAACACCGTTGATTGTCAACTCAGTGATCTATAATTTAAGCGTTCGCGCATGAGACCGAATGTCCTGGTTTCGAATCCCATGGATAGGATCATGGATGTCCACTGCTGAGGAGTCCCATACAATGAAGAAACGGCTATTCAGTGCTTCTAAGTTTTCAGTGGTAGTCAAGCTTAGATTGATTCGTGAATTCAACCGTAAACATACTTTTACCACACTTAATTATTCATGGTCAATAACGAAAAAAAACGACATGAAGTAAAAATGGACAAGTATTTAACCTCAGATAAATTTTGACGACCTACTGCAGTGTATTCTGTCTAAGCGCTTTCAAATCGACCTAAAAATATTATGTTAACTATCTAATAGCAAAAATTTATTTCATCCCAATATCTCAAGAACGAATATCCACTAAAAGTCTCCCAGTTGTGAAGCCTAATTTTAATATACTTTAGAGTTTCTTTATATAATATGTAAGTACTACGACTGTATGAAAACTTAATGACATCCAACTCATAATTTGCGTGCAAAATTTAAACCTTCTTGAATATAAGATTTTCTACACAAAAACAGAATAGTGTCATTGGTTAGCAATGCGATTAGTTGACAGTTCACTTTGACATTGATACAACTGTGCACAGTAGAGGTGTGTAACCACAGAAAAGATTATTGTTAAAGATATACATCCAGTTGAGAGACAGGACATACAACACGTATATGTACGCTTTGTAATAGTATATTGAAATATATCAGATGAGTTTTGTGGATATCATAGTAATTTTAATGGTTAAGATCATGAGTTAGTTGAAACTAGACCACCATGGAAAACCTGAAAGCACTGGATGGCCGTTTCGTCCTATTGTGGGACTCCTCAGCAGTGCGCATCTACGACCTCGCCCACTGCGAGATTCGAAACCAGTAAGTCCTGACTCATGATCTTAACCATTGATATTTGAATAGTTCGAAGTAAACATATCTGACTATTACGTTAAGTAATCAAAAATGAATAATCGTCATTTCAAAGTTCATTCATAGATGTACAGTTACAAGTTACTAAAGTGCAGTGAAATAAAATTCGCAGAACTTGATCATAAAAGGTATGATCATTATCAATTCTGAAAGTAATTATGTACAGAGATTATCCGATGAAAGTTCAAATAAACTTAATTTATTATCATTATATTCAAATGAGTAGAAAAAATTGTATTTCTGACATTTTATGACTTCAAGTAAGTTACTTCTTCAGAGTAAATAAATAACCGAAATCAGCACAAGTCTAAATAGTATGTGTTTATAACAAATATTGTCAAGATTATAAGATGGTCATTAATTCAACGGAATAGAATGAATGCAAAACAGACTATGATTTAAACAAAGTTTAACTAAAGGAACAACGTAGGACCAGGCACTAAAGGAACAGCTCTAAAATAGCTCATATGAGAATAGCATAAGAATAATAAGAAATGCTACATACAGTGAACTAGAGGTTGAAACAAATAACCGTTTATATTCAATCAAAATCAAGTTAAAACTTTCATTATGGTTGTTTTCTATCAATAACAAGTTGAAATTCACATAAACCTAATGGATCTATTTTAAAATTCATAAGGATCAAATAACACTGAGATCATGAGTTGACTTTAAAAAATTCACTAATATTTTTGTGGTGGTCCGTTATTTAATCATCATTTAGACCGGATGATGTTGTCGAAATTGCTCTCCACTTTAGTGACTCAAGATCTGACTCCAAGGTGATTGTTGTTGAAATATATATATATATCACCTATTCTCGTATATAATCATCGAATTGAATCGCGTTGGTCAATAACGGAATTAAGTAAGTCAAATGACGAGAATGGACTTGCCAATACATATATTTTTTATATTAAGTGAATGGGACAGAACAAAGCAAAACGACGTGCAGTCGAGATGACGGGTAAGCCGACTCCCATTTAACGAAGAGTTAATCAATATTTGTAGCTACTTAAAAGTAAGATACGGACATGTAATGAGTAATGGGATAAGAAATGTACACACACCTATACACTCATATGAAAACAGTCAAGATTGATAAGCGAATAAATAACAATGTCAGAATGTGACTTATGTAGAATGAATAGAATGGGCTGTCCAAATGCTTGGATAAGGAATATGGGCTTAATATAATAACCAACACTACAATATGACATTATCTAACGTAATACTTGATCAGGATCTTTAAATTGTGTAATGTAATCGAAATTTCTCATTATAGGGTTGTAGAGATTACCATGTTTTTGAATTAAACCGATTGATGTTAGACCACCATTGAAAACCCGGAAGCACTACATGGCCGTTTCGTCCTATTCTAGGACTCCACAATAGTGAGCACCCATGATCCCGTCTCTCGAGATTCGAATCCAGGATCTATCAGTCTCGCTCACATGCATTTAACCACTAGACCACTGAGCCGGTTAACATCTAACGGCGTTAATCTTTAACTTCAATCAATCCATGGTGGTCTAGTTTCAATTGACTCATGAATTCAACTATTGAAATTACTAAAATCTCCACAAAACCCCCTTTCTGATAATAATCATTTAATAATTGACAAAATAAAGCGTAACCGACATCATCATCATCATAAACTTAAGTGTCATCATGAATTTTCTTTTGTTCTTCTAATGTTTATCACAATGATGAGAAACGACTGACAGGATATTCAATCTGTTTTGTCCAAAAAAAACAGAAACCTACTTTAATGACTGAATAATTTAATGATTAAAAAAAATTAAAATCAGTTAAGCGTTAACAAAATATTTTTTGTAAAACGAAAAAGAGGAAAAAACAAAGTAGATCATATCCGCTAGTGAATAAAAAATTTGGGGGGGGGGGGAATTGTGAATTTAAAATGTTAATACATGAAATGAAAACGAAAAGTTTGATGAGACTTTCTCCTGGTGATCGACTGGATTATGAAGACGTCAGCATATAAGGGGGAACATGGGATACAGTAAATAGATAGGATGCAGCTTGACGATCGCTGGACTTCGCAGATGATCTGGCTCTTCTATCGCACACTCAGTAACAAATGTAGGAGAAGACGACCAGTGAAGTAACAGCCTTATCAGCAGTAGGTCTCAACATACACAAAGTGAAAAGCAAGATTCTCCGATACAACACATCATGCAACAATCCAATCACACTTGACCGATAAGCTTTGGAAGATGTAAAAACCTTTACATATCTGGGAATCATCATTGATGATGTAGATGTGAAGGCACGAATCGGCAAAGCAAGAGCAGCATATCCACAATTGAAGAACATCTGGAACTCAGAACAACTGACAACCAATACCAAAGTCAGAATTTTAAAAACAAATTTCAAGTCAGTTCTACTGTATGGAGTGGAAACTTGGACAACTACGAAAGCCATCATCCAGAGGACACAAGCGTTTATTAAGAGTTATCTATGCAAAAAAATCCAGATTCGTTGATCAGACACTATCAGGAACAACCTATTGTGTGAGAGAACAAACCAGATCCCAGCGGTGATATAATAATATGATCTTCATCATATTCTTAATGACATGTTGACATATATCGATTTTAAAGACCTCAGAAAATGTAATCCTATCTCAGCAAGAATTTATTTACAGACTTATTCATTTGTTATCTCAATTACACATATTGTTATTAAGTCAGTACCCTGTTTCTCCCCTGTTTTTGTAACTTTAAAATACCTCTATTTAGGTTGAATATTCTAGCTTCTATGTATAGATTTATGTACTCTCTATTTAGCCATAGTGTTTAAATGAGAGCTGAGTAATACTTTTCAGTTAAACTAGGTTATATCCGGTTAGATGTGAACAAATGACTTCTAGATGAACTTTGTACTGATAATGTTGTGTAGAGAGAAACTAAAACTTTCACAAGTAAACAAGATAAATCAGATAAATAAAAATGTTAATGTCTAACTTCAACTAATCCACGAAATTGCGTCACCTTACACCATTGTCTTCAGTGAGCTGATATCTCACAAAAAACCTAGTTGAACTCCAATAGACACAGGTTTCTTACTAAAACTCCAGGAAATGCCTCTTGAAGTCAGTCACCAGTGAGCAGATGATTATTATCAGAAGGGGTTTTGTGGAGATTTTAGTCATTTCAATAGTTGAAATCATGAGTCAATTAAAGCTAGACCAGCATGGTGGGTGATGGCACAGTTTCGTGGATTATTTGAAGTCAGACATTAACATCGTTGGATGCCGGCTCAGTGGTTTTAGTGGTTAACCGCTTGCGCGAGGCTGATAGGTCCTGGATTCGAATCTCGCGAGGTGGGATCGTGGATGCGCACTACTGAGGAGTCCCACGATAGGACAAAACGGCCGTCTAATGCTTCCAGGTTTTCCATAATTGTCTAGCTTTAATTGACACATGATTTCAACTAAAGAAAATGTACCAGAAGAATATCTTGTAAATTTCATATAAAGAGAACAAGTTGATATGTTGATATCCGTAACAAAGTTTTCCTAAATTTACAGTCCGAACAGTAAACATTTCCTGTTGTTATTAATAAGTTAAGTTTAAGTTTTTCCGAGTTGTTCAAAAAGAGTCCTATCTAATGTAAACGTATTAGAATGATCGAAACATTCTAGCTTAAGATATTTCTTACGATGATCAAATTATAAGTATGAACTTATTATTTATTGCAATTACTATAGGAATAGATTTAGAGATCGATTCATAATGAGGCCAATATGCAAAAAAATGATGAGTTGAAGTTATTTATAATTCTGATAGACATCATGAATGGATAA